GTCGGGCTCGTCGGTGTCAACAGCTACCGGCAGTGGAGTGCGATCACGGCCCGAGAAGGTGGCGTTGGGATCGGTGTAAGGCCGAAGGAGAGACACGTGGAATGATGGGTGCATGCGGAAATGAGCGGGAAGGCGAAGGCGGTATGCGACTGGACCAAGTGCACGCTCAATGACAAATGGACCAATGAAACGTGGGCGAAGCTTGCTGTCCTGTGGCAGTCGGAGGTTGCGGCTGTCGAGAAGGACACGGTGGGTGCGATTGGTGGTGCGTGCCATGCGTGCATTTGCAAGCTCAAGGTGCTTCCTCACGTGATCATGAATGAAAGTGAGATGCTGGTGGAAGTTGTCCGCACGAGGGACGGTGGGTGTGAGATCGACACGAGTGGGGACATTGGGGTGCTGACCGTACAGTGCAAAGAACGGTGACATGCCTGTGGCGGAGTGGTGCGTGTTGTTGTATGCGAACTCGGCCATGCTCAGCTTCTTGTCCCATGCTGCTGCGTCGTGCATCGTGATGCTGCGAAGGATCTGCTCCAAGGTCTGGTTCACGCGCTCAGTCTGTCCGTCTGTCTCTGGATGGTACGCAGACGACATGGCTAAGCGAGTCCCAAACAGTGCGAAAAGCTGCTTCCAGAACTTCGAGGTGAATCTAGGGTCGCGGTCTGAGATGATGGAATCTGGAACCCCGTGCAGTCGGACTACGTTATCTACGAACAACGTCGCGGCTTCCTCTGCTGTGACCTGACCGTGCGTGGGGATGAAATGCGCTGCTCGAGAAAACTTATCCACTACCACGAAGATCGCGTCGTGACCCCTAACTGTGCGCGGTAATGCCATGATGAAGTCCATCGTAACTACCTGCCAAGGGCGGTCGGGCGGTGGAATCGGCTGCAAAAGACCTGCTTTGCGCTGGCGGGAAGATTTCGTACGCTGACACGTGTCGCACGAGCGAATGTAATCCTCTACGTCTGCTGCAAGCCCTGGCCAGTAGTACGTGCGACTAAGCGTCTTAGCCGTCTTGTCTGCTCCAAAGTGACCTGCACTAACTACGTCGTGCGCCTCTGAGAGAAGGAGCTGTCGAAGAGGGCGGTAGGCTGGAACCCAAATCCGTGCTGTACCCTTCCGTATGTAAACACTACCCTGCACCTCTGCTCCTGCGGGCGGCTGCGGTGTGAAGTCGGGATCTACTGTGTAACCGTGCTCGAAGAGTGCTGTGAGAAGTGGATGGCCTGCAGTGACTGTGAGGCTAGCGAGCTGACAACTAGGGCGAGTGAGCGGATCTGCTGGGTTGCGAACGCCTGGCTTGTACTCTATCCTGTAATGAAAGCTCCCCTCCATGAACTCCATCCATCTAGCCTGGCGACGACTCAGCTGCGGTTGCGACTTGAGAAAGCGAAGCGAGCAGTGGTCCGTGCGTATAACACTGTCTGCCCCCTCTAGGTAGCACCTCCATACCTTATACGCATGGATGATCGCGAGCGCCTCTTTGTCGTGTATGGGATAGTTCAACTCCGCTCCCCTCAGCTTACGCGACTCGTACGCGATCGGCTGCAACCCGCGTCCCTGGTCCTGAAGAAGTACTGCTCCTATGGCCTGATCTGAAGCGTCGGTCACTACAACGTACGGGCGAGTGGGATCAGGGTACGACAGTGTCGGTGAAGACGTGAGCGACTGCTTCATCTGCTCGAACGCCTGCTGCTGCGCTGGACCCCAAACGTACTCTACGCCTTTCCGAAGTAGGTCGGTGAGTGGACTAGCGATGGAAGCGTAACCCTGAACGAAACGGAGGTAATAATTGGCAAATCCGAGGAAGCTCTGCAACTCCTTGACTGAGGTCGGTGCTACCCAATCCTGTACTGCTGCGATCTTCTTCGGGTCGGTCCTAACGCCACTAGCGGATACGACGTGTCCTAGGAACTCGACCTCGGGGAGAAAGAACTCGCACTTCGACTGCTTCGCGTACAGCTTCTCCCTCCGCAGGACCGCAAAGACCCTCTGCAAGTGCTGCACGTGCTCCTCTTTCGACTTGGAAAAGATGAGTATGTCGTCTAGGTAAACGACAACGAACGAACCTAGGAACTCGGAGAGGACGGTGTTCATAAGCGTCTGGAACGTCGCTGGGGCGTTGGTCAGTCCGAACGGTAGAACCCTAAACTCGTACAACCCCTGCTTCGTACGAAACGCCGTCTTGTGCTGGTCCTCTGGAACTACACGAATCTGGTGGTAACCCGAACGAAGGTCGATCTTAGAAAAGACTCTAGCGCCCTGCACTGCATCTAGAAGATCCTCTACTCTCGGCACCGGGAATCTATTCTTGACGGTGGCGGCGTTCAGTGCGCGGTAATCTATGCACATCCGTAACCCTCCGTCTTTCTTAGGCGCGAAAAGGATCGGTGCGGCCCAAGGCGATCTAGATGGCTGTATGAACCCCTGTGCGAGAAAGTGCCTAACCTGCTGCGTCATCTCCTCTGTCTCTGCTGGACTCAACCTCCACTGCGGCTTCGCTACTGGCCTGCTCCCCGGCTCCAACTCTATTCGATGGTCGACTGCTCGGCTAGGAGGTAACCCTGGGGGCAACTCGTCGGGGAAGACGTCTGCGAACTCTGCTAACAGTGCACTCACCTCAGCAGGAAGAGTCGCCTTCTCACTAACTGTTGCGCTCCCTCCTTTCCCCTCCTCAGCTTCCACCTCCTCAAGGAAAACCGCAAAGATCCGTGCCGCTCGCTTCACCAGCTGTCGCACACGAACAGCATTGATGATCGCTGTGGATGATGTGGCCCCATCGCTCCACTGTGGCAGCTCCCGGAACTCGCCATCTACCTTGACGCTGCAGCTTCCCTGAGCCCAATCGAACTGAGTACTAACCGTCCGTAGCCAATCTCTCCCGAAGATGAAATCGTAACCGTCCAGCGTCGCAGAGTCAAAGTCACGCCTAACTGTGATCGGTCCTAGCACTACGCGCAACTTGCGAATGATTGGTCCTATGTGGAGAGGCGTCCCATCTATCATGCGAGCGTCCTTGAAGTTGACTGAGGAATCTGCTTCAAGATGGAGACGGCTAACTAATGAAGACGAAACGAATGATTGGCTAGCTCCGCTATCGACGAGAATCTTAACAGGAACTCCGCGAAGCTTCCCTAGAAGCACGACTGGTCGGTCAACAGTGTCTACCTCGTTCTCCGTAGATGACTGCTGCGAGGCCGTCTCCTCTACGTTGGTAGACCTGGCGGGTACGGGAACCTCCACACCAGCTAGCGACCCGCTATCTACTGGCGGTTTCCGTTTCCCTGCTGTCGCTCCTTGAACTGTGGGCAGTCCCGCTTCATGTGTCCCGGCTTTTTGCAGTAGTGACAGTTCCCCCTAAATCCGTTGCGCTGTGAGCCGTCACTGTTAACTGCACCAATCTCCATGGGCGACGGTCCGTCCCTCGATCGAGCGTCGTTGATCGGTCTGTTGTATCCCCTATCGCGATCGTCACGACCCCGTCGGCTTCGTACTGCGTCGACGCGTTCTGCTGCTGCGACTACTGACTCGAAGGTGGACAACCCGTGAATCGCAATAATCTCCGCTATGTCCGGCTTCAACCCTTCGAGGTAGCGATCGCGCATCTCTGCTTCCGTGATGTCGTCTATCTCGTTGCAGATGCTCAAGAACCGTCGTGTGTACTCCTGGACGTTTCCTATCTGTCGGAAATGACGCAGACGCTTCCTAGCAGCTTCGGAGGCGTTCACCAAATCGAACCTACTTTTCAGCGCCGCTTCAAATCCTTCCCATGTCGTCGGAACCGTGGTAACACCCAAAGCTAAACTCCCTAAGCTCGAAGTTGCAGCTGCATGCCCCACGCCCTGTTGATTGCCGTCTAACTGAGCCCTCCGTACAGCAGTCTGCGTAAGTTGGCGCCACCACTCCAAGGCCGGGCCCCTCAGCAGCGTTACGGCGTACTCGATCCGCTGCTGCGCGTCCGCCTCTTGCACCCCGCTCGCGGCGAAGTAATTGTTGAGCATGAAGAGCCACGTTCGCACGTTCGCGTCGCGTTGACTTGGGTCGAACGACTCGGGCTTCTGCGGCTTGAGCGCGCTTCGACGTTCCGGCAGCGCTTCCGCGCCAGTCGACGTGGTGGGTGCAGGAGTTGGTGCGGCAAGGCCATGGGGGTTAGAAGCCAAATTGCGAAGTTGTTGCATTTCGGCTCGTACCTGACGATTTTCAAACGTCAATTCTTCGAGTTGACGCATGAGCTCGGCAAGCGTGTTGCCCATGTCGTGGGGGAAAGCGTTCATGGATTCGTCCATGTTCGCTCGACGACTCCAAGTCTGCAAGTCGGCACCGCGGGACGATGACGTCGTAGTCTCGTCGTCGACGGCCGCTCGTTGGAAGTCGCTCCCCGCGAAGGCTCTTGATACCAAGTGTTAGGCCCGCTGGCCTAAATCCGCTAAAGAATTAGCGGGGTCGACTAAGTCGAGGATAAAGCGCGGCGGAAGACTTTGGCGAAAGAACTACTAGCGAAATAGGCGAAGGAGTTACTGAGTAATTGAAGAAGAGTTGAATGAGAATTGGTTGATAATGCAAAGTACAAGCAAGGTTTTTATAGCATGCAAGAAACAAGGTTGGAAAGTGGATTGTGGGACCAAGAATTGTAGTGCAAGAAAAGTAGAGTGCCACGTGGCACTAGAGAATCTGAGAAGATAAGGATAAGGGTGACTTGGAAAGTACTGTTCGGAATGAACAGTAAATCCCCCCTTAACAATATACTAACTAGCACCCTAGGCGCGCGATATACTAACGCGCTCAACCTGCATTTTGAATTTCTGTACAGCTGCCAGGCACAAGATAGAAATTCTGTCCGGCTGGCAGAAATGGCCATAGAACCAGTTTCGAGCTGAAATGGTTGCACTTCACAATTCCCACTCCCGCTTTTATTACCTGTTTGTTTTTTGGATGCTCAGTATCGTCAGCTCGGTTTATTGAGATATCGAATGGCGTCCCCCGCCGAGCTCGGTGCGATGGATCCAGGCGTTTTGGATGACATCGATGCGATGGTGAAGGATGAGGAGCGAGTGGTGAGTCCAGCAGCTAGGTAGAAGCCATCATTGCTATTTCAATCTTCAATTATTGCAGTCGAGCAGAAGAGAGATGTGAGTACGCGGTCGTAATCATGTTCTAAATGGAGAGTTATAGGCATTATTGTTCCCAAGCCGTGCTACTTGAGTAAACCAAAACCTGTTTATCTCGATCCAGTTACCTCGTATGTCGCGGTTCACAGATATCTTGTATACTTTCCGAAGTCGTTTCTCTGAGTATATTCGATGCTAGAACGAAGTTGCGACTTAAAATTCATCCGAGCCTTGCAAGGTTTTGGAGCGTACGTACGTACGTTCCGTGCTTTCCGACAAATCATCCGCTCTTCTACTTTCGAAACATATTATTTCACCCGTCTTTTCATTTCTCCCGTCGTCGCAGGTCACGGCAAAATTCCTCTCACGCACCCTCTCCCTGCCTCTGCGCCAAGCGAAAAGGTGCGGCCGAGTGTCGCGTTGCCTAATTCTCCCGTTCCGACTCCCCCTTCCGACTCCCCGTTCCGACTCCCCCTTCCGACTCCCCGTTCCGACTCCCCCTTCCGACTCCCCGTTCCGACTCCCCCTTCCGACTCCCCCTTCCGACTCCCCCTTCCGCCTTCCTTTCTCGCCATCCGGGATTCTTATTGCCCGTCCCCTCTTCTCTTCCGCCGTTAAATCGCTTTCCAAATCTCCCTGTCCCCACTCACCCTCCGCCACCACCTTTCCGCCACTCTGCCCCCCGCCACCCCCTTTTCCGCCAACCTCATCCCCTCTTCCCCCCGCCAACTTCCCCTTGTCTTCATCCCCGTCTTATGTGTTGTTATCGTGTGCTGGTTACCCTGTGCTGGTTACTGTTGACTAGTTCCCTGTGCTAGTTACCCTGAGATGGTTACCCTGTTGTCCTCTCCGCCAATGCAGTGTGTTACAGGGTTACTGGGAGCAGCACAAGGAGGAGGTGACAGCTGTCTGGGTGGTTTCGGGATGGATTGGTAACGGGGATGGAGGGAAAGCAGCATCAGAAGCAACGCCAGCAGCAGCAGCAGCAGCAGCAGCAGGAGGAGCAGCAGGAGGAGCGGCAGTCACAGCAGCAGGAGCAGGAACAGAGTCGGCAGGAGAGCAGCAGGCAGTCAAGGAGTTTCTCATGCGGCTAGTGCCCTCTGCTCACCTCGCTGGTAATTCCTGTCCCCTGGTTGCTTGCGCTGGGGGAAAGCCCAATTTGTGTTCTTGAATAGTACTATAGATTAGTACCTATTTGTGCCCATCTGTTTGCAACGCAGCAGGAGGAGGAGACGGTGCAGAGCCAAGCTGCCTGATACAATGACTCTTTCATCTGCCCCATCTGCCCGTGAAATTTACGCAGAAGCACAAGAGGCAATGGGGGGAGCCTCGGCCCACATCTACAGTGTGCAGCGGCTGTTACCACGTGATCTGGCTGTTCTCTGTGCTGCGGATGGGGCCATGGGCAACGGTGCTAGGGAGAGCAGGTGTGTAAGGCTGTGATTGAAGCATGAGTGTGCAGCGGCGGTTACCGCGCGACCTGGCTGTTCTCTGTGCTGCTGATGGGGCCATGGGCAACGGTGCTAGGGAGAGCAGGTGTGTAAGGCTGTGATTGAAGCATGAGTGTGCAGCGGCGGTTACCGCGCGACCTGGCTGTTCTCTGTGCTGCTGATGGGGCCATGGGCAACGGTGCTAGGAAGAGCAGGTGTGTAAGGCTGTGATTGAAGCATGAGTGTGCAGCGGCGGTTACCGCGCGACCTGGCTGTTCTCTGTGCTGCTGATGGGGCCATGGGCAACGGTGCAAAAGAGAGCAGGTGTGTGTGTGAGTGAGTTCGGGGCAATGGGGGAAGCGTCGGCCCACATTTACAGCGTGCAAAGGTGGTTACCGCGTGACCTGGCTGTTCTCTGTGCTGCTGATGGGGTCATGGGGAGCGGCGCAAGAGAGAGCAGGTGAGATTAAGCTTAAAGCCCGCGGCCCAAATTGCGGACCGCGCGGGTCAAGTTTTTAAAACTTGACGAAGTAGTGTTTGCAAGCTTTGAAAAGAAGCGCACCTGCAATTTGGGACTTTTTGGGACTGACCCAACCCCCAGGGCGAAATATGAGGGCAGGCTGGGTTTGGGAAAAAAAAACGAAACACGAAATCGAAATCACTTGCCAAAACCCAGACCAGAAAAACCCCCTCGCATCAACCTTTTAAAACTTGTGCAATTTGGGCCAACGGCTTTAAAGCATCAGAGTACGAGCAGGCTACCACAGTAGCCGATGCTGAGTCAGCCGCAGTGTTGGCATGTGCATTTGGGCGAGTTTTGGTCGCACATGTCCACCCATCTGCCTCGAAATCATTTGTAGACGGTTCCACCCGCCCTCACACATCACTGCCGCCTCCCCCTGTCCTCCCACCGTGTGTCCTCCCCCTCCCCCCCTCTGCAGTCTGATTGCCGTCCAACCCCCACCAATCTGCCTCAAAAGCCCTTGTAGACAACGGCCCCACCCGCCCTCACACGTCACTGCTGCCTCCCCCTGTCCTCCCACCGTGTGTCCTCCCCCTATCCCCCCTCTGCAGTCTGATTGCCGTCCAGCCCCCACACATCCACTCACATCACTGCCGCCTCCCCCTGTCCCTCACCCCCGCGTGTTCTCCCCCTCTCCTCTCCGCAGCCTAATTGCAATCCAGCCTTCACCCATCTGCCTCGAAATCCTTTGTAGACGGTTCCACCCATCCACTCACATCGCTGCTGCCTCCCCCTGCCCCCCACCCCCACGTGTTCTCCCCCTCCCCCCACCCTGCAGGCTGAGTGTCGTCCAGCCACCACCCATCTGCCTGGAAACGCTGCCCCCACCCTGCTGCAGCCTTAGCGCCGTCCAGCCAACCGCCTCCCCCTGCCCCCCACCACCTTGTGTTCTTCCACTCTCCCCCCCTCTGCAGCCTAAGTGTCGTCCAGCCACCACCCATCTGCCTGGAAACGCTTTCCAAGCGGCCCCACCCATCCGCACACATCACAGCTGCCTCCCCCATGCACTCCCATTCCCCTGCTGCTAATCCTGCTGCTGCTGGGGCTCCTGGTGCCGATAGAAAAGGGCAGCACGGGCAGCAAGGTGAGCATTCAAGAGGAGAGGCGGAAAGCAAGCAGGAGACGGAAGGAAGCAAGCAGCCGGTGCAGCAATCGAGGCAAACGAAGCCGGCAGAGCCCGTGGGGGCAGTGAAGCAAGGCCAGCGAGGCCAGCAAGGGGGTGTGGGGCGAGGGGAGTCAGAAAATGCAGATGTGAAGAGATCGAAGGATAGTGGGGATGGACCACTAGTACCCGCTGCTGCCACTGTTAGTGGTGCTGCTGCCGGTGCTGCTGGTGCTGTTGGTGGTGCTGGTGCTGGTGGTGCTGGTAAGCGAGAGGATAAAGGGGCAAAAAAGGTCAGCGGTGCCGGCGGCGCTTCTGGTGGGTCTGCTGTTGTTGACAAGGGGAAGAAAAATACCCTCATGGGCATGTGGACGAAATCAAAACCCCAGGGCGAAGTGAAGGGAGCAGGAGCTGCAAAGGCTAGAGAAGCCAAAGCAGCTGATGCTAATGGTAATGCCATCCTTGGTGCTGGTGGGGCTGTTAATGGCGATGGTGATGGTGGTGGTGACGGTGATGGTGGTGGTGGAGATGAGGAGGATGAGGAGGAGGAAGAGAGAGTGGGGTTTTCAAGAGGGGCCAGTGGGCGGTTGGGAAAGCAGGGCGCAAAGAAGAAACGGCGATTTGCAGTAGAGGAGGAGGAGGACGAGGAGGAAGAGGAGGAGGAGAAGGGGGGCAGGGAGGGGCAGGAGGAGGGTAAGGAGGATCGGAAGGAGGAGGGGAAGGGGGGGAATGAGTTGAGGATGGGAGAAGAGGAAGCAGAGGCAACGAATGTTGGGGACGTAGACAAAGGACAGGGGAATGCAGAGAAGGTGGAAACGGATGTGAGGGGGCATGGGACGAATGAGGGGGATGCTGGGGTGGATGGAAGCTGTTTTAGAGGGGATGGCAGTGCGGGTGGTGCTGATGCTGCGAGGGAGGGGAAGGAGGGAGTAGGAGAGGTGGCAGCAGAGGGAGGGGATGGAGATGAGAGAAAGGAGCGAGAAGCACGTGTGAAAGAGGAGGCTCGAACCAGCCAAGAGGATGGGGAGCAGAGAGGGAAACGGGGTGCTGCTGAGCAAGCTGATGAGCAAAACAAAGGGCATAGTGACAAGGAACTGAAAGGAAGAGGGCAGAAGAGAGTGAAGGGGGAGGATGCTTCTATCGAGACGCGTGGGGATGGGCTTGATAGCGGGTACAAGGAGGAGGGGAAGGGGGAGAGTGGGAAGAAGGTGAAGGTTGAGCAAGGATCTAGAGAGGACGCAGCTTTTGGTGCTGAGGATATCAAGCTGATGACTAAGGGGAGGAGAGGAGATGAGGAGAGGGGCGGAGGGGAGTTGGAAGGTAGAGACGAGGAAGCGGAAGGAGGAGGAGGGCGGGTAGAAGAGAAAGAGTCTGTTTTAGCTGAGGTTGGTGGAGGGAAAGAGGATGAGCTTAAAGGGGGGATGACTACGGAGGAAGGGAAGGAAGAGAAGGGGGTGAATGTGAAACGTGAGCATGAAGCAGCAGAGGGAGGGGCCTTTGGGTCGGAATCGATTCGGCTGATGAAGAAAGGGCGGAAAGGACATGCAAAGGCGAATGAGGAGAAAGAGGAGAAAAAGGAGGACAAGGAAAAAGAGGGCAAAATGGTGGAAGAGGTGAAAGAGGAGGAGGAGATAGCAGAGGTGGAGTTTGCTGTGAGGCTCACGCCGAAAGCGGCTGGTGCAATTAAGGGGAGGGGCGGGAGGGAGAGACGGACGGTGTGGAAGACTGATATCGACGACAGAGGAAGAGAAGGTGAGTTGCGGCTTCTGTGTGCCTGTGCTCCTTATTCCTTATTTCAAATGTCTCTGGTCCTCTTCACCACCTATACAGTATCGTCCCTATCCCGTTATGGCGCCTGTTTGAACGGCGATGACAGCACTCGTTTTTTCCAGTCGCGTTCGAAGGTGTAATACTGTGACAGAAAAAGCAATGCAGTCGGTGTGAGTGCAAATGATATGCTGTGTTGCTTGGTGCACCAATCGGCCGAATATGCCTGGGTCACATGCTAGTGGACGAGTTTGGGAACGAAGTGGTGGCAGCAGCCGTGGGCAATGCAGGGGAAGGGGGTGGGGATGCGGGCATGTGGTATACTGCATTGTTTCTCCCACCACTCAGTCATGTATGCCTCTCGTTTCTATCACATCCTTGCAGTCACACGGCAGGTGGAAGTGGACGAGTTTGGGAACGAAGTGGTGGCAGCAGCTGTGGGCAATGCAGGAGAGGGGGAAGGAAAACGGGAAGAGGACATAGATAGGGATGGAGCGATGGGGGAAGGCGAGCCTTGCAGCACACCAGAGGAGCGCGATGCGCCGAAGCAGAGCACAAGGTATGACCACTTCTCTGATCTAGTCTTGTCTTTTCACTCAAAGTGCTTTTGAGAAAAGCGATCCAGGTGAAGTGAGAGGGGAAGTGGAGTGGACGTCCATAGGGATGGGGAAATGGGGGGAGCGGAGCTTCGCAGCACACCGGCAGAGCCCAATGTGCCGAAGCAGAGCACGAGGTATGACCTGGTTTAGAATCGTCCAGCTCACCCCCCCTCCTTGTCGGAGGCGTCTCAAAAGACCTCCATCTGTCGTCGCATGTTCTCCCGTTTGAATGCTCTCAGCTGCCCCTTTCTCTTTCTCTTTGTCCTTCCTTCTTCTGCCCCTCAGTGAGCCTCTTTGTCTGCCTATCTGTCCATTCGTCCACCCTGAATCTACAGATCGACTAGTTAACCCTTGTATCATATCATATCATATCATATCATATCGAGCCTGTGTGTGCACAAGTGTCATTGACTGGATGTTTTTCTGTCCACAAGTGTCATTGACTGGATGTTTTTCTGTCCACAAGTGTCATTGACTAGATGTTTTTCTGTCCACAAGTGTCATTGACTGGATGTTTTTCTGTCCACAAGTGTCATTGACTGGATTTTTCCTTCTTCAAGTGCCATTCAAGATCAATACGTCTGCTGAAGTTCCATAGTATGCGTTTTGATGCGCTTTGATTTTCTGTGTTTCCTTTTCCAATGGCAGACACTCAGCCAAGGCTTCTGCTGCAAGCACGAAAGGAGGGAAGGGGCAGGGGAAGGGAGCAGAGAAGGGAGGGGGGCAGGGGAAGGGAGCAGCTGCTGCTGCTGGGGCAGGGAAAGGGACAGCAAAGGGTGGTGGGAAGGCTGCTGGGAAAGGGGGTCCTAAGAAGGGGCAGGGAAGCATCATGTCATTCTTTCAGAAGCGGACATGAAAGAGGCTGAGGCTGACAAGCTGACAAGTCGAGGGTTTTAGTCACGTTGCCTTAGGAACCAAGCGTGGTATTTGCTCGGTGTGTGTAATCCTTTTCTGCTAGCCCATCTTCAATCTAATTCGCTTTCATGCTGTTTTTCACAGCAGGCAAACAAAGTCTCATGCAATTTGCATTTAGGATATTCATAGTAGCCAGTTGAGAAACAAGTCTACGGTATCAATATCAACCGCTTCCTAACGAACGCTGGAAACCCGCTCGCCGCTTTTCGCGATTCCCTCACTAATCGCGCCCCTCATTCTTGGTGGTGGTTGATGGACGCGCTCACTACATGAGCGATTTTCATCGATACCGTACTCAACCGTCATTTATATACGTTAACTCTATTATTGTACGTTTGAAACCCTACTGGATTGTACTACAGTCAACTCTTATCACGTGTTGCGGGGCAAATTTCTTCACTGTTCTCATTCCGACTTCATTTCTTTCCGCAAATCCCGCCCAGAGTTCCACGAGCTGCGTTTGCGAAACTACTGCGGAGAGCATTGCTCCATTTTCAGCACGGCCGACTCGCCTTGGCCTACTGCCATCAGTGCCTTGCTCGTAAGAGTGACCTTTCGCCACATTACTCTTAGATTTCGACTGCGTTTCGCCTGCATTTCGCGAAAGCTACATTGCGCTTCGCACATCGCGGTATGCCGTCCGCCTCGCACCACCCGCGCGGAGCCTTTTCCGCCGCGCCCAGCTCCCTGACTTCCGCATTCTTCGGAAACAATGGTCGCGTCGCAGCACAAGCGCTCTGCGTCCTATTAATCTTCACCCTATGCTTAGTCTACACCACAACAAACGCCACGAGTCGCGAGCCGTCCGATTTAATTCAGCAGCCGGGCGGGGGAGACGCGGGGGAAGGCGGAACAGGGGGAGGCGGAATGGGAGAGGCGGAGATGCGGAGGGAGAAGGAAGAGGCGAATCTGGTGCGGCTGAATAGACTGGCGGGGGGCATGCCGGGAAGCGACGTGCGCGGATGGATTCTCTCCCCCATGCACATGGCGGCGGCGCATGGACTGGGGGGTGAGTGAGGGGCGTGGGGGGAAGATGGGAAGAAAAGGGGGGTAAAGGCTTAAGGAGGTCGGGGAGCGACGTGCGCGGATGGATTCTCTCCCCCATGCACGCCGCCGCGCAGCACGGGCTGGGGGGTGAGTGGGGAGGGTTTGGTTTGGGGTGGGGGGAGAGATGGGGTCGGGGAGATGGGGTGGGGGGATGCGAACAGCAGTAAGGGGAGCATGGGTTGCGGGGTGAGTGGGGAGAGTTTGGTTTGGGGTGGGGGGGGGAGATGGGTTGGGGAGATGGGTCGGGGAGATGGGGTGGGGGGATGGGGTGGGGGGATGCGAACAGCAGTAAGGGGAGCATGGGCTGCGGGGTGAGTGGGGAGGGTTTGGTTTGGGGTGGGGGGGGGAGATGGGTTGGGGAGATGGGTCGGGGAGATGGGGTGGGGGGATGCGAACAGCAGTAAGGGGAGCATGGGTTGCGGGGTGAGTGGGGAAGGTAGATGGGAGTGGGGAAAGGGAGGAATGGGGTGGATAGAATGGAGAGGTGGGGGTAGGGGCAGGGGAGAGTTCTTTTCTTGACCTTTTCCCGATTTACGCAGGCGTAACATGATCTGAGAATGTGCTCGCACTTTCCTCCTCAGCACCATGCCATGCCATACCCAATTATCCCATCCCACTGCATCCCATCCCATCCCACTGCATCCCATCCCGTCCCACCGGATCTCACCCCATCCCCATGCCATCAGGTGCCAAGTCATGTGTTGACGTGCATGTGGGCACGATAGGCCCAGGGAAGGTGCGAGGCAACCACCGCCACCACACCAAGAGCGAGTCTTTCCTCATCTGGGGGGCGAACGCTCGCATCCGGGTGAGAGGGGTCTTTTCCATGTACCTCCCGAAGCTCGCATGACGGGGTGTGTGTCTGATTGTGAATAAGGAACCGAAGGAAACACATGCGTTGGTTCTCCAATGCACCGCCACCACACCAAGAGCGAGTCCTTCCTCATCTGGGGCGCAGATGCTCGCATCCGGGTGAGTATGTGCTCTTCAGGACCTGAAGTGCTTGTTGAAATGTGTGTTTATGGATTAAGTCCCCAAGTGAACAGGAACGCGTGGGTTGGTACCAGGGAAGGGAAACCATCGCCACCACACCAAGAGCGAGTCCTTCCTCTCATCTGGGGGGCAGACGCCCTCATCCGGGTGTGCTCGAGGCTCTTCAGAAATAGACGCTCGCATCTGAGTGCATGTGTGTTGAGATGTGTGCTTGTGGAGTAGATTTGAAGGGAACAGGTAACACATCCTTTGGTTAAAAAATGCCCCACCTCATTCTTCCTCGCATCACCACCAGAAGGCCATTCCCTTACTGACTTTTGAGTCGACTCAAAAGTCAGCTCATTCCCTCCCTCCCTCTTTTCCCTTTCTGCCCTCCCCCCACCTCCCCCCCGGCCTCCCCCCCGGCCTCCCCCCCGGCCTCCCCCCCATCCTCCCATCCTCCCTTTTCCCCCCTTCCCACTGCAGATTGAAAATCCGTCAATGCCGGCCGGATATGCCGAGGTCATGCTGGATGCTGCTGACGTGGCAGTCTTCACAGGTCCAGCTGGCAGGGCACACGCGCTGGAGAATGTGGACAAGCAAGGTCGTACGCTCATTTTGTCTGCATGTGCGGATACAGAGTGGGACCCCGCCCATCCCGACACGGACTATCACATCTGGAAGGACATGTGATGGCGTGCCATAGACAAGTGAAGTGAGGGACCAGATTGGGCTAGCATTAAGGGAAGGTCATGTGATACCGTAGTATTTCTGTGATCCCATCACATCCCAACACGGACTATCACATCTGAAAGGACGTGATTTTGTGCCACTGACAAGGGACTGGACTGGGCTCGCATTCATCATATCTGCACATGTGATGCGATATTCTTTTGCCAAACACATACCGTATGAGAACAGATTGAACGCTGGTTTGCAGACTGGCAATGCTACGGTAAGCACCCTCTGCTGAGTCCCTACTTGTCAACCCAAATGGTGCCAGTCCAATATTGAAAAGGCAGTTCAGCTCTGTTGTACACCAACAACAAATGGCTCTAGTGAAAAGGGTGGCCAATAGATAGATACACGCCTTTTGGATACACGCCTAGTGATGTGTGGTCCATAGATACACGCCTTTTAGCTGGCTGGGCTCTGTGAAATGGATGGCCCAGGTCTTCAGTATGTTTTTGAGTTTTAATCCTTGTCCGTGTCAAAAGGTGGCCCATCCTGCTGCTGCAGGGGTGTTGGCGCTTGAGGGTTGATTGGATGGAGCAGGCTGGGTTGCTGATGGGAGGGACGACTGCAAGAAAGAGAGAACAGTACAGGACAGGATAGGGCACCAAAGCAAGCATGACAGATGCACAGTCAGTTGGTCAAAGAACCACACTGGCTTCACAAGGGAAAAATCCACAGGAAAAACGATGATAATATAAAAAAGTAAAAGTGCACTACGAAGAGCTCATACTGATTTCGGCCTGGATTTTTGGGCAAAAAAAGATCCAGCGTGCCCCTGGAATTGGAGATTTTGAATGATTACAGCCATGTACCTGGAGCTGTGAGAAATCCGCGAACGCTCCTGCCTGAGATCCCCCCCCTGATGCAGTCAGATTCCCCCCTCCTCTTGCTGCTGCGTCGCCTGCTGGTGCTGGAGGGGGCCCAGAGACTGTAGAGCGAGACGAGGAGCCAGCAGGAGGAGCAAGGCGCGCGATGCCACCGCTGCTAGTGCTGCTGCTTCTGCTTCTGCTGCTGTCGCCGGGAGGGGGAGCTAGAACGGCTACCCGGCCTGATGAAGATGAGGAGGAAGAGCGGGAGGAGGAAGATGAGGAGGAGGAGGAGGAGGAGGAGAGGAGGATGGTTTTTTCATGCTGATGCGGATGGTTTCGCCTTCCTGCACGTTGGAAGGGGAATATCAAGAATGAGTAAGAACGGAAACGTAGAAATGTGGAACGCTCGTACAGCGAATTGCCAGCATCTTGCTTCAGGACTAGCAAGACTCTTGCGATGAAGGCATATGGTACGCAGTGTAGTTTAGCGAGTTACCTTCAATTTCAGGTCCAATTTCGGCTGAGAATCTTCTTGCGCAGAATCCGCTTCCCCTGACGCCACATCCGAGGCTCTTTGCCTCTCATTCAGAACATGCTTCTCATGATCCGTCAGCGCGACATTGAAGTCGAAAGCAGAGTTTCTCTCCGCGAATCCGAGCCCGATGAACGCGTGGCGACCGCGACCGTCGTCGATCTTAAGCACGAAGTATCGTGAGCTGTCCGTCGCCGCTTCGACCGACGCGTCGCGTCGACCAGGCGCCACGTGGCACGCGGCGAACAGCTCGCCGGTGTTACTGTCTTCCAGGCGGATTTCGCAAGTTTCGCCGACGGAAACTACGCGGAGTCGTCCCCCCCAAATCTTGTCGCCGACGAGCCACTCTGCGCATTTGTAACCACCTGACGACTGCCGCGGAGGTATTTTGTAGACAGAGACTTCGCGAACGACGAGGAGGGTGTGTTCGAGAGGACCATCCGATCCATCGTCGAGCGACATGGCCGACGGTTTTGTGGTGTGAAAATAAGGCGAACCGGTTGTAATGCTGCCAGGGGAATTCGGATTACTTCTTAGTCGACTCGAATGTCACCTCGGCCGATCTCAACAGGTCCTGTCACGCGAATCTAGACGAGGCTTGGGAACACGTGGAGGGTGAGTGGAGGGTGGACTCCTATGCACACAATCGCAATCCAGAAGAGACTACTGTCAATATCCTTCGACGTCGCTCCTTTCTAGACAGCTCGTAATACCGTGGATTCTCCTGTCAACATCAATGTCTCTATTTGAATCCCACCAGCCATGGCCTGGTCACTCTTTGCCTGGTGCTATGGACGAGGACGAGGGATGAGGCTAATAACAAGAATCTGAGGGTACTAGTACGTATTTACAAAAACAGAACACCAAAACGGAACGGATTGGTTTCGGACTAGTTTCAATGTACAGTTGCACGCTTTCTAGATGACATCTCGTTACACTCGAACATGACAGACAAGTGCATTGACTCCGTACACTGTAGATTGTGCAAGCAACACGGCTTCACGAGGGATTTTTAGAGATATCTAGGCAAGGTGTTGATCGCCAGATAGTGCCTATTCCTAGACTAAGCAATACAATCACATACACATGAAATATAGGTATGTGACATACTTATTTATGCCATGCACAAATAGTTGGCGGCTGCAAATAGCACCATCAGAGAGCAAATAACAATGTCATAACCCAAATTACTTCATCCGCTGTCACTAGCCTGCTTTTCAAGCGCTGGCACGACGGGAGCTTCCCTCGGTTCACTTTTTAAAGGCGCGCTTTCTTCCGCATCCGCGGTGGTTGGGAGAGTAGGCGCAACCGGAACCTTCTCTTTGCCCCCTGGTCTCGACGATGCATTACCGTACCACACCATTCCCATGATGGAAAGTAACATCCCCATCAGGACCTGGTTATAGGTAGGTGTGGTTGCATCATTGGGAGGGGTTAAGAGTTGGGTTGAACACAGGAGAGAGGGTGAAGACACACAGACAGAAATTATTATTGTGATGCCAGTACGGAACTATGATATGGCATGGCATGTCATGGCCTGGTACGGCATAGTGTGGCATAGAGTGGTGTGGCATGCCATGGCATGGCACGGCATGGCTGGCGTGGCGTGGCATAGCATGGTGTGGCATCGCATGGCATCGCTTGGCATGGCATGGATTAGCATGAGATGACTTAGCAGCACACTGAGTCCATTCAGCCTCACGAGCACAAGCACATGGTGGGCCTTCATGTGACCCAGCCTGCACCGCCACTTACCTATGCGCTGAGTCCTTCCAACACAAAGAGAGCATATCCGAGCACAAGCACGGAGAGCGTTTTCATGTGCCCAGGCCTTGAAAAGCGCCTCATGCTTCTCCTCCCTCTGAACCGTATCCTTGTTCTTACAGCATGGCATGCACCATACACCCACTTACCGATGATGCGTTGAGTCTGGCCAAGCCAAAGATGGCATGTTTAAGCCAAAGATGGCATGTTTAAGCCAAAGATGGCATGTCCAAGCAAAGATGGCATGTCCAAGCAAAGATGGCATGTCCAAGCAAAGATGGCATGTCCAAGCAAAGATGGCATGTCCAAGCAAAGATGGCATGTCCAAGCAAAGATGGCATGTCCAAGCAAAGATGGCATGTCCAAGCAAAGATGGCATGTCCAAGCAAAGATGGCATGTCCAAGCAAAGATGGCATGTCCAAGCAAAGATGGCATGCCCAAGCAAAGATGGCATGTCCAAGCAAAGATGGCATGTCCAAGCAAAGATGGCATGCCCAAGCAAAGATGGCATGTCCAAGCAAAGATGGCATGTCCAAGCAAAGATGGCATGTCCAAGCAAAGATGGCATGTCCAAGCAAAGATGGCATGTCCAAGCAAAGATGGCATGTCCAAGCAAAGATGGCATGTCCAAGCAAAGATGGCATGTCCAAGCAAAGATGGCATGTCCAAGCAAAGATGGCATGTCCAAGCAAAGATGGCATGTCCAAGCAAAGATGGCATGCCCAAGCAAAGATGGCATGTCCAAGCAAAGATGGCATGTCGCGGAAAGCGTTTTTAAGCGTGGCCCAGCCTGCACTGCCACTTACCGATGCGTTGAGACCGTCCAGCCCAAAAATGGCGTATCCGAGAACGAGCACGGAGAGCGTTTTCATGTGGCCCAGGCCCTGGAAGGTGAGGGCTGTGAAGCGACCGATGCAGATGAACTGACTGGCGTTGACCGCCACTGCTATCAGGCATGAGAGGCCGATGCACAGCTGGTGGGTGTGGGGGGGGAAAGGGGTAGGGTGAAGGGGAGTGAAGATGGGAGTGGTTAAGAAAATGAGTTGACTCGCGTTGACTGCCACGGCTATCAGGGATGAGAGGCTGCACAGCTGGTAGGGGGGGTGGGGCGGAGGTGGGGGGTGAGAGGGGGAAGTGGAGGGAATGGGAGTGGGAATGAGGAAGGGGAGATATGAAACTGGGAACGGAGGTGGGAATAGGTATGGGAGAGGCAGGCAGAGAGCAAATCCAAGCACGAGCACGGAGAGCGTTTTCATAGGGCCGATGCAAATGACTGACTTGCGCTGAGTGCCACGGTAATGAGGGGGGAGATAGGTAGAGTGAACGGGAGAACTCACAACAGGCAGATGCACAGTGGTGGCGGCGGGGGAAGGGGGGTGAAGGGGGAAATGGAGTAGTAGGGAGCATGAGCAGAGTTGTATTGACTGCCAACGCTATGAGGCACAACAGCCCAATGCAGAGGTAGTGGAGGTGGGGAAGGGATCAGAAGTGGAAGCTGAGAGCTCCCACCAGCCGTCATTGGACTGACTCGCGTTGACAACCCCTGCTACGCGGTACAGGAGACTGCTTTTGAGGCGCCTCAAAACCAGCCGACATTGGACTGACTGGCACTGACAGGTTCTGCTACAAGGTACAGGAGACTGGCCAAGTGTTAGCATGTGGAGAAGAGAGGGAGTGAGGAGGCGGAAAAACATAAATCGAGTCGCGTTGGCTGCCAGCCAGACTGCTTGTGAACTCTGAACACGTGGCACTCCCAGGACTTGGCACTCCAAAAAGAAGGTTTTCCTGAAATGACTAATCGCAAAACCATGAGCTCAGGACGGAGGGCACTCAGCTCAGCACAGAGGGCCTAAATGACTCAATGAGAACAAACACGCTCGCCATGGAAAGAACACTCAAGTCGTAGCTGTCATCCCGCACACCTGGGAGCAGCCAGTAGACAAGTGGCCCCAACAGAACGAGCGCTCCTGGGAGAACAGAAGCATGGAGACTCTAGGACACAAGCACTCACCACAGAGGGCACACTCAAGTCGTAGGTGTCACCCCGGCGCCTGAGAGGAGCCGGTCAATGAGAGGGCCCAGCAGCACGAGCGAGCCCGCTTGCACGAGTGCTAGTGAACCGATATAAGACCATGCACGCACCATAGACGGCACTCACCACCGAAGGCACACTGAAGTCGTAGCTGTCAACCCTGGCACCAGACAGCAGCCAGTCTATGAGCGGCCCCAGCAGCACGAGCGAGCCGGCTTGCACGGGTGCTGTGTGGGAGAGCAGGTCGAACGAACCCAGCCGGTACTTCTTCTGCAGGTATTGCACGTACTGTGGTGGGGAGTGGAGAGGGTTGGGGATGGGTGGAGCGGGTGGGAAGGGACATATTGAAGAAGATATATGGAGTTGCAAAAGGGGAAGGGAAGGTGCGAAGCTGTGTGGGAGAGCAGGTCAAACGAGCCGAGACGGTATTTCTTCTGCAGGTATTGCACGTACTGTGGTGGAAAAGGGTGGGGGGGGATTGGGAAGCGTATGTAGGAGGAGATGATTAGAAATGCGTGAGGAGGGCACAGCCAGTGGAGGGCGGAGGGGCATATAGGAGGCTGTGAATAGGAATGCGGAAGGGGGAGGGAGGTGTGAGGTCGCGAGGCGAGGGAGAGCAGGTATTGCACGTGCTGTGGAGGGGAGTAGAGAGCGGTGAAGTGGGATGGGGCGGGGAGGGAAGGGGCATTTCGGTTGAGAAGAATGGAAGGAAAAGAGAGAAGCTTTGTGGGTTTTGCAGGTCAAAGGAGGCTTTGAAGGAGCCCTCTAGTAAGTGGGAGCGGAGCAAGTAGAAGGAGCTGCGTGTGGGGGCAGGTGGAATAAGCCCAGGTAATAATATACCTCTATCCTTGCAGAGAGTCAATCATACGCCAGTCATAGCTACCAAATCCATTTAAACCAGATCACTCACGTATTGCTGCAGGGCGGTGGAGCAGACAGCAACGGCAGCTGCCACCATGCCCTTCACGCTGAGACTGCTGTCTGCGATCGTGCATGTGGCCACCCCTATGAGCACGAGCAGCACGGAGAGGCGCGAGCCCTGGGAGTAGCGCATGCGATCAAAGAAGACTTCGAGGACGCATGATACGGGAATCATGCCCAGCTTGGCGATCTGGCGGGTGCAGAGGGATGGATGGGGGGAAAACACGAGAAACACGAGACAGGAATCATGCTCAGCATGGCGATCTGGATGGCGTCACAGAGATGGACAAGAGGGGGGGACAAGGGGGTACTGAGACGACTGGAGAACGTGGAGCATGGAGAACGTGGAGCATGGAGAACGTGGAGCATGGAGAACGTGGAGCATGGAGAACGTGGAGCATGAAGAACGTGGAGCATGGAGAACGTGGAGCATGAAGAACGTGGAGCATGGAGAACGTGGAGCATGGAGAACGTGGAGCATGAAGAACGTGGAGCATGGAGAACGTGGAGCATGGAGAACGTGGAGCATGGAGAACGTGGAGCATGGAGAACGTGGAGCATGAAGAACGTGGAGCATGGAGAACGTGGAGCATGAAGAACGTGGAGCACGGAGAACGTGGAGCATGGAGAACGTGGAGCATGAAGAACGTGGAGCATGGAGAACGTGGAGCATGAAGAACGTGGAGCATGGAGAACGTGGCGCATGAAGAACGTGGAGCACGGAGAACGTGGAGCATGGAGAACGTGGAGCATGGAGAACGTGGAGCATGAAGAACGTGGAGCATGAAGAACGTGGAGCATGAAGAACGTGGAGCATGGAGAACGTGGAGCCTTGAGAGTAGCACATGCGTAAAGAAAAGATCCCAAGGACGCCAGAGACGGGGACCAGACCCAGCTTGGCTATCTGCATGGGGGTAAACGGACAGCTGGTAGAATCCAACGCTGTTCCACATGAGGCTGACGTCCATCCCCACGATCAGCATGTCAACTGGCGGAAATCGCGCTGAGCACCCATCAGGATCGTACTCAATACAAGCACGCTCAGTACAAGCACACACCCTGTAAAATCTGAGGCTGTTTCACATCAGGCTAAAATTCATTTCCAAAATTGGCACACTGGCAGTTACCGCACTGAGCCCCTGTAAGAATCAGGCTCAATCAAAACACACTCCATACAAACACACACGCGTGATACAAGCACACACACCTGATAGAAACAGGCACACACACACACACACACACAAACTTCGACGCTGATAGGCTCAACCAAATCACGCTCCTTTTGTGCACAACCGCTTGATATAGCGCACACACCTGATACAAGCACTCACACCCTATAATAGCTCACGCACCTGATAGATTCCGACGCTGTTCCACATCAGGCTGGCGTTCTCCCTCGAATTCCTCACATGGACTACCGTACTGAGCACCTATTAGAATCAGGCTCAATCAAGCTCATGCACCTGATAGATTCCGACGCTGTTCCACATCAGGCTGGCGTTCTCCCTCAAATTCCTCACATGGACTACCGTACTGAGCACCTATTAGAATCAGGCTCAATCAAGCTCACGCACCTGATAGATTCCGACGCTGTTCGACATCAGGCTGGCGTTCTCCCTCAAATTCCTCACATGGACTACCGCACTGAGCACCTATTAGAATCAGGCTCAATCAAGCTCACGCACCTGATAGAATCCGATGCTGTTCCACATCAGGCTGATGTTCATTCCCGCACAGTAACAGTTACCGCACTGTATCCCTATCAGGATCAGGCTCAATCAAAGCACACTCGGTACAAGCACACGCACCTGATAGAATCCGACGCTGTTCCACATCAGGCTGACGTTCATCCCCACGATGGACACGTTGGCAGTCAGCGCGAATTTCACCTGCTCCATCAGCGGCAGCTGCGAAGGTTCCAGGTATCCGCTCAGACGCAACGCTGACGTCATCAGCGACGTCATGATGAAGTGGAGGCCGGTGAGGGTGGCGGCTGCGGAAGAGAGAAATTTGAGGGTAAAATTTTGTCATTCATGAGGGGGAGGAAAAAGAAAAACAAAACAGAAAAGAAATTGTGAGTCGACATTCACAAGTGACCTAGAGCAGGAATGGGGATGAAAACAAGGGTAGGGATCTGCGAGAGCCAATTCGTTAGCGGGAGATGAGATCGGAAACTAGGAGTATCTGGGAACATGCTTCAGGGTAGAATGGGAACCTGCACTGAGAAATCTCAAAACACTCCTGCTTCAGGAGAAGTTTCAAGGTAGAATGCGAGCAAGTGATAGGGATTGTTGAATACGACGAAGACAATGGAAACCAGACAAAAGAAAACGGAGGCTTGGTTAGTATCAAACTCCTTGACCGAGCCAGCATAGCGAAGCGACGGCATTGCGTAGTCACGAAGAAGCGTGCAGCTCGAAGGATCGGTACAATACGAGCGCAGAAAATTCGCGTTGAGAATCACGTTTTGAGAAGTCTCAAAGCGTGCGGCTAGAAGGATCGGTACGCGCAACAGCATATACACGTTACAAACGATTTTTGCTCCTACGAGGTCATGAGAGTGCATGGTTAAGGATCGCACCGAAGTGGAAGTTGTAATGTGTCATTAGGTACTTGTTGACCACGATGATACTGACAGATGTAACGACATTGAACACCCAGGAAAGAACGTCCGTTACGAGCTTCTGATGCCGCGACACGGCCGGCGTCTCCATCATCGGAGATTTTGGACCGAAATTGGACCGACGCGAGAGATCGTCGCAATGCAGGACGAGTACGGAGAAATGCTGACTCTTTTCTCCAGGACTAAGTAACGTATTATTTCCTGTGAATCGCGACAAGCCGTACAATTGGGAGTGATTTCAAGATGCCAGAAAGGCGCGTGTGGCACAGGATTAGGCACGTGTCTCGACTAGTCCTAAAGAGGACAGCGGAGCCGCCTAACGACTCCCAGCTCTTGTTAGCCTTAGCCTTAGCCCAGGAGCTTCCTCGGTCCTAAGAAGGCACAACACCGAGGCAAGCTCACCAACCGACCAATCATACTCCCGTGACTCTCGTTTTGAACCAACAGACTGGATGCTTTGGATCCCATTCACCAGACGCGAGAGCTTTGGAAATGGATCTGTCACAAACTCAGAGGCGAGAGGGCGTAACTAAACAAAAGCCCTGGTTCTCGAAAGGCGAGGTGACACATTTCGTTTGAAATTTCAGCGACATCTGTGCACCAGCCTGAAACAGAATCCGAAATGGAACTGAAACAGAACTAGAGATTCGTTGTGAACACACTAGCCAAACACGCCAGTTGTGGATTAAGTGATTGCTACACTCAAGCCTCACCCACCCGCCACTAATTTTGTTTTTTTTTAGTTAGCATTACCTTATTAACAAGCCCTAGCCCAAAGAACTTAATATACATATGGCAGCACTAAATTTTGTACATACATAGGAATTTTCACGTTTTATTTGACTCAAAAATGCTCGTGCAATACAGTGAGCCTAACATTGAGCTACACTAGATAAACTGTATGAACAGATGTATGATACAATCCATTAGTTATTTTGCCGCATAAATGTGAATCAACTATTAATACGCTAATCTTTATGTTAGCAATGTTCGGTTTGACTACCAAGGCAAGGGTCTGTTTGCCCCATGTGGAATTATGTTATAACTAGTTTAACCTTATGTTACAGACATCCAGAGTGTGCATAACAGGGGACTTGTTGGCGTTGGCAGGAGCGTACGATCTGCCCTCACAGTCGTTCACCGCAACTCACGCTGCGTACGAGTTCACCAACAACCCTTGCACTCATCCTACGTGGATGTGCCACTCCCATCCCATCCATCCGATTGCCCTGAAGTTGTACGATGCTCTTCGTACATATCCGCGCCGCGGTGGCTGCGAAAATTCGTGCAATCGCGGTCCGTGCTCGTTTGGATTTGCGTCTCCTTCATCACCTTCTTCACATGCCCACCTAAATGGAATCTGGAGGTATAAAGTTACAGGCAAATCTGAGTAACAACCATCCAGCAGAACTAAGCAAACAGGCTTCCAAATCGTATAGCAGTCAAAACCTGCTCCTGCTTCTGGTGGATCTCTGAGCGTGACCATGGCTTCTGTCTCCGCTCTTTCGTCCGGCATTCAGGTACGTTCAGCCAAAAAGTTCACTACAATGTTCAGTTCAGTTTCCAAGTTCCCAAACAACTTTCTGCTTATTCGACGCCTTCTCTTACCTCAGGCCTCTTCCGTCAGCACCTTCGCGGGAAAACAGCTCAACATCGCCAAGTCCCGCAGTGGCACCGTCAAGCTCGCCGCCAAACGCCCTGCAGTGTCTGTGAAGGCCAGCAGCGAGAGCACATCCTCTGACGTCAGCCGCCGCGAAGTCCTCAAGGCAGCTCTCGTTCTTGGCGCTGCTGTGCCCGCGTCTGCCTCTGGGTTCCTCTCCTTCGCCCCTGCCAGGTATCACAGTGCACGCGCTAGCACATAGGAAAATTTCCTCGTCTTTGCCCAGTGGAAAACTTTCTTCAGATATTTTTGCTGCTTGTGCAACGTATAACTCTGTGTTTGCAGCTCCGCTGATGAGTCGGTGGCGAAGGATCTGAGCGGAAAGGTGGTGTTTGCGGACAACTGGCTCGCCACGCACAAGGCTGGCGACAGGACGCTCGTCCAGGGCCTTGATGTAAGCACATCTTGTTCAAGAACCTTGATTATCATTGTTCATCTCTCTACCTCTACCTCTCCCTCTCCCTCACCTCCTCTCCATCCTCTCCCTCTCCCTCTCCCTCCTCTCTCTCTCATCTCCCCCCCCCCTCTCCTCTCTCTCTCTCCCTCTCCCTCTCTCTCCCCCTCTCTCTCTCTCCCCCTCTCTCTCTCTCCCCCTCTCTCTCTCTCCCCTCTCTCTCTCTCTCCACCTCTCTCTCTCCCCTCTCTCTCTCCTCCCCCTCTCTCTCTCTCCCCCTCTCTCTCTCTCCCCTCTCTCTCTCTCCCCCCCCCCCTCTCTCTCTCCACCTCCTCTCTCTCTCTCCCCCCCTCTCTCCCCCCCTCTCTCTCTCTCCCCCTCTCTCTCCCCCCCCCCTCTCTCTCTCCCCCTCTCCTTTCCCCCTCTCTCTTTCCCCCTCTCTCTCCCCCTCTCTTGAAAACTTGGCCATCAGCACCATGTGGCTTGCTTTCTGATGTGATGCCTCTTTCTCTCCTCTTCCCTATCTCTATTTCCCAATGTATTCCACTCCAGGACGAGCCGGCTTACATTGTTGTGAACGACGATGGGACACTCAGCAACTTTGCCATCAACGCCATCTGCACGCACATGGGGTGTGTGGTGCCGTGGGTGGCGGAGGAGAACAAGTTCATGTGCCCCTGCCATGGCTCCCAGTACAACAATCAGGGCATGGTCGTGCAGGGCCCGGCTCCTCTGGTACGTATATCCTTGTTATTGCAATTAGATCTGGATAAATGTGCAGTACATAGCTCCAATAAGTGCTCATTGCTGTTTTTACCGATCACCTTGTTCAGCTTCTGCTTTTTTCCAGTAGATCCATGTTGAGGCTTCAGCTTATCTGTCTACCTCCATGCGGTTGATCTCCTCTTTTCTGTCTGCTGATTTTAAGCATGGAATATTGAATGATTCTCTTTGTTGGTCCATGCATGTGTCATCTGCTCCGTTCCCTTTCCCTTCTCTTGCTCTTAAAGCACGGTGATCTGGTGGGTAGCAAGGTGGTTTCTCCACAGCGACTGAGCCAATGTTCCCCTTCTCTTTCCCTCGTCTCCCTCTGTTTCCTCTCCTCCTCTCCCTCCTCCCACAAAGTCTCTGGCCCTCGTGGGTAGGTGGCAAGCAAGTTTCTCGTGTGCACGTGGCCTCACCCAATTAACTCTATCCCCCTCGTTTCCTTCTCCCTCCCTCTCACTCAGTCTCTGGCTTGAGCATGCCAACGTGGTGGGCGGCAAGGTAGTCTTCTCCACGTGGACTCACCCAATTAACTCTATCCCCCTCGTTTCCTTCTCCCTCCCTCTCACTCAGTCTCTGGCTTGAGCATGCCAACGTGGTGGGCGGCAAGGTAGTCTTCTCCACGTGGACTCACCCAATTAACTCTATCCCCCTCGTTTCCTTCTCCCTCCCTCTCACTCAGTCTCTGGCTTGAGCATGCCAACGTGGTGGGCGGCAAGGTAGTCTTCTCCACGTGGACTCACCCAATTAACTCTATCCCCCTCGTTTCCTTCTCCCTCCCTCTCACTCAGTCTCTGGCTTGAGCATGCCAACGTGGTGGGCGGCAAGGTAGTCTTCTCCACGTGGACTCACCCAATTAACTCTATCCCCCTCTTTTCCTTCTCCCTCCATCCAACTCAGTCTCTGGCCCTTGAGCATGCCAACGTGGAGGGTGGCAAGGTCGTCTTTTCCACGTGGACGGAGACTGACTTCCGAACTGGCGAGGAGCCCTGGTGGATGGAGGACTAGATCACAGCTACCTGGTTACCACGTTGCTAAGCTGACGATGTACCAGGCAACTGTCCTATAATGTGGACCATGATGCATTGTACATCATACTGCATGTTTTCCAAGGAGGAATAAGATTCCTTAACCATGAGAAGAAATAGTCAATACATCAATGTGTCCGAAACACTACAAGCCTTGGTTTACTCAGCTCTTAGTGAACAGTGCAATAAACAGTGCATTCGTGTTGGAAGTGGGAGGGTCAAATCTGAGAGTGTGTTGTATACCGCCAGGCCTGCATGGCCAGTCCTTAGCCTCCTTCACTTGGATTAACTCTGGAAAATGGAAGGGTGTGAAATGGGTAATCTACTGAAAAAAACAAACAAACATACAAACGAACAAACGAACAAACAAACTAATTAACAAACAAAACAGAGCATCATAGCTGGGATGATAGTTACTAGATTGCCTAGGCAATGGCAGGCAATGAGCTTTGGGAAGAATCAAAATAGGAGCAAAGAGCTTTCTGAAATTGTGTTACGCGTTAGGAAAAGCACAGTTAGACATGAAGAGATGTGCAATGATGGGAGGTATTCGGCGCAGCAAGGGCAAACACAATGAGAGGCAAAAGAGTCGAATATACGGGCATGATGGCGGATGGAGGATGCATAGTGCACTGATGACAGGTGCACTGATGACAGGTGCACTGATGACAGGTGCACTGATGACAGGTGCACTGATGACAGGTGCACTGATGACAGGTGCACTGATGACAGGTGCACTGATGACAGGTGCACTGATGACAGGTGCACTGATGACAGGTGCACTGATGACAGGTGCACTGATGACAGGTGCACTGATGACAGGTGCACTGATGACAGGTGCACTGATGACAGGTGCACTGATGACAGGTGCACTGATGACAGGTGCACTGATGACAGGTGCACTGATGACAGGTGCACTGATGACAGGTGCACTGATGACAGGTGCACTGATGACAGGTGCACTGATGACAGGTGCACTGATGACAGGTGCACTGATGACAGGTGCACTGATGACAGGTGCACTGATGACAGGTGCACTGATGACAGGTGCACTGATGACAGGTGCACTGATGACAGGTGCACTGATGACAGGTGCACTGATGACAGGTGCACTGATGACAGGTGCACTGATGACAGGTGCACTGATGACAGGTGCACTGATGACAGGTGCACTGATGACAGGTGCACTGATGACAGGTGCACTGATGACAGGTGCACTGATGACAGGTGCACTGATGACAGGTGCACTGATGACAGGTGCACTGATGACAGGTGCACTGATGACAGGTGCACTGATGACAGGTGCACTGATGACAGGTGCACTGATGACAGGTGCACTGATGACAGGTGCACTGATGACAGGTGCACTGATGACAGGTGCACTGATGACAGGTGCACTGATGACAGGTGCACTGATGACAGGTGCACTGATGACAGGTGCACTGATGACAGGTGCACTGATGACAGGTGCACTGATGACAGGTGCACTGATGACAGGTGCACTGATGACAGGTGCACTGATGACAGGTGCACTGATGACAGGTGCACTGATGACAGGTGCACTGATGACAGGTGCACTGATGACAGGTGCACTGATGACAGGTGCACTGATGACAGGTGCACTGATGACAGGTGCACTGATGACAGGTGCACTGATGACAGGTGCACTGATGACAGGTGCACTGATGACAGGTGCACTGATGACAGGTGCACTGATGACAGGTGCACTGATGACAGGTGCACTGATGACAGGTGCACTGATGACAGGTGCACTGATGACAGGTGCACTGATGACAGGTGCGCTGTTGACAGGTGCAATGATGACAGGTGCACTGATGACAGGTGCACTGATGACAGGTGCACTGTTGACAGATGCACTGATGACAGGTGCACTGATGACAGGTGCACTGATGACAGGTGCACTGATGACAGGTGCACTGATGACAGGTGCACTGATGACAGGTGCACTGATGACAGGTGCACTGATGACAGGTGCACTGATGACAGGTGCACTGATGACAGGTGCACTGATGACAGGTGCACTGATGACAGGTGCACTGATGACAGGTGCACTGATGACAGGTGCACTGATGACAGGTGCACTGATGACAGGTGCACTGATGACAGGTGCACTGATGACAGGTGCACTGATGACAGGTGCACTGATGACAGGTGCACTGATGACAGGTGCACTGATGACAGGTGCACTGATGACAGGTGCACTGATGACAGGTGCACTGATGACAGGTGCACTGATGACAGGTGCACTGATGACAGGTGCACTGATGACAGGTGCACTGATGACAGGTGCACTGATGACAGGTGCACTGATGACAGGTGCACTGATGACAGGTGCACTGATGACAGGTGCACTGATGACAGGTGCACTGATGACAGGTGCACTGATGACAGGTGCACTGATGACAGGTGCACTGATGACAGGTGCACTGATGACAGGTGCACTGATGACAGGTGCACTGATGACAGGTGCACTGATGACAGGTGCACTGATGACAGGTGCACTGATGACAGGTGCACTGATGACAGGTGCACTGATGACAGGTGCACTGATGACAGGTGCACTGATGACAGGTGCACTGATGACAGGTGCACTGATGACAGGTGCACTGATGACAGGTGCACTGATGACAGGTGCACTGATGACAGGTGCACTGATGACAGGTGCACTGATGACAGGTGCACTGATGACAGGTGCACTGATGACAGGTGCACTGATGACAGGTGCACTGATGACAGGTGCACTGATGACAGGTGCACTGATGACAGGTGCACTGATGACAGGTGCACTGATGACAGGTGCACTGATGACAGGTGCACTGATGACAGGTGCACTGATGACAGGTGCACTGATGACAGGTGCACTGATGACAGGTGCACTGATGACAGGTGCACTGATGACAGGTGCACTGATGACAGGTGCACTGATGACAGGTGCACTGATGACAGGTGCACTGATGACAGGTGCACTGATGACAGGTGCACTGATGACAGGTGCACTGATGACAGGTGCACTGATGACAGGTGCACTGATGACAGGTGCACTGATGACAGGTGCACTGATGACAGGTGCACTGATGACAGGTGTGACAGGTGCACTGATGACAGGTGCACTGATGACAGACGCACTGATGACAGGTGCACTGGTGACAGGTGCACTGTTGACAGGTGCACTGATGACAGGTGCACTGATGACAGGTGCACTGATGACAGGTGCACTGATGACAGGTGCACTGATGACAGGTGCACTGATGACAGGTGCACTGATGACAGGTGCACTGATGACAGGTGCACTGATGACAGGTGCACTGATGACAGGTGCACTGATGACAGGTGCACTGATGACAGGTGCACTGATGACAGGTGCACTGATGACAGGTGCACTGATGACAGGTGCACTGATGACAGGTGCACTGATGACAGGTGCACTGATGACAGGTGCACTGATGACAGGTGCACTGATGACAGGTGCACTGATGACAGGTGCACTGATGACAGGTGCACTGATGACAGGTGCACTGATGACAGGTGCACTGATGACAGGTGCACTGATGACAGGTGCACTGATGACAGGTGCACTGATGACAGGTGCACTGATGACAGGTGCACTGATGACAGGTGCACTGATGACAGGTGCACTGATGACAGGTGCACTGATGACAGGTGCACTGATGACAGGTGCACTGATGACAGGTGCACTGATGACAGGTGCACTGATGACAGGTGCACTGATGACAGGTGCACTGATGACAGGTGCACTGATGACAGGTGCACTGATGACAGGTGCACTGATGACAGGTGCACTGATGACAGGTGCACTGATGACAGGTGCACTGATGACAGGTGCACTGATGACAGGTGCACTGATGACAGGTGCACTGATGACAGGTGCACTGATGACAGGTGCACTGATGACAGGTGCACTGATGACAGGTGCACTGATGACAGGTGCACTGATGACAGGTGCACTGATGACAGGTGCACTGATGACAGGTGCACTGATGACAGGTGCACTGATGACAGGTGCACTGATGACAGGTGCACTGATGACAGGTGCACTGATGACAGGTGCACTGATGACAGGTGCACTGATGACAGGTGCACTGATGACAGGTGCGCTGTTGACAGGTGCACTGATGACAGGTGCACTGATGACAGGTGCACTGATGACAGGTGCACTGATGACAGGTGCACTGATGACAGGTGCACTGATGACAGGTGCACTGATGACAGATGCGCTGATGACAGAAGCACTGTTGACAGGTGCAATGATGACAGGTGCACTGATGACAGGTGCACTGATGACAGGTGCACTGATGACAGGTGCACTGATGACAGGTGCACTGATGACAGGTGCACTGATGACAGGTGCACTGATGACAGGTGCACTGATGACAGGTGCACTGATGACAGGTGCACTGATGACAGGTGCACTGATGACAGGTGCACTGATGACAGGTGCACTGATGACAGGTGCACTGATGACAGGTGCACTGATGACAGGTGCACTGATGACAGGTGCACTGATGACAGGTGCACTGATGACAGGTGCGCTGTTGACAGGTGCAATGATGACAGGTGCACTGATGACAGGTGCACTGATGACAGGTGCACTGTTGACAGATGCACTGATGACAGGTGCACTGATGACAGGTGCACTGATGACAGGTGCACTGATGACAGGTGCACTGATGACAGGTGCATCGTTGACAGGTGCACTGATGACAGGTGCACTGATGACAGGTGCACTGATGACAGGTGCACTGATGACAGGTGCACTGATGACAGGTGCACTGATGACAGGTGCACTGATGACAGGTGCACTGATGACAGGTGCACTGATGACAGGTGCACTGATGACAGGTGCACTGATGACAGGTGCACTGATGACAGGTGCACTGATGACAGGTGCACTGATGACAGGTGCACTGATGACAGGTGCACTGTTGACAGCACGCCGCTTCACATTACGATGGTGGAAGCATGGAGGATTATGAACGGATGATAGACGGTGGAAGGATGAAGGATGGTGGAAGGAGGATGGATGGTGGGAAGGGCGATGGATGGAAGGAAGGGCGATGGATGGTGGGAATGCTGACCTGCATCATTGGAATGTCTGTCCAGAAACCATCTCACCACGTCTTCGTTCTGGGTGACCGTGAGGCTGGAAGGTAGTGAGTTGCAGGGAGGAGTAAGGAAGAGAAAGGAGAGAGACTAAACGGAGTCATTGGATCGAAAAAAGACAGCCATTGCAGATCACATATTCCTTCTGATATCGTGAGGCTGGGAGGTGAGGAAATAGAACGAGGGGAACTAATGGAAGAAATCGAGTAATTGAAGCACACAGGTGGAATCCATCAGGTCGTCACTCATAGCGGAAGAGCTGCAATTCTGAAGCACACAGGTGGAATCCATCAGGTCTTCACTCATAGCGGAAGAGCTGCAATTCTGAAGCACACAGGTGGAATCCATCAGGTCTTCACTCATAGCGGAAGAGCTGCAATTCTGAAGCACACAGGTGGAATCCATCAGGTCTTCACTCATAGCGGAAGAGCTGCAATTCTGAAGCACACAGGTGGAATCCATCAGGTCTTCACTCATAGCGGAAGAGCTGCAATTCTGAAGCACACAGGTGGAATCCATCAGGTCTTCACTCATAGCGGAAGAGCTGCAATTCTGAAGCACACAGGTGGAATCCATCAGGTCTTCACTCATAGCGGAAGAGCTGCAATTCTGAAGCACACAGGTGGAATCCATCAGGTCTTCACTCATAGCGGAAGAGCTGCAATTCTGAAGCACACAGGTGGAATCCATCAGGTCTTCACTCATAGCGGAAGAGCTGCAATTCTGAAGCACACAGGTGGAATCCATCAGGTCTTCACTCATAGCGGAAGAGCTGCAATTCTGAAGCACACAGGTGGAATCCATCAGGTCTTCACTCATAGCGGAAGAGCTGCAATTCTGAAGCACACAGGTGGAATCCATCAGGTCTTCACTCATAGCGGAAGAGCTGCAATTCTGAAGCACACAGGTGGAATCCATCAGGTCTTCACTCATAGCGGAAGAGCTGCAATTCTGAAGCACACAGGTGGAATCCATCAGGTCTTCACTCATAGCGGAAGAGCTGCAATTCTGAAGCACACAGGTGGAATCCATCAGGTCTTCACTCATAGCGGAAGAGCTGCAATTCTGAAGCACACAGGTGGAATCCATCAGGTCTTCACTCATAGCGGAAGAGCTGCAATTCTGAAGCACACAGGTGGAATCCATCAGGTACATTTCATGAGATCTTTTAACATAAAAAGGAAAATCCTCCGAGAGTATAAACTTGTGCAAATAAATATGTACAGTGAACAGTTGAGTACATCTACAAGTAGAGTACACCAGCCTCCCTCCTATATACATCTACTGTATATTTACACCATCACTATACCTATACATATGCATTCACTTGTACACTACAAGCTCACCTGCAAGTGGAGTATACCAGCCTCCCTCCTAGTTTTGGCTATATATGTATACCATTTATAGGTACATGTACATGCATCTGTACACTAAAGTCTCACCTGCACGTGGAGTACACCAGCCTCCCTCCTGGCTTCAACAGCCAGAAGCCAGTCTCGAGAAGAGAGTGCTGCAGCAAGGGAAGAGAGAGGGGAAAGAGCGGGGAGAGGGAAGAGAAACGGAAGCGAATGAGGAAGAGAGAGCTAAATCTGATGGATTCAAGCACATAGTAATCCGCACATAGTAATCCGCACATAGTAATCCGCACATAGTAATCCGCACTTAGTAATCCGCACTTAGTAATCCGCACATAGTAATCCGCACATAGTAATCCGCACATATCTCACCTGCAGTGCCGCGAGTGAGTTGAGCCTCTGAGGGACCAAACCAAAAAGAGTTTGTTCAAGGACTACCTATTGCAATGAGATACATGCTTCTCACCTGCCGAGAGAAGGCTGAGCTTAGTTGCAGAGATGCTCTCACCTGAAGTGCTGCGAGCGAGTTGAGTCTCTGAGGATCCAGAAAGCGTTTGTTGAGAGACTGCCATCCCCACGAGTCGTACTTGAGGATGTGCTTTGGTGGGGCAATGGTGATGGTTACCGCACTGCAAAGAGGACTGCAATCCAATGCGGACATGCCCTCACCTGAAGCGCTGCTAGGGAGTTGATCCTGTGGGGGTCCAGGAACCGCTTGTTGAGAGTGTGCCATCCCCACGAGTCGTACTTGAGTATGTGCTTCAGTGAGCCGTCGTGTGTGCACTCTGCGTCTACCAGCACCTGATGAGTGACCGAGGAGAGGTGTGACAGGTGTGACATGAAAGAAACTGTGAGTATCCTCCACAGCCTGGCTTCAGTTTTGAGAATTCTCAAAAGTGAACTCAACAGCCTTGCTTCAGTGAGCCGCCATGTGTGCATTCTGCGTCTAACAACACCTGATATGATGCAAGAGAGGTGTGACACAAAAGAAACTGGGAATATCAACTCCAGTCTTGCTTCAGAGAGCTGTCGTGTGCGCACTCTCTGTTTACCAGCACTTGGTGTGTGACGGAAGGGGGAGTGACACAAGAGTGGGTTGACAAAAAGAGCATGTATTTTCAAGCAAATGCTTCGGAAAGCGGACGACGTTAGCAGTTGATGTGGTGAAAGAGAGGTATGTGTGAAACCCTTTGATTCTCCCCTTTCTCACCTTGTCGTACCCATCCTTGCCGCACCCAACACCGTCGGCATCCCAACACTGCCAGCTGTCCGCCACGAGCCCCTTACACACAGCACCCTCACCACCTCATCTCACCTTATCGTACCCATCCTTGCCGCACCCAACACCTGTGTCCCACCACTGCCAAGCTGTCCGCCCCACAAAGAAGAGCTCCGGCCGCTCCCCTCTCTGCCACTCCAAAGCTGATGCTGCCGCTGCCTCGTCTGAAGATAATGGCACTGATGCCCTCGTTGCCTCTTCTAGCAATGGTGCTGCTGCGGTTGTAGCAGCAGCTCCAGCTGTAGCACCAGCTCCAGCTGTAGCACCAGCAGTAGCTGTAGCAGCTGCACCAGAAGCAGCACCAGGTGCAGCATCAGTAGCCGCAACAGCAGCTACAGTGTCGTGACAAGCTGATTCAAACATGCGGAGGTGCTTCGCTCTCCTCCTCTCCTTCCTCGTCCTCTTCCTCCTCCTCAACCCCTCTCCCTCCTGCTCTCCTTCCCTCTCTCGTCTCCCCTCTCTCCCCCCTCTCTCTCTCTCTCCTCCTCTTTCTCTTCTCCCTCCGCTCCCTCCTCTCCATCCTTCCCCTCTCTTCCCTCCAGCTCCCAAAGCCATGCAGTCTCCTCCTCTTCTTGTTTTTCTGAGATACCCTCACGACCACCATCAGCCATGCTTGCCCTGTCACCCATCACTGCCGTTTCACCCATCTCTGCTCTAGCACCTCCCACAGCAACACGTGGCAACACTTGCTCCAGCTCAGCTCCACGAGGCTTAGTTGATCCTGATCCTATTTCGGATCTTACTACTAATCCTGATCTAGATCCCAGTCCCATCCCCTGCTTTGCCACAGGAGGCCCGAGGCGGAAGGCAGTGGCATCCCCAAGGAATAATCGGCACCGGTCTGTCAGCCGGTGCTTCTGCAGCAGCGTGCGACAGGCAGCCAGACGGGATGGGGAGACGTCCACCGCTGTCACAGTCCCTGTTAACGCTGTAACGGGATGGGTAGCCGGCTCTACAGTTGGCTTTTGAGGCGCCTCCAACGCCAGACGGGATGGGGAGACGTCCACCGCTGTCACAGTCCCTGTTAACGCTGTAACGGGATGGGTAGCCGGCTCTGCAGTAGGTGACTTTTGAGTCGACTCAAAAGTCAACTCGGGATGGGCAGCCAGCTCTGCAGTAGGAGCGCTGGTGCTTCGAGGAACAGAGCTGCTGTTCAGCGGAACTGAGCTGTGAGCACCATCATCATCATCATCTCTTGCTGTAAAAGGGGCAGACGAGAGCTCATCCAGAATCAAGCAGAGCTTGGCGCCTGGTGGAGGGCAACAACAGTGTTTACAAAGGTTGAGTTTTGAGTTGACTGAAAAATAATCCGCGTGTGTGAAGTCGAGCATTGAGTCGACTCAAAACTCGAACCAAGCAAGCAGAGCTTGGCACCTGGTGGAGGGCAACAACAGTGGAAAGAAAGGCTTTGAAGCGGAATCTATGGAGGCGGTTTGAAATACGACCTTTTAGTCGACTTCTGAAAGTCCCCAAGACTTGAAGGGCGAGGCGGCAGAGCTCGGGCAGGAAAAATCTTTACCCGGGGGCAGCACAGAGAGAGATAGAAGATATGGTCCTGGCACTTACAGGCTGCGAAGTAGGCCCCTAGCAATGGTTTGTAGGTTCACCCGCGGCTTGCTTGTGAGCTTGCACCACGTTGTTTTATTCTGGCCCACCTGTTGACTTTTGAGTCGACTCAAAAGTTGCTTGTGAGCTTGCACTACGTTGTTTATTCTGGCCCACCTGTTGACTTTTGAGTCGACTCAAAAGTTGCTTGTGAGCTTGCACTACGTTGTTTTATTCTGGCCCACCTGTTGACTTTTGAGTCGACTCAAAAGTTGGTTGTGAGCTTGCACCACGTTGTTTATTCTGGCCCACCTGTTCCTCGCTCTCTATTTGCTGTTCAGGCTCACCTGCTCGAATGTTGGAGAGTTTTTGAGACGTCTCAAAAGCTCTCTTTTATCACGTGGTTCCTTGCTCTCTATTTGCTCTCTATTTGCTGCGGTTCCTTGCTCTCTATTAGCATAGAGGTCGAGGACGTGGTCTGACGGGGATAGCTGCAGCGCTGCCACTGCCGAGTCTGCTGACTGACAGAGAAGCATAAAGTCAGGAACAACTAGCAAGCAACCCTACCTGGGGCAGCACAGAGGTCGAGAACGTGGTCTGACGGGGATAGCTGCAGCGCTGCCACTGCCGAGTCTGCTGACTGACAGAGAAGCATAAAGTCAGGAACAACTAGCAAGCAACCCTACCTGGGGCAGCACAGAGGTCGAGAACGTGGTCTGACGGGGATAGCTGCAGCGCTGCCACTGCCGAGTCTGCTGACTGACAGAGAAGCATAAAGTCAGGAACAACTAGCAAGCAACCCTACCTGGGGCAGCACAGAGGTCGAGAACGTGGTCTGACGGAAATAGCTGCAGCGCTGCCACTGCCGAGTCTGCTGACTGACAGAGAAGCACAAAGTGAGGAACAACTAGCAAGCAACCCTACCTGGGGCAGCACAGAGGTCGAGAACGTGGTCTGACGGGGATAGCTGCAGCGCTGCCACTGCTGCTCCTGACGCTGCATCCATGCCGAATATCTGACGATGATGTACACATGCAAGCAAAGGAGTGGGAGGAGATGCCTTTTGAGTCGACTCAAAAGTTGCTGCCACTGCTGCACCTGACGCTGCATCCATGCCGAATATCTGACGATGACACCAAGCAAGCAAGGAAGGGAGTGGGAGGAGAGGGGCTTATTGTGGTGTGGAGCGCCATTTGAGACGACCCAAAAGCTGCAGCACTGCCACTGCTGCACCTGACGCTGCATCCATGGCAAACATCTGATGGGGTCAGATGAATTTTCATCTGGGCCTTACTGTATCCAAGGCAGGGCCAGGGTCTACATATCTGGGTCTAAAACTTTAAAATATCCTGTAAAAGAGCAACACTGATGGTGGAACCTTAAAATAAAGAACTGCACCTGAATTCTCACCTGGCCTCTCTTATATGCGCAGGTGCCAGAAATGTTGAAATCTCCTGGGAGAGAAAAGAACCCTTTGAGCCATGGTACTGCCACCATGCCTGCTGCTGTAGGTACTCCTCTCTTCAGCAGCCCTGCAACCTCCTCCTTCACTTCTTCCACCTCTTCTTCACTCAGCCCCCCTCGCAGCCTGGTAGGACGGTTAGGGAGGGAGGGAGGATATCAAAGATGAGACGAGGGATTGTTTTAGGTTTCCATCTCTACCCAGCAGCCCTGCAACCTCCTCCTTCACTTCTTCCACCTCTTCTTCACTCAGCCCCCCTCGCAGCCTGGCAGGAAGGAGGGGAGAGAGGGATGAAGAAAGGGGAGATTCGACTCGGTTGAAGCTGCTGCTCTATTCAGATATCCCACTGGAGAGACAATGCCCAACAGGGGTTCCGCCTCTCTTCAGCAGCCCTGCAACAACCCAGCCCTCGTTCTTTCCTCCACTTCGTCCATCTCTGCCTTACCCAGCCCCCCTCGGAGCCTGGTAGGACCGAGGGGAGGGGGGGAGTGGAAATAAGAGGAGAAGCAAGTTCGGGTGGGGCTGCAGGCTGCAGCCCTCCTCAGCTTCTCGGCTAAAACTTCGCTCAGAACTGCAGTTCGAACAAGGCTTTCAAAGAGAACACTCGCCTGATCTTTCCGGGCAGGTGGGCACGGCGGCTGTAGATGCTCGGACCGACTTTCAAGGCGCATAAAACAGATTGTGTGTAGAAAGAAGGCTTTTGAGGCTCCTGAAAAGAATCCTTGCCTGATGTCTCTGGGCAGCTCTAGTTTTGAGGCGCCTCAAAACTGTCTGAGGCTCCTGGAAAAGAATCATTGCCTGATGTCTCTGGGCAGGTCTAGTTTTGAGGCGCCTCAAAACTGTCTGAGGCTCCTGGAAAAGAATCATTGCCTGATGTCTCTGGGCAGGTCTTGTTTTGAGGCGCCTCAAAACTTGAGGCTCCTGGAAAAGAATCATTGCCTGATGTCTCTGGGCAGGTCTTGTTTTGAGGCGCCTCAAAACTTGAGGCTCCTGGAAAAGAATCATTGCCTGATGTCTCTGGGCAGGTCTTGTTTTGAGGCGCCTCAAAACTTGAGGCTCCTGGAAAAGAATCATTGCCTGATGTCTCTGGGCAGGTCTAGTTTTGAGGCGCCTCAAAACTGTCTGAGGCTCCTGGAAAAGAATCCTTGCCTGATGTCTCTGGGCAGGTCTAGTTTTGAGGCGCCTCGAAACTTGAGGCTCCTTGAAAAGAATCCTTGCCTGATGTCTCTGGGCAGGTCTAGTTTTGAGGCGCCTCAAAACTGTCTGAGGCTCCTGGAAAAGAATCCTTGCCTGATGGCTCTGGGCAGGTCTAGTTTTGAGGCGCCTCAAAACTGTCTGAGGCTCCTGGAAAAGAATCCTTGCCTGATGTCTCTGGGCAGGTCTAGTTTTGAGGCGCCTCAAAACTGTCTGAGGCTCCTGGAAAAGAATCCTTGCCTGATGTCTCTGGGCAGGTCTAGTTTTGAGGCGCCTCAAAACTGTCTGAGGCTCCTGGAAAAGAATCCTTGCCTGATGTCTCTGGGCAGGTCTAGTTTTGAGGCGCCTCAAAACTGTCTGAGGCTCCTGGAAAAGAATCCTTGCCTGATGAATCGGGGCAGGTCGGCATGGCGGCTGTAGATGTTTGGATCGATCCCGTTGGCTTCTAGAAACTGCAGAAACTCGGCGGGAAACGACTGTGGTGTGGCGACCTGCAGGTCCTGTTGTGCTTGCTGTTTCTGCTGTTCGTGGTGTGGTTGCTGCTGCTGCTGCTGCTGCTGCTGCTGCTGCTGCTGCTGCTGCTGCTGCTGTTTCTCCTCCTGCTGTTGATGGTCCATCGGGTTTTCTTTGTTTAGCTCGTCACTAGCCTTCTCTCCAGTAGTCACATTCTGAACAGTCACATTCGCGATTATCCCATCTTCGCTGAGCATTGCGGCTTGGCGCGCAGTGGCTTGCGCGTGACTGCAACGACGGCGCAGGAGTCCCGGTGGAGGGGAGCGCGGAAACTGCGGGGATTGGCGCGCGGCGGAATGCGGAGCAGGCGGAGGAAGGGAGGACCAGCGGGGGGAGCAGCAACGCGAGCGCGAAGGGGGAGACTGACGTGATTGATTGAGAAGGAATTGAATGCGACGGAAGGCGACGGTATGCGACACAGTGCGACGAAATGCGAAGCTGTAAGCTGCGCGCGAGTAGGGGAGGAGAGACACGCGCGAAGGGCGGAAGAGAGGAGTGGCCATGCGACGATTGAGTGAGACACGTCGAGAAAATGCGCCTAATGACTTTTGCTACGTGTTTACGACACGAAGGCCATGCACGCGGAATAAGCACAGGGAGGCAAGGCAGTGAAGCGAGAGGAAGAGGAGGGAGTGAACCAAGGCGGAGGGATAGTCAGCTCATGGTTACTGGTTAGCTATTAGCTCATCGCCGAACACAGAAAATTCGGCCACCATCCGTCGGGCCGTTTTGGCGAGAGTACCCATTTGAACCCCTAAGTACAAAGCTGTCTCGTACCCGAACCCCTAAGTACCCTAAGGCCGAAAATCCGGCCTAAACGCCCTTATGAGTGCACGGGTTTAGCTAAAATGCACTCGAGGTCGGAACTACAGAATGAACTGAAGACGACTGAAAGGAGGAAAACGAGGCTAGAAACAGACAGATTCAAGCTAGGTGATGAAGCCGGTTTGGACGAGGCTCGGAAAGGAGGCGAAAGGTGCAGTAGCGCCTCGTGAGGGGTTCGGGGCGAAAGTTTAGTCCGAACCGAACTGACGCGAGAATCTCGGAAATACCCTCGCTACAGTTGCAAATTATAGTGTTTTACATTGGCGAATCGAAAACCTTGTAGATTGCTACAGACGCTCAGCTTGCAAAATAGGGAAAATATGCCACAAGTAACAATCATGTGACCCCGTAGCGTCAATGGTAAAAAAAATATGCGTACGGTAACTGTATCGGGTATCGTGACGGGCTTGGTAAGTGGGGTCACGGAATCAGTCACTAGCAACAGCTAAAGAATCACGCGAATGGTAACACATGAAACTCCCGCCTGAAATTCCTGAAACCAGGCCGATTTCCCGCTCGCGCCAAACCGTGCGGAGAGAGGTTTGATGCACGCCTGTACCGTCGAGCCTCCAGCCCACCGTAACCAAACCACGACCCTACATGCTGTACACCCCCCTGCCCGCTACGGTTCCAACCAAGCACAGAAGCTTGACCCCAGCGGAACTCACTCACTTCCCGCCATCAGCTATTACTCACGCGATTACTAGTAGCTATAGCTTTCGCCAGCTGCCTCCCCCGTCACTCATCCTGGGCATTCGTTAGCAGCACCTGACGTCTATCAACGGTGCGTGCCTTAGCCCAAAAGCCTTTTCCCATCCGTTCACGTTTAGTCCCTTGTTACTCGATAAATACTAATAATATACATTACAAAAAAAAAACACAAAAAAAACTCGATCAGACCGCTGTCGCGATGCGCCCAGCGGCTGGCGCGCCGCTCCGCGCATCGCGCCTATCGGGCCCGGTCGTCGCGCGATGCAGTGCGGCCACCTCGCCGCTCGACGCATCGAGACGATCAAAAGCAGCCGCCGCCGCGATGCGCATTGCGGCCAGCGTTTGGCCGCTCCGCGCATCGCGCCGACCGGGCCGCCGCCGTCGCAATGCGCAATGCGGCCAGCTTTTGGCCGCTCCGCGCATCGCGCCGACCAGGCCGTCGCCATCGCGATGTGCAATGCGGCCACACTGCTGGGCGCATCATGACGATCCGCCAAGCCAAAAGCCCGCCGCTCAGTGCGTCGCGCCTCTCTGTCCACCGCCGAGACCAGTGTGCCCATGCACTCTCGTCTAGCCTCCCCTCTCGTGCTCCCTTGTCTCCTACCCATCTTTCTCTCGTGCTCCCTCGCATGCCGTGTTATCCCCGGCCAAAGCCTCGATTATGGCAATTCCCTCTCTCGTGCCAGGCCACTCATTCCCTCTCCATCCCTCTCGCACACCCCCTCTCATACACACTCATCCCCTCTCCATCCCTCTCGCACATCCCCTCTCATACACACTCATCCCCTCTCCATCCCTCTCGCACACCCCCTCTCATACACACTCATCCCCTTTCCATCCCTCTCGCACACCCCCTCTCATACACATTCATCCCCTCTCCATCCCTCTCGCACACCCCCTCTCATACACACTCATCCCCTCTCCATCCCTCTCGCACACCCCCTCTCATACACACTCATCCCCTCTCCATCCCTCTCGCACACCCCCTCTCATACACACTCATCCCCTCTCCATCCCTCTCGCACACCCCCTCTCATACACACTCATCCCCTCTCCATCCCTCTCGCACACCCCCTCTCATACACACTCATCCCCTCTCCATCCCTCTCGCACACCCCCTCTCATACACACTCATCCCCTCTCCATCCCTCTCGCACACCCCCTCTCATACACACTCATCCCCTCTCCATCCCTCTCGCACACCCCCTCTCATACACACTCATCCCCTCTCCATCCCTCTCGCACACCCCCTCTCATACACACTCATCCCCTCTCCATCCCTCTCGCACACCCCCTCTCATACACACTCATCCCCTCTCCATCCCTCTCGCACACCCCCTCTCATACACACTCATCCCCTCTCCATCCCTCTCGCACACCCCCTCTCATACACACTCATCCCCTCTCCATCCCTCTCGCACACCCCCTCTCATACACACTCATCCCCTCTCCATCCCTCTTGCATACCCCCTCTCATACACACTCATCCCCTCTCCATCCCTCTCGCACACCCCCTCTCATACACACTCATCCCCTCTCCATCCCTCTCGCACACCCCCTCTCATACACACTCATCCCCTCTCCATCCCTCTCGCACACCCCCTCTCATACACACTCATCCCCTCTCCATCCCTCTCGCACACCCCCTCTCATACACACTCATCCCCTCTCTATCCCTCTCGCACACCCCCTCTCATACACACTCATCCCCTCTCCATCCCTCTCGCACACCCCCTCTCATACACACTCATCCCCTCTCCATCCCTCTCGCACACCCCCTCTCATACACACTCATCCCCTTTCCATCCCTCTCGCACACCCCCTCTCATACACACTCATCCCCTCTCCATCCCTCTCGCACACCCCCTCTCATACACACTCATCCCCTCTCCATCCCTCTCGCACACCCCCTCTCATACACACTCATCCCCTCTCCATCCCTCTCGCACACCCCCTCTCATACACACTCATCCCCTCTCCATCCCTCTCGCACACCCCCTCTCATACACACTCATCCCCTCTCCATCCCTCTCGCACACCCCCTCTCATACACACTCATCCCCTCTCCATCCCTCTCGCACACCCCCTCTCATACACACTCATCCCCTCTCCATCCCTCTCGCACACCCCCTCTCATACACACTCATCCCCTCTCCATCCCTCTCGCACACCCCCTCTCATACACACTCATCCCCTCTCCATCCCTCTCGCACACCCCCTCTCATACACACTCATCCCCTCTCCATCCCTCTCGCACACCCCCTCTCATACACACTCATCCCCTCTCCATCCCTCTCGCACACCCCCTCTCATACACACTCATCCCCTCTCCATCCCTCTCGCACACCCCCTCTCATACACACTCATCCCCTTTCCATCCCTCTCGCACATCCCCTCTCATACACACTCATCCCCTCTCCATCCCTCTCGCACACCCCCTCTCATACACACTCATCCCCTCTCCATCCCTCTCGCACACCCCCTCTCATACACACTCATCCCCTCTCCATCCCTCTCGCACACCCCCTCTCATACACACTCATCCCCTCTCCATCCCTCTCGCACACCCCCTCTCATACACACTCATTCCCTCTCTTTCCCTCTCATCCCTTCTCATCCCCTCTCATCCCCTCTCATCCCCTCACATACACTCTTATACACTCTCATACACTCGCATTCACTCTCATACGCTCTCATCCCCTCTCATCCCCTCTCATCCCATGTCACTCCCTCTAATCCACTCTCATACCCTCTCGTACCCACTCATATACACTCATATACACTCTCATCCCCTCTTATAGACTCCCATACACACTCATACACTCTCATGCACTCTCATTCACACTCATCCCCTCGAATCCCCTCACATCCCCTCTCATCCCCTCTCATCCCCTCTCATCCCCTCTCATCCCCTCTCATCCCCTCTCATATACTCTCACACACTCTCATACACTCTCTTACACACTCTCATCTCTCTTCATCCACTCTCATACACTCTCATCTCCTCTCATACACACTCATACCTCCTAATCCGCTCTCATCCACTCTCATACACTTCCATACACTCTCATTCACACTTATCCCCTCTTATCCCCTCACATCCCCTCTCATCCCCTCTTATGTCCTCTCATCACTCTCATTCCTTCTCAATCCCTCTCATTCCTATTCATTCCCTCTCATTCCTTTTCATTCTCTCTCATTCCCTCACATCCGCTCTCATTCCCTCTCATCATCTCTCATTCCCTCTCATTCCCTCTCATTCACTTTCATCCTCTTTCAGCCCCACTCTTTCCCTCTCATCCACTCTCATACACTCTCAACGCCTCTCATCCAATCTCACACACTATTATTCCCTCTCATCCCCTCTCATCCCCTCTCATACCCTCTTATCCACTCTCATTCACTCTCATTCACTCTCATACCCTCCCATCCACTATCATATACACTCTCGTCCACTCTCATCCCCTCTCATTCACTTTGATCGCCTTTCATCCCCTCTCATTCCCCCTCATAACCTATCATATACACTCTCATCCCTCCACATACTCTCTTACTCATTCCGTCTCATCCCCTCTCATCCCCTCTTATACACTATCATACACTCTCATACCCTTCCATCCACTATCATATACACTCTCATCCCCTCTCATACTCTCCCATACCCACTCATCCAGTCTCATCCCTCCTCATACACTCATACACTCTCATCCCCTCTCATCCCCTCTCATCCCCTCGTATGCACTCTCATACTCTCTCATTCACTCTCATACCCTCCCATCCACTATAATATATTCTCTCATCCCCTCTCATACTCTCCCATACACATTCATCCAGTCTCATCCCTCCTCATAAACTCTCAAACACTCTCATCCCCTCTCTTACACTCTCACACCCTATCATCCCCTCTCATCCCCTCTTATACACTCTCATTCACTCTCATACCCTCCCATCCACTATCATGCACACTCTCATTCACTCTCGTTCCCTTTCATCCCCTCTCACTCACTCTCATTCCCTCTCATCCCCTCTCATCCCCTCTCATCCCCTCTCATCCCCTCTCATTCACTCTCATACACTCTCTTACACACTCCCATCCCTCCTCAGCCACTCTCATACACTCTTATACACTTTTATTCACTCTCATCCCCACTCATCCACTATCGTATACCCTCTCATCCCCTCATCCCCTTTCATCCCCTCTCATACACTCTGAAGCACTCTCATCCCTTCTCAACCCGTCTCATCCATTCTCATCCCCTCTCAACCCCTCTCATTCACTCTCATACACTCTCATCCCCTCGCATACACTCTCATAGACTCTCAACCACTCTCATTCACTCTCCTACACTCTCGTACACTCTCATCCCCTCTCATCCACCCTCATACACTCGATGAGACTCTCATACCCTCTCATACCCTCTCATACCCTCCCATACAGTATCATATCCACTCTCACTCCCTCTTACACACTCTCATACAGTCTCATCCCCCCTCATCCTATCTCACACACTCTCATTCCCTCTCATTTCCTCTCACACCCTCTCATCACTTCTCGTTCCCTCTCATCCCCTCTCATCCCCTCTCATCCCCTTTCATATCCACTCTCACTCCCTCTCACACACTCTCATACAGTCTCATCCCCTCTCATCCTATCTCACACACTCTCATCCCTTCTCATTTCCTCTCATACCCTCTCATCCACTCTCATACACTCACTTACACACTCTCATCCCTCTCATTCCCTCTCATACACTCTCAGCCCCTCTCATCCTCTCTCATACACTCTTATACACTTTTATTCACTGTCATCCCCTCCCATCCACTATCGTATACACTCGCATCCCCTCTCATACACACTCATACCCCCTAATCCCCTCTCATCCCCTCTTATTTGCTCTCATACACTCACTTACACACTCTCATCCCTCTCAGTCCCTCTCATACACTCTCAGCCCCTCTCATCCTCTCATACACTCTTATACACTTTTATTCACTGCCATCCACTCTCATCCCTTCGCAACCCCTCTCATCCACTCTCATCCCCTCTCAACCCCTCTCATTCACTCTCATACACTCTCATCCCCTCGCATACACTCTCATAGACTCTCAACCACTCTCATTCACTCTCCTTTCACTCTCATTCACTCTCATCCCCTCACAACCACCCTCATACACTCAATGACACTCTCATACCCTCTCATACCCTCCCATACACTATCATGTCCACTCTCACTCCCTCTCACACACTCTCATATAGTCTTATCCCCTCTCATCCTATCTCACACACTCTCATTCCCTCTCATTTCCTCTCATACCCTCTCATCCCTTCTCGTTCCCTCTCATCCCCTCTCATCCCCTCTCATCCCCTCTCATACACTCTCATACACTTACTTACACACTCTCATCCCTCTCATTCCCTCTCATACACTCTCAGCCCCTCTCATCCTCTCTCATACACTCGTATACACTTTTATTCATGGTCACCCCCTCCCATCCACTATCGTATACACTCTCATCCCCTCTCATACTCACTCATACCCCCTAATCCCCTCTCATCCACCCTCATACACTTCCATACACTCTCATACACACACATTCCCTCTCATTCCCTCTTCTCCCTCATATGCTCTCATCCACTCTTATTTACACTCATCCACTCTCACACACTCTCATACACTCTCATCCCCTCTCATGCACTCTCATACACTCTTGTACACTCTCATCCCCTCTCATACGCTCTCATACACTGTTCCCCATCTCCTCCCATCATCAACCCGTCCCCTTTGCAGCCCTCTATTTCACACAAAAATTTAGTTAGATGTGACATTCTCTCTTGTCTCCTCATCATGCCCCTAACTCTTGTTTGGCGCTTAAATTTCCCCCTTACAATTTCTCTCACGCACAATACTGCACTTTATACACCCTGCATGGTCTTATTGTCCAACAGAGCTTGTGGCGGTCGTGAGGAACAACATGTTTCGCCTCATACGTTCAAGGTGGGAGGTTGATGTAGAATACCGATGTTAACCATCAAACAAGCTGAAGTGCATTGTTAATATCAACCATCATTCATTTCCAATCAAGAATTTTTCACGTTAACTTGCAAACTTCCATGTGGTACCCCCCCAACTGTTATCTTTTGGTCTTTTAGCAATTTTGATGTGCAGGAAGATGATGCTGTCAACATTTACAAGGGGAAGCTCTACCCAACTGCTGTAGCAGCAAGGGAGGAGGTGCGGTTGTACTGTAGGCAGCAGACGTTTGCTCCCTATTTCCGCTATAATCGGTCGAATCTCATTGAGGTGTGGTGCAAGTCCATGGAGGGCAAGGTATGGCCTCGTGGGGAGGTGCACAGCGGAGAAGGGATGTGTCCATTTCGTGTTGTCATACGGGGACCGCGCTATAGTAACCTGCGGGTCACGGTGGCTAGTTTGGATCACGCCGATATGTGTGTCACCGAGGCTGCAAGGATTCGGAGGGATGAGGTCAAAGAGGTTGCGCGTGAGATGCTAAAGCATGGCGACGTGAGACCTCATGCGTTGATCAGTCGTGTTAGGGCGGTTTTACGTGTGGAGTGCTCGTACACGGTTGCGCGCGAGGTGCTTTTTGAGCTAAGGAATGCGGATCCGTTTTGTGGAGACGATGGGTTTCAATACATGGAGGACCTGTTAGATAAGTTCAAGGATGATAATCCTTCATCTGTCGTGTCCATGGTCAGACGGGGAAATAACTTCTACCGTGCGGGAATTATTTTTCCAGGGGCGAGAGATTTTCGCGGATGGATGTCATAATAAGACCGCATGGGGGGGATACACTTTGAACATATGCATGTTGGATAGCCAACACAAACTTGTTATGTTGGGATGCGCATGGGTGGAGGGTGAAAACAAGCATGCATGTGCCTTCTTATTCAATCTCCTGTTGGAAGCCGTTCCGGAGGTGAACTCCTCTAACTATGTTATGATGCATGATAGGGGAGGGGCATGGATATCCGCCACATCCACTTGTCTCCCCCTCATACGGGAGTCCTTTTGCATCACCCATTTGGTTCGAAACTTCAAAAATAAGTTCAGGACAGATCTGGACGGACGAATTCTTGCAGCAGCAGCAGCCTTGACACCGCATGTGTATCTCAAGACAATGGAAAAGATTGAGATGGAATGTCCCGGTGGATCCTCCTACCTTGTCGACAATGGATTGGGTGTTAAGTGGGCGACAACTTATTTTGGAGCACCGCGTTACGGATGCTTGTCTTCTAACCCCGTTGAGTCTCATCATGCGTCGCTTTCGGGATTGCGGGATAGGAATCCGCCGCAGGTGCTGCTGGGCTTGGCGGAAAAGCTATCGACGAAGATCGAAAAGAGGCGCCGACTCTATTCCGAGATGACAGCCGCTGACTTCCCTCCTAGGACAAAGCCAATAGTCATTGGGAATCGCGATGAGAGCAGAAGATACAGGGTGGCTGAATCGGGAGAGAACGAGTACATAGTACGCGAAGGGGAGGAGAGGCGAGTCGTGACCATAAACCCCGAGGATCCTGCAGCCACCCACTGCTCATGTGGCTACACCAAGTAAGTGGTGGTTAGGTTCTGTTTCTACCATTGCTAGCATATGTTTCACTGGTATATATACTTGATCCAACTCAACCATGAATATTGCGCTAATTAGGTTTTTAAATATCATGCAAGATCAATCCTCATCATGCACCCACTCTAAATTTCAGCCCCTATTTATCCCAAAAATAGAGGAATTTGGGGACAATAAAGACTGCGTAACTTCCTGCTCATTTATCCCAACATTAGGGATATTTGGAGCGGCCAAAGGGCCATGCAATCCTTGTTCCTGCTGCAATTATTTTGTTTCCTACAACCTTATGCCAATTTATCCCAGCCTTGTACCCTCTCTCTCTTTTGTGCCCATGTGTCCAAGCAATAGGGGCATTCCCCGTGCGATATGGGGAACATGGCGATAGGCGATATCCTGTTTAAACATAAATTTCTAGTTGCCTACGACTCAAAGAACCTTCCCTATCCCTCTGACCATCTACCTTGCCCATGCAGGGTAATTAGGTCGACAAAGTGTCGTGTGTACATTTGCTTGCCGTAATCGTATTTGCTGAATGTGGGCTTCTTTATGCCATGTGTTCAAGTGTGTTAAGAAATGTTGCTGGTTTTAGCAATTCAATGAAGAGTTTATACTCCCTCTTCTATTACCCCTTACGCAGGTCTTTACTTCCCCATACCCTTGGGTGGGCACAATTTCTCATATTTAATGGAAGTATGATAGTTTTAATCATGCGTTAATTCCTTTCTACCTCTTCTCACATTTATCCCGAAAACAGGGAATACGGGCTGCCATGCGTGCACATCTTCGCCGTGTTCAGAAACGATGGTCACAAGGCGCACGCAGTGATCCATAAATATCACACAACGGATGCACTGCAACAAGTGTACAGAACGCCGATTAAGCTCCTGGACCCAACCTCTGTGGTCTCTGACGGCGTTACCCTCCTTCCGGTCTACAAGAAGAAGGCAGGTCGGCCACCAAAGCGAAGAATGCGGTCCACAGGAGAAATGGACCCAATCAAGTTGCGCAAGTGTGGAAAGTGCGGTGAGTACGGTCATAATGCCCGAACCTGCGAGGTCCGTGCAGCCAACAGAGTGTTGTGGGAGGCTTTGCAAACCCCCGCAGGGCAATTGTCAGTGCAAACAATGACGGACGCAGATGGTGCAGTCCATGTCGCCCTGGGATGGAGAGGGGATGAGTGTGTATGAGAGGGGGTGTGCGAGAGGGATGGAGAGGGGATGAGAGTGTATGAGAGGGGGTGTGCGAGAGGGATGGAGAGGGGATGAGTGTGTATGAGAGGGGGTGTGCGAGAGGGATGGAGAGGGGATGAGTGTGTATGAGAGGGGGTGTGCGAGAGGGATGGAGAGGGGATGAGTGTGTATGAGAGGGGGTGTGCGAGAGGGATGGAGAGGGGATGAGAGTGTATGAGAGGGGGTGTGCGAGAGGGATGGAGAGGGGATGAGTGTGTATGAGAGGGGGTGTGCGAGAGGGATGGAGAGGGGATGAGTGTGTATGAGAGGGGGTGTGCGAGAGGGATGGAGAGGGGATGAGAGTGTATGAGAGGGGGTGTGCGAGAGGGATGGAGAGGGGATGAGTGTGTATGAGAGGGGGTGTGCGAGAGGGATGGAGAGGGGATGAGTGTGTATGAGAGGGGGTGTGCGAGAGGGATGGAGAGGGGATGAGTGTGTATGAGAGGGGGTGTGCGAGAGGGATGGAGAGGGGATGAGTGTGTATGAGAGGGGGTGTGCGAGAGGGATGGAGAGGGGATGAGTGTGTATGAGAGGGGGTGTGCGAGAGGGATGGAGAGGGGATGAGTGTGTATGAGAGGGGGTGTGCGAGAGGGATGGAGAGGGGATGAGTGTGTATGAGAGGGGGTGTGCGAGAGGGATGGAGAGGGGATGAGTGTGTATGAGAGGGGGTGTGCGAGAGGGATGGAGAGGGGATGAGTGTGTATGAGAGGGGGTGTGCGAGAGGGATGGAGAGGGGATGAGTGTGTATGAGAGGGGGTGTGCGAGAGGGATGGAGAGGGGATGAGTGTGTATGAGAGGGGGTGTGCGAGAGGGATGGAGAGGGGATGAGTGTGTATGAGAGGGGGTGTGCGAGAGGGATGGAGAGGGGATGAGTGTGTATGAGAGGGGGTGTGCGAGAGGGATGGAGAGGGAATGAGTGGCCTGGCACGAGAGAGGGAATTGCCATAATCGAGGCTTTGGCCGGGGATACCACGGCATGCGAGGGAGCACGAGAGAAAGATGGGTAGGAGACAAGGGAGCACGAGAGGGGAGGCTAGACGAGAGTGCATGGGCACACTGGTCTCGGCGGTGGACAGAGAGGCGCGACGCACTGAGCGGCGGGCTTTTGGCTTGGCGGATCGTCATGATGCGCCCAGCAGTGTGGCCGCATTGCACATCGCGACGGCGGCGGCCTGGTCGGCGCGATGCGCGGAGCGGCCAAAAGCTGGCCGCATTGCGCATCGCGACGGCGGCGGCCCGGTCGGCGCGATGCGCGGAGCGGCCAAACGCTGGCCGCAATGCGCATCGCGGCGGCGGCTGCTTTTGATCGTCTCGATGCGTCGAGCGGCGAGGTGGCCGCACTGCATCGCGCGACGACCGGGCCCGATAGGCGCGATGCGCGGAGCGGCGCGCCAGCCGCTGGGCGCATCGCGACAGCGGTCTGATCGAGTTTTTTTTTGTGTTTTTTTTTTTGTAATGTATATTATTAGTATTTATCGAGTAACAAGGGACTAAACGTGAACGGATGGGAAAAGGCTTTTGGGCTAAGGCACGCACCGTTGATAGACGTCAGGTGCTGCTAACGAATGCCCAGGATGAGTGACGGGGGAGGCAGCTGGCGAAAGCTATAGCTACTAGTAATCGCGTGAGTAATAGCTGATGGCGGGAAGTGAGTGAGTTCCGCTGGGGTCAAGCTTCTGTGCTTGGTTGGAACCGTAGCGGGCAGGGGGGTGTACAGCATGTAGGGTCGTGGTTTGGTTACGGTGGGCTGGAGGCTCGACGGTACAGGCGTGCATCAAACCTCTCTCCGCACGGTTTGGCGCGAGCGGGAAATCGGCCTGGTTTCAGGAATTTCAGGCGGGAGTTTCATGTGTTACCATTCGCGTGATTCTTTAGCTGTTGCTAGTGACTGATTCCGTGACCCCACTTACCAAGCCCGTCACGATACCCGATACAGTTACCGTACGCATATTTTTTTTACCATTGACGCTACGGGGTCACATGATTGTTACTTGTGGCATATTTTCCCTATTTTGCAAGCTGAGCGTCTGTAGCAATCTACAAGGTTTTCGATTCGCCAATGTAAAACACTATAATTTGCAACTGTAGCGAGGGTATTTCCGAGATTCTCGCGTCAGTTCGGTTCGGACTAAACTTTCGCCCCGAACCCCTCACGAGGCGCTACTGCACCTTTCGCCTCCTTTCCGAGCCTCGTCCAAACCGGCTTCATCACCTAGCTTGAATCTGTCTGTTTCTAGCCTCGTTTTCCTCCTTTCAGTCGTCTTCAGTTCATTCTGTAGTTCCGACCTCGAGTGCATTTTAGCTAAACCCGTGCACTCATAAGGGCGTTTAGGCCGGATTTTCGGCCTTAGGGTACTTAGGGGTTCGGGTACGAGACAGCTTTGTACTTAGGGGTTCAAATGGGTACTCTCACCAAAACGGCCCGACGGATGGTGGCCGAATTTTCTGTGTTCGGCGATGAGCTAATAGCTAACCAGTAACCATGAGCTGACTATCCCTCCGCCTTGGTTCACTCCCTCCTCTTCCTCTCGCTTCACTGCCTTGCCTCCCTGTGCTTATTCCGCGTGCATGGCCTTCGTGTCGTAAACACGTAGCAAAAGTCATTAGGCGCATTTTCTCGACGTGTCTCACTCAATCGTCGCATGGCCACTCCTCTCTTCCGCCCTTCGCGCGTGTCTCTCCTCCCCTACTCGCGCGCAGCTTACAGCTTCGCATTTCGTCGCACTGTGTCGCATACCGTCGCCTTCCGTCGCATTCAATTCCTTCTGAATCAATCACGTCAGTCTCCCCCTTCGCGCTCGCGTTGCTGTATCCAAGGCAGGGCCAGGGTCTACATATCTGGGTCTAAAACTTTAAAATATCCTGTAAAAGAGCAACACTGATGGTGGAACCTTAAAATAAAGAACTGCACCTGAATTCTCACCTGGCCTCTCTTATATGCGCAGGTGCCAGAAATGTTGAAATCTCCTGGGAGAGAAAAGAACCCTTTGAGCCATGGTACTGCCACCATGCCTGCTGCTGTAGGTACTCCTCTCTTCAGCAGCCCTGCAACCTCCTCCTTCACTTCTTCCACCTCTTCTTCACTCTGCCCCCCTCGCAGCCTGGCAGGACGGTTAGGGAGGGAGGGAGGATATCAAAGATGAGACGAGGGATTGTTTTAGGTTTCCATCTCTACCCAGCAGCCCTGCAACCTCCTCCTTCACTTCTTCCACCTCTTCTTCACTCAGCCCCCCTCGCAGCCTGGCAGGAAGGAGGGGAGAGAGGGATGAAGAAAGGGGAGATTCGACTCGGTTGAAGCTGCTGCTCTATTCAGATATCCCACAGGAGAGACAATGCCCAACAGGGGTTCCGCCTCTCTTCAGCAGCCCTGCAACAACCCAGCCTCGTTCTTTCCTCCACTTCCCATCTCTGTTACCCAGCCCCCAGCCCCCCTCGGAGCCTGGTAGGACCGAGGGGAGGGGGGGAGTGGAAATAAGAGGAGAAGCAAGTTCGGGTGGGGCTGCAGGCTGCAGCCCTCCTCAGCTTCTCGGCTAAAACTTCGCTCAGAACTGCAGTTCGAACAAGGCTTTCAAAGAGAACACTCGCCTGATCTTTCCGGGCAGGTGGGCACGGCGGCTGTAGATGCTCGGACCGACTTTCAAGGCGCATAAAACAGATTGTGTGTAGAAAGAAGGCTTTTGAGGCTCCTGAAAAGAATCCTTGCCTGATGTCTCTGGGCAGCTCTAGTTTTGAGGCGCCTCAAAACTGTCTGAGGCTCCTGGAAAAGAATCATTGCCTGATGTCTCTGGGCAGGTCTAGTTTTGAGGCGCCTCAAAACTGTCTGAGGCTCCTGGAAAAGAATCATTGCCTGATGTCTCTGGGCAGGTCTTGTTTTGAGGCGCCTCAAAACTTGAGGCTCCTGGAAAAGAATCATTGCCTGATGTCTCTGGGCAGGTCTTGTTTTGAGGCGCCTCAAAACTTGAGGCTCCTGGAAAAGAATCATTGCCTGATGTCTCTGGGCAGGTCTTGTTTTGAGGCGCCTCAAAACTTGAGGCTCCTGGAAAAGAATCATTGCCTGATGTCTCTGGGCAGGTCTAGTTTTGAGGCGCCTCAAAACTGTCTGAGGCTCCTGGAAAAGAATCCTTGCCTGATGTCTCTGGGCAGGTCTAGTTTTGAGGCGCCTCGAAACTTGAGGCTCCTTGAAAAGAATCCTTGCCTGATGTCTCTGGGCAGGTCTAGTTTTGAGGCGCCTCAAAACTGTCTGAGGCTCCTGGAAAAGAATCCTTGCCTGATGGCTCTGGGCAGGTCTAGTTTTGAGGCGCCTCAAAACTGTCTGAGGCTCCTGGAAAAGAATCCTTGCCTGATGTCTCTGGGCAGGTCTAGTTTTGAGGCGCCTCAAAACTGTCTGAGGCTCCTGGAAAAGAATCCTTGCCTGATGTCTCTGGGCAGGTCTAGTTTTGAGGCGCCTCAAAACTGTCTGAGGCTCCTGGAAAAGAATCCTTGCCTGATGTCTCTGGGCAGGTCTAGTTTTGAGGCGCCTCAAAACTGTCTGAGGCTCCTGGAAAAGAATCCTTGCCTGATGAATCGGGGCAGGTCGGCATGGCGGCTGTAGATGTTTGGATCGATCCCGTTGGCTTCTAGAAACTGCAGAAACTCGGCGGGAAACGACTGTGGTGTGGCGACCTGCAGGTCCTGTTGTGCTTGCTGTTTCTGCTGTTCGTGGTGTGGTTGCTGCTGCTGCTGCTGCTGCTGCTGCTGCTGCTGCTGCTGCTGCTGCTGCTGCTGCTGTTTCTCCTCCTGCTGTTGATGGTCCATCGGGTTTTCTTTGTTTAGCTCGTCACTAGCCTTCTCTCCAGTAGTCACATTCTGAACAGTCACATTCGCGATTATCCCATCTTCGCTGAGCATTGCGGCTTGGCGCGCAGTGGCTTGCGCGTGACTGCAACGACGGCGCAGGAGTCCCGGTGGAGGGGAGCGCGGAAACTGCGGGGATTGGCGCGCGGCGGAATGCGGAGCAGGCGGAGGAAGGGAGGACCAGCGGGGGGAGCAGCAACGCGAGCGCGAAGGGGGAGACTGACGTGATTGATTGAGAAGGAATTGAATGCGACGGAAGGCGACGGTATGCGACACAGTGCGACGAAATGCGAAGCTGTAAGCTGCGCGCGAGTAGGGGAGGAGAGACACGCGCGAAGGGCGGAAGAGAGGAGTGGCCATGCGACGATTGAGTGAGACACGTCGAGAAAATGCGCCTAATGACTTTTGCTACGTGTTTACGACACGAAGGCCATGCACGCGGAATAAGCACAGGGAGGCAAGGCAGTGAAGCGAGAGGAAGAGGAGGGAGTGAACCAAGGCGGAGGGATAGTCAGCTCATGGTTACTGGTTAGCTATTAGCTCATCGCCGAACACAGAAAATTCGGCCACCATCCGTCGGGCCGTTTTGGCGAGAGTACCCATTTGAACCCCTAAGTACAAAGCTGTCTCGTACCCGAACCCCTAAGTACCCTAAGGCCGAAAATCCGGCCTAAACGCCCTTATGAGTGCACGGGTTTAGCTGAAATGCACTCGAGGTCGGAACTACAGAATGAACTGAAGACGACTGAAAGGAGGAAAACGAGGCTAGAAACAGACAGATTCAAGCTAGGTGATGAAGCCGGTTTGGACGAGGCTCGGAAAGGAGGCGAAAGGTGCAGTAGCGCCTCGTGAGGGGTTCGGGGCGAAAGTTTAGTCCGAACCGAACTGACGCGAGAATCTCGGAAATACCCTCGCTACAGTTGCAAATTATAGTGTTTTACATTGGCGAATCGAAAACCTTGTAGATTGCTACAGACGCTCAGCTTGCAAAATACCCGAAGGGCAACTTGTGTACAGGAAGATGCACTTCAAAAAAGAATGATTATATGACGACCTAGTAATACGGGTGAAAAATCTCTGCTTCACTCACACCCATACCACTATATCTCAAGCCTGAAGGAACTTTCCTACCAGATCCGCACAGGGCTTTCTTCAGCAGCACCCTCAACTTGTTGACTCCCAACCTTGGGTCTAAAAAACTAGGTTTTGCTTTGCACAACCACAATTGTAAATCCACACGATACATTGTACATTGTAACAACCAACTTTGACAGTCAAGGCTTGAAGGTGGTTTGCTGCCAGAGGTTGATGATATCAGTGGCCTGGTTGAGCAGAATAATCACCCGCTTGCGCGACAGCCACGGCTTGCTCTCCAGCAGCTCCCTCAACTCCTCCCAAGCGTCCTTGCGCGGCCAAAACATGTACGAGCTGACCGGCACAGTGCCCTGCCCGGGAATCATCTGGTCAACGGCAATCCCAATGTTCTTCTCTGGAATTCGTGAAAATGGGATAGGTAAACGAGAGGAAAGTCAGTATTGATGGATATGGAAGGAACCCATGCTGTTCCTGGCAATACCAACGCTACTTATTCCAATCCTTGTGCTGGTCTCTGAGATGGCGGAAGCACATGGGAAAGGAAGAAGCATGAAATTAAAGGAATAGGAATAAGCGGAAAAGAAAAAAGGATCACAAGGTTGGCACGGAGAAAGAGCTTCACAAGACAGAGCAGCGAGTGATGAGAAGCAGCGGTGAGACCACTGGGAATGGGGCCCCAAGAACAATCACCACCATTGAAAATGAGAGATGAGATTCATGAGTGGACAAAAACGTCTCGTAGTCAGCAGGGTAGCAGTCAGCATGATTTGCAGACACTAGCAGGATCGGCCAACCACCACACACATAAGCGCCAGGCTACCTATACTTCAACCCACGCCGACGACTACAGCTATGTCCGCATATACGCATACGGCTGATAGGAATGCCTAGCGAAAAAGTATCGATACTCGCAGATTCGTAAGAGACGAGACTAGGAGACTTCAAGCCATGCAGGCATCCGCATGTGACCATTTGTGTGGCCAAGATACTGCGTAATCGTCCCAACTAATGCCCAGCTCACTTTGTACTAGTAATCTCCAACTGATAACGAAACGAAGGAGTTGACGAATCTCAATGGGTGTCTCGCTTTCTCGGATGAATCTAACAATCCGCTGCAATGCAACGTTCTTGTCCATCGTTTGAGCCGACTCAAAATCGTCTAGACTACGCATCACTTGAAAACCACGTCCGCCGTTGATATGGAGAACAGCTTGGCCTCTTGAACGCTGCAAGCCCGAGATCGTGCATGAGCCGTCCTCATTGCGAACGTCACACTGAACGAGCTGCTGGAGAGCAACCACAGAGCGGCTCACGGGTCATCCGTGATGTAAGATTACCCTCGGGTGATCCACGTTGGAAGATGACCCCTTTCCCCATTCTAGCTTCAGGTCGCCACGATAAAGAGTGCAGCGGCGAAATCGGAGCGTGACAGGACGGGAATATTGCCTTACAGCGGCTGAAAACATCCGCACCCATTCTCGCGCGTCAGGGAAATAAAGAAGGCTTACACTGTGGGAAGAAAGAAATCACCCAGCTACAGCTGCAGTATAATAAAGGTAAACCCGGAACCCTAGCATTAGCATCCGCCTGTTCCTGGCTTCGTCCGACTAGCAAGGAACACCGATAACCCATAACCCTGACGCGTGGTCCTAAAGCCGCGGAGCGAGAAATGCGGGACGCACCGAGCCAGACGAATTTAAGGAGCAGCCGTTGCTTGCCCTCCTTGACGGACAGCACCTTCACTTTCTTAGGTTCCTCCGCCGCCGCCTCGCTACCCACCTCCGCCACCGCTGCGCGCGGGGCGACGACGCGCTCCGCCCGCGCGGGGAATGCGCGCACCGCGGGAAGGGCTTGCGCGGAGAAGGAAGGGGTGCGGAGGGAAACGCGCGCGGAGCACGCTGTAGCGCGGGCGGCGGGCGCGGCTGTGTAGGCTGCGGGAAGGGCTACTTGAGATGTAACGGCTGCCATGGCGGCACTATTTCTCAAGTTATAGAAAAAGGAAAGACTAGTCACGTAGCTATGTCAACACTAGTGACAGGCGGTGTATTAGCATGGGAAGTAAAATTTCTTCCTTATCCTCCTACTTTCCATGGCAGTACTAGGGCTCGAAGAGCAGTGAGTCGCTAACGTGGGCTTAGATGCGTTACAGAGCGGTGACAACTGGCTGGTTCGGATGGCGCGGAAAGCGGTATGGTCGATTGCGGTTTGGGGGCGAGGGAAAACAGATCAGCCTCGGAAAGATGACGTGTCGGAAAAGTGATGGGCGGTGACTCATCCGAAACTGTACTCAAGGTGATGACGTGCTGCCATTTGGCGTTGGTTACTTGGTCTAACAGTGACCCGTTTGTGTCACGGAGCTGTCATGTATGAGAAATACGCGTTTATATACATAAATGCCTCAACATTCACTCACCAACACATTCAGCCTAGATTGTGCTTCTTAATCCTACTGTCAGCAGAATTACAGCTTTTAGCACATGACGTCTTCAATACATATCTTTCTCTCTTTGATGAGATTTGTTACTGTGCGTCTGGCTTGTCCCACAGCATGCCACTTCACATGCATACCTCCAGCACACCTAGAAATATCCAACCAGACCTTGACCGAAAATTGTTCTCTTGTCATACGTGCCATGCCAACCAAAAATAACTAGACATCATCACTTCTGGTGCCCATGGTTTCGGGTCTAGGGTTTCAGGTTCAGGGATCCACTCCATTCTTTTTCCTGAACCACTTTCCCCATGCCTCCATCTCATCAACCCCACATCTCCACACACAACCCCACGCCTCCTCCCCCTCCTCCACCTTCCCAGGCACTTCCAGCATCTTCACTGCTTTCCCCACTCCCATCCGCACTCCCTCTCTCTCATACACCCTCTCATCCTCCCCGGGAATCTCAATCCTCACCTCCTTCACTTGACCACCCCCCTCACCCATCCTCCCACGTCCTCCCCCAATCGCCCGCCCCATTTCCAACAAATTCTCAACAATTTCAAACTCGGGATCCAAACCCAGCCCCACACCCGTCCCTCCCATAGGATCCCTAAACCCCGGAATCGGGTCCCTTAAACCCTCAGCGAGCCGGAAATCGTCTAGAGAATCCAGACCGGTCTGACGCAAGATCAACGACAGCAACGGTCCAGATTGCTCGCACCAGAGGCAGAAGAACCCAGCAGTTATCAACTCAGCCCCGGCCGGTGACACGAGCCTGAGCGACAGCACCAGCGAATCCCGTTCCACTCGGAACAGGTCCGGGAACATCCGAGCCTCGTTTGCCGCATAGAAAAAATCCACAGCCGCTTGAGTGAGATGCAGGGAGTAGGCCGTATCGATGATGGCGTTGGCAACGGCACGGGAAGATTCGATGGGGCAGGGTGGGAGGGTGAGGAATGAGCGGAATTCGACGAGGATGCGCGGCGGGACGTGCATGAATGCAGGGTCCGCGTTGTTGTCAATGTCGTCAACGAGCTCGTCCAGGACAGCGTCTTCCTTGCTGGAGGTTTTCTTGTCTGCCACGTCAGCAGTGCTGGGGTCCACGTCAGCGGTGTCTGAATCCACGTCAGCACGTGGTCGTCTAGCGGAACTGCTGCTGCTGGTATCCTCCTCAATCCCATCACTACCCTCGTTGCCACTGCCATTGCTACCCTCCCATTCCATAGAGGCCAACAGCACCCATTCTCCCTCTCCCTCACTCCCCGACCCCTCCACCCCTCCTGCTTGCTTCGACCCGAAATACACCCTTTCCCCCTCCTCCCTCCCCACCTGTTTCGGCCTCCTCACGCCTCCAAACCCCTTCTTTTCCTTCTCAAACCCCTTCTTATCACTCTCAAACCCTCTTCCTCCAAACCCTTACTAACCTGCCCCTGCCCTTCCCCCCCCCCTCTCCTCCCCTTCCCTCCCCTCACTCCACTCCCCTTCCCTCCTCCTCTCCCTCCCCCACCCCGTCCCCTTCCCCCTCCCCCTCGCCCTCCCCCTCTCCCTCCCCTCCCTCCCCCCTCCTCCCTCACAACAGGAGACTCCCCTTCCTCCTGATTCGCCTTAGCCCACGCAGAAACCAGAAACCCCGACACCAGCGGCGGGGCCCCACACCGCACAGCCTGCGACATGAGCAGCAGCAGCAGCACCGACAGATGCTGCTTCGTCCGCCCCTCCACCACCGGAATCAGCCTCGCCAGCCGGAAAAACCCGATCACCAGAGGGAAAAAGGCCGGATCGGCCCTCCGCAGCACACTCCCTCCCTGAATCCCTCTGTAGGAATCTCCCCTGACATCCCTGTTTCGATTGTCCTCCTCCATGTACTCGTTATAGAGGTACTCGTCTAGGCGCTCGTTGACTATGAACTGCGCGGTGTGCAATGCCTCGTCGAAATTCCCCCGGTCGATTTGGATAGAGAGGAGGGAGGAGAGGAGGAGGAGGTCACTGGAGTAGGTGTAGGGAAGGGCTTGACCATAATGCTGATCACTCTTATCGTTCTCATTGCTCTTATCACTAGAATATTTGTCGGAGAAAGATTGAGGGGTGAACGGTTGCTCCTGCTGCTGCTGCTGCTGCTGCGGTGGTGGCGGCTCCTGTTCTTGCAGCAGAGTCGCTTTTGCTGTCGCTGTCGCTGTCACCGCACTGAACTCCTCGCCGAGGCCTTCATACCGCAGCACCGGCCGTGAAGGATAGAGCATACTCATGCTCACACCCAAACCCACACCCATATCCATCTGAAACCCAAACGGCCCCACCAGCCCTTTGATCTTCTCCAGCCTCTCCTCCTCCCCTGCAGCCGCCAGCACCTGCAACCCCACGCCCCAGAACACAGCTAGGTCAACGGCGCGCGCATGGGTGAAGTATACGCGAAGGACTTGGTAGGTTTCTTGTTCTCTGCCGGCGGTGGCGAGAGAGTGGGCGAGGGCGAGGAGGGAGGAGGAGTAGGGGGTGATGCTGAGGGATAGAGCTTGGGAGAGGGTGGTGAGGGCTTGCTGCCATTGGCCGAGAGCCGATTGACCTGAGGGGATGGGAGGGGGACGAGAGGACGGACAGAGAGAAGGAGAGCATATGAAAGTAGGAAGAGGAAGTGACGCTGAGGGAGAGGGCTTGGGAGAGCGTGGCGAGGGCTTGCTGCCATTGGCCGAGAGCCGATTGACCTGATGGGATGGGAAGGAGAGAAAAATGAACGAGGACAAGATACAAGTTTACATCGTTCCTGCAAGGAAGAGAGAAAGCTTCTAAATGAATTAAAAGAACCTGAAATCTAAGACTGAAACATTCTTGAAATATGGTGGCTTACAGTGGATCACATCACTGTAGCACTTGACAGATGGCACGATCCCATTGGCCAGGAGCCCTTCCAGCACCTTCACTGCCTGCCCTGCAAGCAGCCCCTCACGACACAGCCTCACCACCCTCTCCGCCATCTCCATACTCGGGCTTCTAGGCCCCTGCTGCTCCTTGTCCTGCTGATCTTCTTGCTGTTGCTGCTGCTTCTTTTCCTGCTGCTTCTGCTGCTTCTGTTCCTGCTGCTGTTGCTGCTTCTGCTGCTGCTGTAGCCCCTGCTGCTGCTGCTGCTCCTGCTGCTGCTGCTGCTGCTGTCCACCCCTCTCCTGCTGCTGGCCCCGTCGTGATTGCTGCTGCTGTCTCTCTTTCTGCTGTCTCTCTTGCTGCATCCTCGTCACCCACTCCGCCCTCTCCATGCCCAGGCTCCGCGCCCCCTGCTGCTCCTGCTCCTGCTCCTGCTGCTGCTCCTGCTGCTCCTCCTGCTGCTGCTCCTGCTGATACTGATGCTGCTGTTGTTGTTGTTGTTGTTGTTGTTGTTGTTGTTGTTGTTGTTGTTGTTGTTGCTGCTGCTGCTGCTGCTGCTGCTGCTCCTCCTCCTGCTGCTGCTGCTGTTGCTCTTTCTGCTGCGGCTTCTGATGCTGCTGCTTCTGTCCGATCTCCATGCTGGGTTCTTGTCGTCCCTCTTGTTCTTTCTCTTTCAGCTGCTGTTGCTCGTTCAGATGCTGTTGTTCTTTCTGTTGCCGTTGCTCTTGCCCTTGCTGCTGCTGATTTTGCAGCGCCTCCCCCTCCTGCTCCTGCTCCTGCTCCTGCTCCTGCTCCTGCTCCTGCTCCTGCTCCTGCTCCTGCTCCTGCTCCTGCTCCTCCCCTTTCACGAGCATCACCCCTTGCTCACCAAAGCTTTCCACAGCCCGGAGAATCGCATCTACCACCCCCACTCCCTCCCCATCCTCTCCCTCCCACTCCTCCCCACCACCTCCCTCGCGGCCAATCCCGTCGCGCCAAGTGTCAACCACGCTGAGGTACACCCTGGCAGCGCCACGTGGCGAGTTGGCAGCCTCGCACGCTGCCAGCATGGCACCCAGGCTGTTGCGATTGGGCAGCACGCGCTGTGATGCCATGAGTGCTAGCACTGCAAACATGTGCTCTGGATGGGCGTCTTGGAGGGCCTGAGAGGCGTGGGGATGGGTGGAGAAGGGTGTAGAGGGGGCATGGATAAAGGAATGTATTCATCAGCACGCGCTGTGATGCCATGAGTGCTAGCACTGCAAACATGTGCTCTGGATGGGCGTCTTGGAGGGCCTGAGGAGCGTGGGGAGGGGGGGTGAGGGCATGGGGAAGGGGGCATGGGAAAGGAGTGGGGAGGGGAGTGGGGCCAACAGCACGCGCTGTGATGCCATGAGGGCGAGCATAGCAAACATGTGCTCTGGATGGGCGTCTTGGAGGGCCTGAGGGGCGTGGGGAGGGGGGGTGAGGGCATGGGGAAGGGGGCATGGGAAAGGAGTGGGGAGGGGAGTGGGGCCAACAGCACGCGCTGTGATGCCATGAGGGCGAGCATAGCAAACATGTGCTCTGGATGGGCGTCTTGTAAGGCCTGAGGGGCGTGGGGAGGGGGGGTGAGGGCATGGGGAAGGGGGCATGGGAAAGGAGTGGGGAGGGGAGTGGGGCCAACAGCACGCGCTGTGATGCCATGAGGGCGAGCATAGCAAACATGTGCTCTGGATGGGCGTCTTGGAGGGCCTGAGGGGCGTGGGGAGGGGGGGTGAGGGCATGGGGAAGGGGGCATGGGAAAGGAGTGGGGAGGGGAGTGGGGCCAACAGCACGCGCTGTGATGCCATGAGGGCGAGCATAGCAAACATGTGCTCTGGATGGGCGTCTTGGAGGGCCTGAGGGGCGTGGGGAGGGGGGGTGAGGGCATGGGGAAGGGGGCATGGGAAAGGAGTGGGGAGGGGAGTGGGGCCAACAGCACGCGCTGTGATGCCATGAGGGCGAGCATAGCAAACATGTGCTCTGGATGGGCGTCTTGTAAGGCCTGAGAGGAATGAAGGGGGGAGGGGAACGAACGCAAGCAATGGGAAGGGGAAATACAGGGGATGGAATGGAATACGATTGGGCAGCACGCGCTGTGATGCCATGAGTGCGAGCACTGCAAACATGTGCTCTGGATGGGCGTCTTGCAGAGCCTGAGGGGCACGGTGGGGAGGTCGTTGTGGGGGGAAAATGACGAACGAAACAATAGGGTCACCAGCACGCGCTGTGATACCATTAGGGCTAGCCCTGCGAACATGTGCTCTGGATGGGCGTCTTGGGGCGCCTGAGAGGCGTGGGGATGGGTGGAGAAGGGTGTAGAGGGGGCATGGGAAAAGGAATGTATTCAACAGCACGCGCTGTGATGCCATGAGTGCTAGCACAGCAAACATGTGCTCTGGATGAGTACAGAACTCACCAGCAGCAGAGTGCTATAAGCCGACAGGTTGCCATGTCCCGGATGCACCCTCTTCAGTTCCTCCAACACCAGTAGAGCCTCCTCTAGCTCTCATTGCTCCCATCTTGAGGCACTTTATAACGAGTATAGAACTCACCAGCAGCTGAGTGTTATAAGCCGACAGGTTGCCATGCCCAGGGTGCACCCTCTTCAGCTCCTCCAACACCAGTAGTATCTCCCCCAGCCAGCAGCTTCTAAGAATGCCTCATCCCATCTTGAGGCACCTTATAACGTGTATATCTCAAACATCTCACCAGCAGCAGAGTGTTATAAGCCGACAGGTTGCCATGCCCCGGATGCACCCTCTTCAGTTCCTCCAGCACCAGTAGTGCCTCCCCCAGTCGTCCCCCCCTCCCCAATACGTCTATGAGCATGCGGTAGACCGGGGGAGAGAATGAGAGGCCTTGCGCGCGTGCTGTTGCCACCAGTCCTTTCACCTGGGATGGGGTGAGAGAACAGGGGATGAGAATATGGTGAAGATTGAACCGAGTGTGGCAGTGATAGCAGCAGTAGTGCCTCCCCCAGTAGCCCCCCCCTCCCCAGCACGTCTATGAGCATGCGGTAGACCGGGGGGGGGGGGGGGGGGGGGGGGGGAATAAGAGGCTCTGCCTCCGTGCTGCTGCCATCAGGCCTTTCACCTGAGGGCGGGTCGAGAGAACAAGGGATGGGAATATGGGGGGAAAATGAAAAGGAGTGTGGCAGTGAGAGCAGCAGTAGTGCCCTCCTTCCAGTTGCCCTCCCTCCCTTCTCGAGCTCGTCTATGAGCATGCAGTAGACTGGGGGGGAGAATGAGAGGCCCTGCGCGCGTGCTGCTGCCTAGTCCTTTCACCTGAGGGCGGGTCGAGTGAGAACCAGGGAATGGAGACATGGGAGTGTGAACCAGGGAGGGGAGGAATGAAACGGAGTGTGGCAGTGAGAGCAGTAGTAGTGCCTCCCCCAGTCGAAAACCCCTCCTGAGTGAGTGCAGCATACCATACAGGCGCATACACACCTGGTCAAAGTGCCCTGCCAGTTTTTGAGTCGCCCTGGTGAGAGCGGCAGTAGCGCCTCCCCTAGCTGCAACCCCCTCCTGAGAGGGTCCAGCATACCATACAGGCACATACACACCTGGTCGAAGTGCGCTGCCAGGCCCAGCGCCTGGATGACAGCAGCATAGGAGCGCCTGGAAAGGTGGAGGGCTTCTTGCACACACTACACGCATGTAACATACACACTACGTACTGCATACACTACTGCACTATCCATACCTGGTCGAAGTGCCCTGCTAAACCCAGAGCTTGCATAACAGCAGCATAGGAGCGCATGGAGAGGCGGAGTCCAGCCCCCTCAATCTCCATCACCACCCGCGCCACATCCGCCATCGCTGCTGCCTGCCGTGCCCTCACCTCCTCCTCCTCTTCCTCTTCTTCCTCTGAATCCTCTCCCTCCCATTCCCCCCCCTCCTGCTCGTCCTCCAAATCCCCTTCCACGTATGCGTCTCCCGCCTTGTCTGCTACTTTTTCTTCCTCCCCCTCTGACTCGGCTTGAGGTTTCCTGCCTTCCCCTTGGGAAGGGGAAAGAGTAGCAGCATCAGAATCGGAATCCGCAGCAGTATCAGCAGCAACAGTAGCGGCTCTGCTTCTGCTTCTGTTTTTGCCTCGCCTTCTTGGGCTGCGGGCGCAGCGACGAGCGTATACCTCCAGGAGAGTGTTGTACGACTCCTGGCAATGGGATCGGGGGAAGAGATTCAAGGTTTTGGGTTCAGAGCTTTGGGGACAAGAAATGTGCGCATATTTAGCCAACATTCTCACCAATCGCAACGTGCCATTCAACAACAGACCTTCCAATCGCAGTGCCATTTGACGACAGACTCACCAATCACAGCGTGCCATTTGATGACAGACTCACCAGTCACAGCGAGCCATCTGGCAACAGACTCACCAATCGCAGCGTGCCATCTGGCGACAGACTCACCAATCGCAGCGTGCCATCTGGCGACAGACTCACCAATCGCAGCGTGCCATCTGGCGACAGACTCACCAATCGCAGCGTGCCATCTGGCGACAGCACCCGGAGCCGATTCACCACCATTTCCATCTGCTCCATCCTGCCCGCCCTCCCATACGCCATCATCAGCGCATTGCACACCGCCAGACTGTCCCGAGCTGTCGCCCCCACTCCAATTCCAAGCTCTTCAGCTACAACGGCAGAGACAGTGGCCGGATCAGCATCACCAGAAGCAGCAACAGCTGCAGAAGTAGGACCGGCAGGGGCGTTGGTTCTGCTGCTCTGCTCTTCCATCTCAGCCACTAAAGCATCCACCTTGCTCCACATGCCCGCCCGTGCATACCCCATGATCAGCTGCGCATACGACTCGCCGCTGTGAGGGATCGCCATCTGGGGTGCAATGCAGTGCGGTGGGGTGGGATGGGGTGGGGTAGGTGGGTGGATAGGGCTTGCTTGCATCCACCTCGCTCCACATGCCCGCCCGTGCATACCCCATGATCAGCTGCGCGTACGACTCGCCACTGTGAGGGATGGCGATCTGCAGTGTGGTGCAGTGGGGTAGGGTGAAGGAGGGTAAGTAGGATAGGAATGGGAGAGAGAGACACAGAGTAGAGGGAGAAGGTAGTAGGTAAATCCCATACTCTCCATGATCACTTCGATCAAGACTCATATCTCCTAGCTACCAAGAGTCCACCCTTCCCACCACCAAGATCCCACCACCAAGAGAAGTGACGCGCTTCATATCGATCCCCAGTCCGAACTTGCCCAGAGGTGACTTTTGAGTCGACTCAAGAGTCCACCTTGCTCCTCACCACAAATACGGTACCCCACCTTCCGCATGAGTGAGGCCACGCGCTTCATCTCGACCCCCAGCCCGCGCTTGCCCAGCGCCGCCAGCAGCAGCGTGCAGAGGTCCGCGTCTATCAGCGCCCGGGTGGCCCTCGTCCCGCGCATCAACTCAAACAACTCCAATGCGTCGCGAGTGATGCCTGGTGGGAATAGAGGGATGCGTTACACATGAGAGAAAAGACGAAAGGTAAATAGAGGAGGTCCGCACAGCGGCACAGTCTACGTTTGAGGCGCATGAAAATAGACCCCGCAGAGTACACACAAATCAGCGTCTATGAATGCACACGTGCCCCTCGTCCCGCTGCGCATCAACTCAAAGAATTCTAATGCATCTCGAGTGATGCCTGGTGAGAAGAGAGAGGTTATATATGGAAGTGAGATGGACTACATGAGATCGAGGGTCAATGCCTAACACATACATAGACCGCATGCTACGAGAGAGGGACGCGTGTGAGCATACCGAGAGAGGGACGCGTGTGAGCATACCCAGAGAGGGACGCGTGTGAGCATACCGAGAGAGGGACGCGTGTGAGCATACCGAGAGAGGGACGCGTGTGAGCATACCCAGAGAGGGACGCGTGTGAGCATACCCAGAGAGGGACGCGTGTGAGCATACCGAGAGAGGGACGCGTGTGAGCATACCGAGAGAGGGACGCGTGCGAGCATACCGAGAGAGGGACGCGTGTGAGCATACCGAGAGAGGGATGCGTGTGAGTATACCGAGAGAGGGACGCGTGCGAGCAAACCGAGAGAGGGACGCGTGTGAGCATACCGAGAGAGGGACGCGTGCGAGCATACCGAGAGAGGGACGCGTGTGAGCATACTTAGGATGAGCATTGAGCACGCTGCACACAGCAAAATGCTTCACCTACCAAGAGCAGAGAGTGTGAGCATGCAGGCGCGGAACAGCTGTCGATCGGGCATGAGTCCCCGGTCCATCATGCAAGTCAGATAGAACAGGGCCTTGCTAGGGTTGCGCTCACGACACAAACCAAGGATGAGCATGCGAAAGGTGAGCTGATGGGATGGGGGAAGAGATGGAGGGGTTGAAGGGAAGGTAATAGATTGTGGACAGTCATGTGGGCCTTGCTAGGGTTGCGCTCGCGACACAAACCAAGGATGAGCATGCGAAAGGTGAGCTGATGGGGTAGGGGTGGGTGTGTGAAGCACAGGAGGAAGGGGCAAATGGAATAAAGGCACCAAGAGGGCCTTTCTGAGGCTTTGCTTGCGACTAAGGCTGACAATAAGCATTTGGAAGGTGAGATGATTAGGTAAGGGTGGAACATGGCAATAAAAAGGAGGAAATGGATGGAATGGCCAATCAAGAAGGCATTCGGATGGTTGTGCACTCCACCCCACGCACACAGAGAGGACTTTTGAGGCACCTCAAAAGAAGGCATTCGGATGGTTGTGCACTCCACCCCACGCACACAGAGAGCATGAGCATGCGGAAGGTGAGTTGATTAGATAAGAGTGGAAGAGTCGTTGCATTAGAAGGGGGGAATGGATGGAACGGGCGAATCAAGTGGGCATTCCGATGGTTGGGCATTGGACGCACAGCACACACGGCATGAATTTATGAAGCATGCCCTCCATGAAGCATGCCCTTCATGAAGCATGCCCTTCATGAAGCATGCCCTCCTGTCACTCACCTCGTTCGGTGCCACCAGCAGCCTCGTCGCCGCCCCTCCCCCTTCACCCCCAGAATCTCATCCATGATTCTGGTGGCACCTCGTTCGGTGCCACTCCCGCCTCCTAGCCCTGCCTCCCCGTCACCACCCACTCACCTCGTTCGGTTCGACCTTCTGTAAGGTACTCTCCCTCCTCCACCCCTCCCCCTTCACTCCCAGAATCTCATTCATGATCCTCATCGCCTCCGCCACTCCCGCGTCCCCGCCTTGCCCCAACAAGGCCTTCATGACTGCATGCACGTCCTCAAGGCGAGGGACCACGTTTCTGCGCGGCATCCTCTCGCGCAGCACGCGAGGTGCTCGCTTCAGCTCCCCCTCTTGCAGCAGCGCGCGGATCAGGAAGGAGAAGGTGAGCTGTGCGGTTCATGGACGTAGGTGGTTCAACGAAAAAGAAAGAAAGGAAAGAAACGATTATTGTGATGCCCCCCCTCTGCCCCAGTCATGCCTTCATGATGACTGCATTCGTGTCTGCTAGGTGAGAAACCAGGTTGTTAAAATCCTTGAGAGCACTAGCGGGCCGACGAAGCTTCAAGAGCTCTGCATCCAGTCATTCTGGGACGAGCAGAAACTTCGCGAGTCCATTACGGCTCTCATGTGCGTAAAGAGCTTGCACATCGTGGATTGCAAGAGCCTCACTCAGACGCCCAGAAATTTGAGGGAATTGAGCCTCTCAAGGCTCTCCAAATTCCTGGGCATCTGAGCGAGGCTCTCACAATCCACGATGCGCAAGTTCTCCAGGTTGGAGTTCTCCAGGTGCCTGATACCCAACATGGACTTGGGAATTTCTCGCTCGTTCCGGAATGACTGAATGCAAAGCTCTTGAACCAGACCAAACGACAACTATGCCACTCACCTCCCCATCCCATTCTCACCGGAGTGGGTCTTAGTTCACCGCCCATCGCAAACATCTCCTCCACCAGCGCGTTGCATCCCTCCAACCCCGCCCGCCCGCCCTCCTTCAAGCACCCCTTCATCACCAGGTGGCATAACGCCAAAGAAGGTCGCCCTTCCCCTGCCGGCCGCCCTTCCCCCGCCTTCCTCCTCTCTTTATCCCCCCACTTGACTCCCCGTTCAGGCCCCCCCTTCCCCCTGCCTTTCCCCCATTCTGTGCCGGCCCCCTTCCTATTCCCCTTGCCCTGCCCCTTGCCCTGCCCCTTGCCCTGCACCTTGCCCTGCCCCTTGCCCTCCCCCTTGCTCTGCCCCTTGCTCTGCTCGTTCCTCATCTTGGAAAACACTGCAAGTGCACGCAGGCCCTTGCCGGTGCCAACCAAAGCTCCTATGAGCTGGCTGTAGACGCGGTGAGGGATAGGGACGGGGGGCGGATGAATTCCCTCCCACTGTTCCAGCTGCTGCTTCAACTGCTGCTTCTGCTGCTCCTGCTGCACCTGCTGCCCTTTCTGCCCCTTCTCCTGCTGCTCTTCTAGCTGCTCCTGCGTCTGCTGCTCTCCCCCCATGACCATCGCTTCAGCCTCCTCCACACGCCCCAAGCGAAGCAGCATCGTCACAACAGCACCATATGCACTTGATGTCGGCCCAAACAGGTGTGGTCGCACCTCTCCCTCTTGACCCTCTTCCGGTGCCTCAAAACCCAGCTCAACTGCCGCCCCTCCTTTAGTCTCGTCTTCTAACACCCCATCCTCTCCCTCTCTCCCACTTGCCTTCCTCCTCTCGACTCCCTCTCCCCCAAGTTGCATCTCTCTTTCAAGTTTTCTCGCCTCCCTTGCTCTCTCCTCCCTTGCTCTCTCCTCCTGTACCATCTTTCTCCGTTGATCTGTACTCATCCCCTCCCACTCCCTCTCCCTCCTCTCCTCCATCCATTTCAGCAGTGCCAGTGCTTTCTCGCTCTCCTCCGCAATCGCCAGCTCATACAGCACCTGCGACACCTCAGCACTGCCCAGTGACACGTCATCACGGGCCTCATCCACCTCAGCACGACCAGCCTCCCCACCTTCCACCTGTGATACGCCACCGAGCCAGCTCATCAGCTTCGGCAGATCCCGAACCTCCTTGAGCCCTTCAATAGCCCCCAGTAGCAACGCCACCTGCCCCAAATCAACCGCTTTCAACTCTTCCACATCTAGACTCCCTCCTGCTCCTTCCACCTTCCGCACTTCTCCTCCCCCATATTCCATCTTCACCGCTTCCAACTCCTTGCTAGTATCACTCTCCCCTTCGCTCGTATCTCTCTCCCCATCACCCATCCCTCTCTCCCCTTCTCCCATCCTTCTCTCCCCTTCGCCCATCTTTCCCTCCTGTCCCTCCCTACTTGCCTCACCCGACACTCCTTCACCTTCATTGTCATCCCTCGCTCTCCCCTCTCCCGCCCCATCATCCCAAACACCCTTAGCTCCTCCCTCCCCCATTGCCCCCTGCCTCCCCTCCCCTTGCACAGCCATCCCCTCCCCCTGTCTCGCCTCCCCTTGCCTCTGCAGCGCCTCTTTCAGCTGGGCAGCCAGCAGCATCACTCTTCTCGCTCTCCTCCTCTCCCTCTTCCTCTCCAACCTCTGCTGCTCCACCGATCTCCTCTTTTCCTCCTCCTTGCTCTGCCTCTCCGCATCTTCTCTCAGCTTTCCGCTCCCTTTCATTCGTTCAGGCGCCTCTAAACCCTCTCGTCTCTCTCTCATAGTTTCAGGCACCTCAAAAGCCTTTTCCTTTGTCCCCATCCCTTCATCCACATCTGAAGGCCCCTTTGCTACATCCACCTTTCCTTCCTCCACTCCAATCCGCCCCTCATTACCCTTTCCTATCGCAATCCACCGTGCATTATCCTCTTCCTCACTCTCTTCTGTCTCTCTCAACACAATCGCCTCAGTCCTCTTCTCCTCCTCTCTCCTTCTCCTTTCCACCTCACCCGAACTACACTCAACCCCTGCCCTCCTTCTTTGCTCGCTTTCCCCGTCCCCTTCAGCCCTCACGTCTTCATTCAAATCCGACCCAGCCGCCGCCTCCCCCTCAACTTCCCCCACCTCATCATACCCCTTATAGGCTGGCTCGATACTTACACTTTGCACATCCAATGGATCGTCTTTCATGACAGGGCTGAGTGTGTTAGGCTCTGCTTTTGCCATCTCAGGAGGAGGAGAAGTGGTGGGAGACGGAAGAGGAGGAAAGGCCTCGTCTTTCTTGCCAGAGTAGGGCGTGTTAGGCTCTGCCTTTGCCATTCCAGGAGGAGGCGGAGGGGAGGAGGAAGAAAACGGACGAGGAGAGGTAGGAGGGGGATGAGAAGAGGACGAAGAAGGAGAAAGAGAAGGAGGGGGAGAGGGAAAAGGAGGAGAGGGAGTAGGAGAAGGGGAGGGAGAGGGCTGTGGATTGGAAGGAGGAAGGGTGGCTTCGCAAGGTTCTGTACTGCCAGACGGAAGGGAGGACAGAGCGGCTGGTACAGGTGGTTTGGCAGGCTCAGGTGATTGGGCAGCTTCAGGTGGCTTTTCAGGTTCAGGCGATTCGGCAGGTTCAGGTGGCAGGGCAGAATCAGGTGGCTTGGCAGGTTCAGGTGCAGGTTCAGATGACTTGGCAGGTTCAGGTGACTTGGCAGAATTTATTGAAATGGGTGGGTCAATGGTGGCTTCGAGAGGTTTGGAGGGGTTGGGGGCGGTGACAGACTGGAACCATTGAACAGCATCAGAAAGACCTCGCGCAACATCTCCCCCAAAACCAAACAAACCCTTCCCACCACCGCCGCTTCCTCTACTGCCAGTGCCATTGCTGCCGCTGCTACTATTGCTGCTGTTGGTGATACTGCTGCTGCTACTGCTGCTGCTGCCACCGCTGCCGCTGCCGCCACCGCCGCCGCTGCTGCTGCTGCTGCTACTGCTGCCACTGCTGCTCTCCCCAGTGCCGTTGTCTCTCTGCCCACTGCTGCCTTCATTAGCCTTGTTGCTGGCAGTTCTAATAAAAGCAGTAAGTTCCTTCACAACCGCTGCCCTATCAAATTTACTAGAAAAGCCATCTCCCTTAGAGTTCCTCAAAAGTCTCGTAATAATCTCATCTAGCTTTTCCCTGTCTCTCTCACCCCCTTTTCCTCCATCCCTCCCGCTCCCACCACTGCTGTTTTCGCCGCCACTGCTCACTTCATTCGTCGTCAATTCGTCATAAATTTGTATAATGAGATGCCGAAACAGCTCATCTTCGCTCACAACCCTCATCCCTCCCTTTCCATCTGGTACCCCGGGCCTGGGAAGCCCTAACACCCAAAGCCCGACCAACTGATCCATAGTAGGCTCTCTGCTGCTATTGTTCATCACCTTACTGACTCCGTCAAGAATCATCTTTTTCAGTTCCGTCTCTTGTGCTCCTGATGCTCCTGCAACTACTTCCCTGGCAGCCCCCGAACCCAGAGGAGTATTCACCCGTTTCCCTCCCCCCTTTCGACCACCACCACCCTTCTTTCCTGCTGCCTTCCCTGATGTTTTCCCTGCTGACTTTCCTGCTCCTTTTCCTGCTGCTCTCGCTCCGAAACCTTTCGGCTTGGTGTCTCCTCCTCTGCTGCTGCTGACGGTGCCGTCGTCGTCCTCTTCATCGCTGCTGCTGTCGCCATCGTCAGTGGGGCTACCGCTGTTGGTGTTACTTCCATCCTCGGGTTCTGCAACGGGAAGGGCGTGGGGAAGGCGGAACGCAAAAGGGTCTCTGACCTGACCAGTAGGTAGGTCAGGGAATGGCCAGAAGGGCCAAAAAGTGGCGCAATCTCTGGGCTAATCAATGGAGAAAACATCTCCCAAAGTAAAATTACGAGTGACACAACATGGGTTAACCGGGTACGGGTTCAATCAAATCAATATGGACACAGGCTGCCTTAAATCAATGAATGTTCCAACTAGGCTTAGAGATCAGCCGCTTCCAAAGACCCAGGACTGCAGCCAAAACCGAGCCTAGAGGCTCGGACCTTACCAGGGTCTGGAGGCCCGGGCCAGAGCGAGAAACGAGGACGTTCGGGGGGAGGATCGGGCGGAGATGATGAGGGTCCCGGAGGTGTGCTGCGTCCTGCCGCCGTCCTCGTGCTAGACGACCTACCCAGGCTACGCTGATCTCTAGTGATCTTATGAGACAGCTTTTGCGCCAACACGGAAATACGTTCGGGAGGTGAAGAGGGTTCCGGAGGAATGCTGCGTCCTGCAGCTGTCCTCGTGCTAGATGACCGACCCAGGCCACCCCTACTAGTGCTCGGCGCCGCTCCCCCCACGCTCCGGCTAGGTTCATGCGCGGAAACCCCCAGGCGCGGAGCCAGACGCGGTACCCGCGCGTGAACCCCGCATGCGCCGAATGCTGCGGGCGGGGAACATTGCGGTCGGAAGGCGAGGATATCTGTAGTCCGAACTCCCTGGATGCAACCTAACGTGCGGTTTGGAGTGTAGCTTAGATTGCATCTTGAAGTGCAGGTGGATGCGCAAGCTACACACAGAGCCGTTGAGGCGCAGAGTCGAGGTGTTGGAGAACTGCGCGGACGGAGACGGATTGGCGCCGACACTGACGAACCGTGCGTTGCAGCCAATCTAACCGAGCCACGTGGAGCTGACGTGACATTCGGACGATTGATGGTAAGCGGCTTGGCCATGGGACTCATGCAGCTGAGCATACCATCTGCCTAACAATAATCTGTGATGCCACGTGGAATGCTTCTATTGGCGAGCAGTCGCGGGATTCACGGCGTTATTAAGACCGAGTAGGACAACCGGGACCCTTGCCATTGCGGCGCTACTATCGTGTTAACTCCATAGCAAGCACGGCACTGTAATCTTCTTACGCCGTCAAAGACTCAAAAATTTTACTTCTGCTGAGACTCAGCCCTTCTGAACTCCGTGCTCTAGACGACATATGCTAGGCGAGCATAAACAAGGCAGAGCGACCGTAGCGTAGGCACAACTGACGGAATGCGATGGTGGAAGAAAAACAGGGGGCGGGAAGCGGGAAGTTCAATGTCAGAAGCAACTGCAAGAGAAGGTGAAGAGATACACCGTAATCAGAGCGTCGAAACGAGCAGAAACGAAGCAACTGCAAGAGAAGGTGAAGAGATACACCGTAATCAGAGCGTCGAAACGAGCAGAAACGAAACCGATATACATCAGACCGAGCTGCACCGGAAAACTGAAGCAGAACGAGTTTGGCGGCTGACATTCCGACAATACCAAGGGACCGCTATAAGAAAATCCGGCTTTCCGCATCAGCAGATATATTGTTGCAAAAAATAAAGTTGCTGATGATTACCATGGAATTAAATTCACATCATACTTACCTTTTGTGTCCACGCATTTCACTGCATTAAAAATCAGCTCTTGTAATTCATCTATAATTTATGTAGTATTATGTACGAATACATATGTATTACCAAGAACCACTAATTGAAATGCTCACTACACGAGATATGAAATCATCACAAGTGACTAGCCAAAGTTCCTAGTATAGCTCTGTTAGTGGTTGGCGAGCCCTCTTGGGAGATGGCGAGACACCATTCTTACCCACAGCTATGCTCATGTGACAAACTTTATCACCTTGTACAGTCAAAGAACCTAGTGGCTGGTTCTCCTTTGCTTGAAGCTGCATGAGCAAGAAACAAACCTTGCTTAGTTATAACACAGCAACTTATCAAACCGTCGCATCTGAGCACAGTGCAAAGAATGCAAAGCAGGAAAAGGATTGCATAGAAAAATTTGACAGAACATACACCTACAACCCCCCCCCCCCCCCCCCCCCCCCCCCCGACCGCTTACCTGATTTTCCAGCGACTCAATCTGCATGAGGTAGTCCTTCTGATTTGCCTCATACAGCTTCACGTCCAGCTCCAGCTGCTGCAGGCGCTTCTCCTTCTCCTCCCTCTCCTCCCACGCCTCCTCTTTCAAATCCAACACCTGCTGCAGCTCATCCCTCTGTTTCTCCGCCTCGGCCAGCTGGTCAAGGTTCAATGCAGGGGTGGGGGGGGAAGGAAAAAGGGGAGGAGAAGAGACAAGGTCGAGACGTCGCTAAGCTCATCCCTCTGCTTCTCCGCCTCTGCCAGCTTCTTAAGCGTGAATGCGGGGTGCAAGGCTGTGGGATGAGCAGAAGCGATAAGGTTGAGACGTATAAGAGCTTATCCTACTGCTCAGCCTTTATGCCAGCTCATCTTTGAGTTGGGAGAAGAGGAAAAGAGAGGGCGGAACAGAAAGAGCAGGGCGGAGCAGAAGGAGCAGAGCGGAACAGAAGGAGCAGGGCAGAACAGAAGGTCCAGAGCAGAAAAGAAGAGTGGACGTTCGCTCTCATTCCAGCACACTGCTCGTACCATCTGCTCGGGGCTGCTTCAGGCTGTACAAACAGAAAGCCTGGAAAAACATGGAAGTCAACCACAGAAAAGACATAAGGGCTGTACCTTCTGCCTGGCGCCCTCCAGATCCTTCACCAGCTTCCTGTTGGTGTCCTGCGCGCTGATCAGCACTGCCACCACCTCCTTGCGCCCCCTCCACTCGCCACCGCTCCCCCTTCTCCTGTACCCCGCCCCCTCCTCCTCCTCGCCTTCACTCCCTGCTTCTTCTTGGAGAGACTGCAGCAGCCGCTGCAGCTCCATTCGCTGCTGCTCTGACTGCTGCAGTCGACCCTGGGTCCAGAAGAAGTAGGTAGAGAGGCAAGGAAACGAAACACCATACAGTATGAATGCAGCAGGGATGTAAACAATGAGCAAGAGTGTACTCATAACAGCCTCACAGGACAGGTGCACAGATGGTCTCAAATGGTTTTGCGGACATGGTTTTTCAGTATGAGAAAGAGAAGAGTCTCACTGTGAGATTCTCGACCCGTTCCTTCTTCTCTGCAAAGGCCTTGCGCCACACACTCTGTGGGGGTTGCGGAACCAAGAACGAGGGAGAAAAGGGACAGAATTACAAACACAGGATTGATCAGAACTGCTGAAACAATTTCAGGTTTATAGAGCACAAGTCTGTCAGAGCAGATTGAACAACAGGAAGGCATTTCCAAGACAAGTCCCAAAGCGCCTGATGACTTCAGATTCAGACAGAAATGAATCACACCTGGACGCTCTCAAGACCAACCGAAAATCTCAAGCAAACTCGACCAACAAACCCTTGGACAGGTGCATTCGTTCTGGAGCGAAGCCAGCGGAACCTTGGCAGCTGATGCCGAAGCCAAATGAAGCAGAGAAGCATCAATGCACCAACACATTCTTCTAACCAGTTCATTCCAGCATGCCTTCTGAGCGCTCTACTTGTTCTGCAGCGAGGCAAGCTCCCTCTTGACAGCCAGTGAAGTCGGCAAGTGAGGCAGAGAAACACTTCAATGCACCAACAGCATGCTCTTGAGACCAGCCTCTACACGAGCATCAATCCAGCATACCTTTTGAGCGCTGTACTTGTTCTGCAGCGAAGCCAGCTCCCTCTTGACAGCTAGGGCAGCGCCTTCCCCCTCTGCACGTGCCTCCTCCTCCGCCTCCCTCCTCTCCTGCTTCAGATGCTCCACCTGCTCCTCCCGCTCCTGCACCTGCCTCTGCAGCCCCGCAATTCTCTCGTTCGCTGTGTTCAGCTTGCTCTCCATTGCCACCACCTCATCCGCCTGTGAACACGGGAGGGTTGAGAGGGGGGTTTGTGAGAAAGGGAAAGAAGGTATTTCACCTGCCTCTGCAGCGCTGCTATCCTTTCAGTTGACGCATTCAGCCTGCTCTCCATCGCCACCACCTCGTCCGCCTGCGGATGGGGGAAGATTGGAAGGGGTAAGAATGGGGGGATATGGGAGGGGAAACAAAGCTATGCATCTGCCTCTGCAGCGCTGCTATCCTTTCACTCGATGCACTCAGCTTGCTCTCCATCACCACCACCTCGTTTGCCTGTAAATTCAGAGGGAGGAAGAAGGGGAGCAGAGTGAAAAGAACCGACAATCATGCAAGGTTTAAAGGAAGAAACAGCATCAACATTCATGCTGCCTTAATCTTCTTGCTAGTTTAAGAGAGCTTATCAGTGGAGTTTGCGCCTCAAGCCTCACCTGCTTTCCAAGCCGCTCGCTCTTGGCTCTCTCCGCTCTGAGGTCGTGCTCCAGATTGGTCGCTCTCGCCTTCTCCTTCTCCAGATCCTGCACTGCCTCCTGGTGCTGTGCGCATACCTGCCGGGCACAGAGGCAGGAAACAGGTAACAGGGAAGAGGGATCAGGGGACAAAGGATCAGGTAACAGGGAGCAGGGAATGAGGAGCGGTGGATCGGCAAAAGGAATCGGGGACCAAGAGTGTGAGGATCAAACCCAGAAACCAGTAGCAGAGCCGTGGCAGCAGCAGCAGATGCCTACTTCCCTTTAAGCCAGCTCGGGTGCATGTACCCACCTCAGCGTGCTCCTTCCTCGCTGCAGCAATGTCTGCCTCCAGCTGCCGCTTCTCCTCCTCTGCCTGCTGAATCCTCGCCTGCACCGAGTTTTGAGACACCTGAAACCTGGAAATCACCCACCTCAGAGTGCTCCTTCCTCGCTGCAGCGATGTCTGCCTCCAGCTGCCGCTTTTCCTCCTCTGCCTGCTGAATCCTCGCCTGCAGCACCACTATCTTCCCCTCTGCCTCCTTCCCAGCTGCCTCTGCCTCCGCCTTGCCCTTCTCCAGCTCCTCACACTGCTCCGTCTGCACGCAGTCAAGAGAAGAGAAAAACAGTGGGGTGGGTAACCGTCACAGATTTTGGGCAGAGATGTGAGCATAGTCAAAGAAAGAAAGAAAAAAGATGGATGAAAATGCGCGCTATGGTCCGTATAAGATGAGCTCATCCTCAGGTGGAATTGCACTTCCGACACAAAAATATCCTGGCTGTGTTCTCTGGTACACATCAGCACACCTACTGACTTTTGAGTCGACTCAAAAGTCTCTCAGTTGCGATTGCGTATTGGACACAGCAGATCTTGGCTGTGTTCTCTGGTGCACATCCGCACACGCGGCATACCGCTGCACATTGTCAGACCCCCACACGCACGCACCAGCTCCTGGCGAATCTCCTGCAGCGCCTTGATCTGACTTGTGGCCGTCTCAAAGTCTGCCAGAACCTCCTGCAGGTCCGCCTGTCCCGCATCCACCTCTGCCTGCAGCTGCTCCCCCTCCTCCTCCGCTGCCGCCACCCTCAGCCTCAGCTCGTCCCTCTCGCCCTCTGCCCCATCCAACGCTGCCTGTGAGTGGGAGGAGGGGAAGGACAGGGAAAGGAGGGGGGGGGTAGAAGGGACGGGAAGAGGAATAGGAGGAGGGAGGACAAGCAGGAAGAAATTTTAGGGAAGCAGAGTGGTATGTGGTGTGGTAGGGGATATCTGCCTGCCCCGCCTCCACCTCTGCCTGCAGCTGCTCACCCTCCTCCGCTGCGCCACCCTCAGCCTCAGCTCGTCCCTCTCGCCCTCTGCTGCTTCTAATGCTGCCTGTAAGGGGGGAGAGGGGAGGAAGAGGGAAAGGAAGGGGGAAGGGGGAGGCAAGGAAGCGGGAAGGGGGAGGAGAAAGAGAGTAGAGGGAAATGAGAGGCAGGGAAAAAGAGAGGACGAAGAGTGGGAGAGAGGTCAAGAGGGAGAAGACGGAAAGGGAACCAGAGTGGGTTGTGGTGACTGAGAAACATCAACCCAATTCCCCTCCTGCTCCTGCTCACTCAGATCCTTCCTTCTCACCCCCACCACAACTCCGCCTGCTCTGCCTGGTAATCAAGAACCCTCCCCAAAACTTGCCACACTCCCCAGCACACACACAAACCCCACTCTTTCCGTTAACCTGAAGGTCCACAATCGCCCTGTCCTTCTCTTCAATCTCCGCCGCCATAGCCGCCAGCTGCCTGTCTGCCTGCACAGCCTTCGCCTGCACCTCCCGCCGCTTATCCTCCACCTGCTCCCGCTTGCTGAGATCCCTCGCCAGCTGGTTGCTCTGGTTCCTCAGGCTCTTCACCTCGCGCTCCAGGTTCGCCTTATCCACCTGCAGACCCAGCTTCTCTGCAAGCACCGCCTTCAGCTTTGCCTCTAGATCCAGCATCTTGGTTTTCCGCTTCTCTGCTTCTTTCCTCAGCTGGTCCCGCTCTCGTTCGACCGCTCCTGGCTTGCCCTTGAGGGAGCTCATCTCCTTCTTGGTAGCGAGTAGCTCCTTGCGTGCCTCTGCCAGCTCCTCTGCGTGCTGCTGTTTGCACGCCTGGAGGGAGAGGGCAGAAAAAAGGGGCACAGAAAGGAAGGGATCAGCGTGGGGAAGGGAAAGGGGAAGGTGCCATGCGAGGGTTGGGGTGATCAGAGCACGGTGATGGAGAAGTCATGACAGTGAGCAATCAATCGGTCATGACGACGACTAGTGTTCGGCGCACCTCGAGCTGTAGTTGAGCTTCAGTTGCTGAGGCCCTTGCCGCCTCCAGCTCTGCTGCCACCTGGTCCGCCCTCTGGCTTGATTCGTCCTGAATGTATGGAGAGGAGAGCAAGTAGGAATAGGGAAAGCAGGAGCGAGGACGAAATGGAGGGAGCACAGTGGAGGTGAAATGGGAGAACTGAGGGAAGGTAGACAGCAGAGAGGGGGAAACAGTCGATTGGTCGGATCACGCTTGATAAAGTTTAGCAGAACTGAAAGCTTGCTGCTTTTCCTGAAGCAAATGCCCCACCCACCTTCTCTTTCAGCACCAGCTTGAGCTCCTCCTGCACAGCAGCCAGCTCCCTCTCTTTCTCCCCAACCCTCGCACCCATCTCCTCCACCTCCCTCCTCACTCCCTCCAGCCTCTCCTCCGCCTCCCTCTTCTCCCCCACCGCCCTCCGCACCTCTCCCTCTCTCTCCCCCGCCCGCTCCTCCCACGTCCTTCTCTCCTCCCTCTCCCTCTCAACCTCCCCTTCCAACACCCTCACCTTCTCCTCTAGTACCCCCACCTGCCTCGCACTCTCAGCAGCCCTCGCATCTGCCTCTCGTCTGGCAGTCAACAGGTTCAGCTCCACAGTATCCCGAGCAGCCACCGCCCTTTCCAGCTCCCTCCCGGCTTCTTCCAACTCCGCTTGCAGCCTGGTTACCACCTCTCCCACCTCCTCTCCTCCCTTCCTCTGCGACTGAGCCTGAGCCAGCTGCCTGGCGCTCTCTGCTGCTGCAGCTCTAGCCTCTGCTAGCCTTCTTGCGCCTTCCGCCTCACTCTCCCTCGCCTGCTTCAGCTGAAGACTCAAATCCTCCGTCTCACTCCTGGCAGCAGCTAAGGACGAGATCACCCGCCCAACAGCCGCACACAGGTCCCTCATCTCCCCCACCACCACCCTCCCAGCACCTGCACCAGGCCCCCTGCCATGACCTTCAACGAGACTGTTGCCATTGCTGGAAGGAGTAGAGGCAGGGGCAGGGACGCTCTCCCTTAGAGCCTGAGAAACATCTGCCTGCACCCTCCTCACAGCGTCCTGGAGGGACGTCAGCTCCCGTTCCCTCTGCTCCACCGCCTCCCTCAACCTCTCTATCTCCTCCAGCCCCCTCACATCACATCCCTTCCCAGCCGTGTCGTCCCCACCTGTCCCCACTTTCCCTTCCGCCAGCAGTGCTTTCAGCTTGCCAACCTCCTCCTCCAAGGCGTCCTTCTCCCCGCTCACCTCCAGCAGCACCCCTTCCACTGCAATCACATTCGCTTCTAGCTCCTCCACCCGCCGCTTCAACTGAGATGCCTCCCACACTGCTGCCTCCAGCTCCCTCTGCTTCTCCATCAGCTGTCCCGCTGCTCCTGCTGGCCCGGATCTTGCTTGAGCTGCTTCGGCGGTGGCTTCCTGTAGCAAATGCTCTGTCTCGTACAGCTGGGAGTTGGCTGATTCCAGAGCTTCCTTCAGTGCGCTGCAGTTGTCGCAGGGGGAAGTGTCTGCCTTCGCAGCTGCCTGTGCCTCCTCTAGCTGCCGTTTGCAATCCTCAAGCTCCTCCTGAAGCTGCTCTCATGACGCCAGGCAGCAGGGAAACAAAAAAAAGAGAAAGAAAAACGATGACATCGGTGACGGGAAAGGAAAGGTCCAAGACAACAGCACAACACATTAAGGGCAAGCAGGAAAGTGCAGCCTTCTGGGAATAAGGCAGCTGCAAAAATGAGAATCCTGAAAGTGCCCACCTGCTGTTGCCTCTGCATGGTGCTCGCCTGCTCCTCCGCCTGCTCCCTCGCCTGTGACTTGGCCTGCTGTGTCACATAGTCCAGCTCCCTCTGCATGCACGCCTTCTCCATCTCAAGAGCCGCCACCTTAGCCTGAAGCCCGTGCGCCAGCACAGCCGGGGTGCCCATGCTCTTGGACCGCCTCTCCTGGCCTGGCCCTGCACCCCACGCCTCCTGATCCTTCTCCTCCCCTCCCTCGCCCGCCTCCCCCCTTGTCTCTGCACCAGGGCCTGCTCCTACTTCTGCGTTTGCAACACCCACTCCGCCTCCTGCGCTTCTTCCTGTGCCTCCTCCTCCTCCTCCGCCTGCGTTGGCCTGCATGGCGGCTACCTGTGCTTGCAGCTGCGCTATAAGCGCGTCCTTCTCTGCTAGCTGCAGGGAAGAGGGTGGAAATAAAGAATAGGGCAGGAAGGGGTCAATTTCTTAAGTGCTTACAAATGTAATGTTTCATAAGAGCGTACTTATATGCTAGCTGGGGAAGTGGGCAGGCGCGCATACCTGCTTTGCATGCCCTTCGTTCCATTGAGCTGACAGGGTGCTGCTGATGGTCACACCACGCAAAGGCTGCACCAGGATCCAAGGGAAGTGGAGGAAAGAGGAGGGAAGAGGAGAAAAGAAAGAGGAGGGAAGCGAGGAGTGAGAGAAACACAAGAAGGGAAACATGAACCCGTCATGAAGCGCTTACGTTGCAGAGAAATAAGAATGCTTCGTTGTGATCAACTCACTTTCTTTGCCACTGGCGAAGACTCCTTCTCCTTATCTCCGAAGCCCGGCGCAGCCCGCCTCTTCTTTGACCCATCACGAGCACTCTCATCCTGGGAAACCCCAGACCCAAACCGCCCTTCACTCTGAAACAACTGGCTGTCCTGAAACTCGTCCGATTCCTCCTCCTCTTCCTTCACCTCCTTTGGCCCATTCGTCTCCCACAGAGCTGCCAGCTTCTGCACGCTGCTGATCCGCCTCTTCCTCGCAGCCCCATTCACCTCCTGAACCTTCTCTGGCTTCGCATCTTTCTCATCTTTCTCGTCCTTCTCCTCCTCTTCCTCATCGTCCTCTTTGAAGGCCATGGCACGGCGCATGAATGCCAGGCGCTTGATTCCCCCAGGCTGGTTCTCCTGCAGAGGAACACGCCACGCAAGTGGGGAGCAGTGAAGCAAGGCGTTTAAGCGGTGCCAGCGACTGCATAGGAGAGAAGCAAGACATCCTATAGTAACCTATCACTGCATGCATCAAAAGAGAAGTGGAACAGATGGGACGGCACAACCATGCCACACTCAAGGACGTCTGATGCACTCATATGGCAGCGATGCCACATGCGAAGAGTGAGGCAGTGGCGGATACAACAATAGCTGTTGCTCACCTTGATTCCGGCTGGGCTGCTCTCCACTCGTGCGTTGGGACACCACGACTCCCTGCGATTGCCCTGCAAGACGCCCACCCGCCATAACACCCAGGTTAAGCTAATCCAGTCCAGCTCAAGAACATCTAGCTTGTAAGAGTGTAGACTGTTGACAACACAGTCAGCCAGGTTCTACAAGGCTGCTCACTGCAGCATCAGAAACCATCCCTCTGTCCAGTCCTGCTCTCCTCCTGTCCTCTCCCTGACCATCCCTTCACCCCACCGCTCCACCCAAACCACCCGCATGGCTAACACTGCTCCCCACTGCTCCTGGCCCCAGCCCCACATCTAGCTCCGCCCTCAGGAGCCCTCAAGAAGCCCCACTCCAAGAGCTCCCAGCAAACGCCTGTCACCTTTTTGGGCCGCCTGTCGTTCTGCCTGTCCCCTGCAGCGGCCTTAATAACGAGCGTGCTGAGGTTCTCAATCTTCCTCTCCTGCTCCTTGATGCGCTGCTCCTTCTGTGAGTGCGCCGCCCTCTCCTCCTGCAGCTGCAGCGCTATCACCTCCTTCTCCGACTCCATCTGAGCGAGATGCGAAGACAAACAGAGACAGGGAAGGCCACGATAGAGGGACAAGCAGAGACGAAGATGAGCAAGATAGAGTGACGGATGGGCTCAATAGTGCGAGCTCAGACTACACGCTTTTCCTCCTGCAGCTGCAGCGCTATTGCCTCCTTCTCCGATCCATCTGAGCGAGATGCGAAGAACAGGGACAGAAAAGGGCAAGTTACAGAGGCAGAATATAGGGTAAACAGTGTTTGCCCCGACTACGCTCTTTTCCTTCTGCAGCTGCAGCGATAACAACACCTCTATGGGCAACATACCGAGACAGAATAAGCAGGATACAAGGGACAGAATTTACAGTCAATGGTCACCTTTATCTCGGGCGAGTGGGACGCCTCCAGCTTGTTCCAATGCTTCCCACAAGGGGGCTAAAGCGCCTGGCATTCATGCACCGTGACGGAATGACTGACTGACTGACTGACTGACTGACTGACTGACTGACTGACTGACCTTGAGCATGGCGTTGCGCAGCTTCATGATTTCCTGCTCCATCTCAGGCGAGTGGGATGCCTCCAGCTTGCGCCGCAGGTCCTCAATCTCCTTTGCCTGCCTCTTGAGGAGCACGTTGTTGGTGACGATCTGTGGTGCACGGCAAACAAGGCACGTGATGGAGCAGCCACATGAGCAACAAGGCAAACAGGGGGGGCGATGGGCAGCACAGCTCAAGGACAAGACACACCAACCATGACACCAGGTTGTTACCAGCTGCTGGGCTCAGCAAAACATTTCCAGCATAGGAGAGCAACGGGGTAACGTTGAGTTGAGAGAAGCATTACCTCGTTAACTTTGGCGCAATTGGTGATGCACTTCGCTCTGAGCGCGAATCGGAGAGTGCCATGCGTCTCGTCCTCATGCCTCTGTAACGGACAAAGGGGAACAACAAGACAGTTAAACAGGCCACATTTGACAAGGGTTAGGGGGGAAGGTGGATCGACAAGCCGATGGCAGAGGTTGTGGTGAGGCCATTCGGTTCGCTATTCAGCTCATCACGCCAGCAAGCCGAAGGAAACTTCGGGTGTGTTACCAGGGCGGGAGTGGCGCAGCAGATGATGGCTGTCTTGGTGTTGCCACCCAGCGCTGGCTGCAGGATGCGCGTCAGCTTGCTGTCTCTGTACGGGATGTGCGCCCTGCAACGCACAACACAACGAACAGCAACATAGTCGCACATGCCAATCAAGTCAGGACTCAGGACAACAGCAGGAGAGGGCACTGCTCAAACATCACGAGTCTACTCTAGGAGTACTTTCTGCCCAGCATGTTGTTGAGCCCGTCCTCCCTCCCTCCCTCCTTCTGCATGCTGTGGCCCGCTGTTTCAATACTCGCCCATCTCATCTCATGCGGTATGCCAAACAGCATCCCTGTATTCTCGCATTTCACTCACCCGTTTCGCTCCACGCATTCACTGAGCTTGTTGGTCACCATGCCCAGCACCATCAGGCTCTTGTTAATGTGCCCTCCCTCCCTCAGCCGTCACCCCTCAGGTCCTGGGCCTTTCAAGGCGCCTCGATAACAGGCACACTCACTCACCCGCTCCTATCCGCGCCTTCACTGAGCTTGTTGATCACCGTCCCCAGCGTCATCAGGCTCTTGTTCATGTGCCCTCCGTTCCTCCGTCAGTCAGCATGCTGTGCTCTGCTACTTCAATGCCCGGTATGGGGCCTACTAACCTCACTACATCGCTCTCAACTCACCCGTTCCTATCCGCGCCTTCACTCAGCTTGTTGATCACCGTTCCCAGCGTCATCAGGCTCTTGTTAATGTGCGCCCCCTCCTTCAGCCGTGACCCCTCCGCACCTGTCTTCGCCACCCTTTCTGACCCGGCAAGGTCCACCAAATTCTGAGGTGGAGGGGGTGGCGAGGAGGGGAACACGAGGGGCGCATGAATAAGAGAGAGAGACTTCGCAAAAGGAGGGGAAGAGAAGGCCTGAACCACATGGGGTAAACAGCCGGCCGTGACTCCCTTAACAATTGTTCGTTTCCTTTCTTGGTGAACTTATTTTTTGTTTCGGTAAAGCACCCACGAACATTGAGCTCCGTTGGTGACTGACAGCACATCAGACTCGAGTGGCACTTACCAGACTGGAGACGAGAACAGGACTTTCAGCCTCTGTAGCCCCCTCCTCCGGGATCTCCCTGCTTTCAAGCACCTGCATACGAGCAGCACGCACAAGGGAACACAGGCATACCGGATGGGCGAACTCAGAGATCAATTCAAGTTGGGCGAATCAACTCACAGTGACGATAGCAGTCGAGCAAGACATCATCTGTTTTTACAATTCAGGATAAGAGAATCACGGATGCGGTGTGCCAGGAGTGCCAAGATTCAGTGCTTGACGGTCATGGCGAGGTGAGTGTGGAACGTACCATACGGAAGATGGCGTGGGAGCGGCTACTCTTCTCGTTCATCTTCGTCTCTCCAATGGACCGATTCGCTGCATATGGCACAGGCACAGGCACAGGCATGCCGTCAGAATCAACACATCCCCAACTGTAGCCCCTGAAAACCATCCGCAACTTGTGAAAAACAACAGCGCAGCTGGATAAGGAAACTCGGAATCTCCTGACGCTGAGGAGCTGAAGCACCTGGTCCGGACACAGGACGGCCTCCACGTTGAGACCTTTGCGTGGACGCAATGGTCATGCTTGAGCCTTGAACTAGAATCGAACAACTGAACAGCAACAATGCAGCTGCGTTACAATGGAATTCGTACTTTCTCCGACGCTGAGGAGCTGAAGCATTTGGCCTGGACACATGGCGATCGCCTCGTCGAGACCAAGAGCTCGGAAGTGGGTTGTTAAGGGAAATCTTACTCTCTCCGACGCTGAGGAGCTGCAGCACTTGGTCCGGACACATGACGATCTCCTCGTGGAGCCCAGCCACGAAGACGCCTCTCTGCATGCACGCGAAACGAGCCATAGCAGGATACTATGTGAGCGGAGCACGTTCCAATAACGGATAGCGTCTCAGACAAGAAGTAGTTCGTAATAAGCAGGCCATATTCGCGTCACCGAGCCATCTTCACGTTCTTTATAGTATGCGAAACGCCTCGCAATCTCAAGCTTCCTCGCATTCTCAAGCTTCCTCACAATCTCAAGCTTCCTAGCAATCTCACGAGCCGCCTCGCACCTCGGAGCTCTCGTGAATCTGAAGCCTTCGGTTGTCGGGAGCCAGCAGGTCGTTGATCTCCTCGTTGTAAATTTCGAGGTACGAAACTCGTAAAAGAAACTCCCGGTTCATTGTCTGCCAGATGAAAATACAGGGTTGAGAGTTTCAAAAGAGTACAGGGCAATGATATCTCTTTGACGTAAATTTCGAAATTAGTACCTGGGAGATGGTGTCGAAGACCTGACGGACGGAGAGCGGGATGACGCCTTCGCACGCAGGCACGCCTCTCATGGTGAACGTCTTGCCGCTGCTGGTCTGACCGTAGGCGAAAATAGTCCCTGGCGAGTCCAAAAAATAAGAGGTAAAAAAACTATCAAGAAGATACCGTGCGAGTCAGAGGTCGTGAGAATTCGTCAGACACGGTTTGATCAGTCTGACCGCCATAAAACCAGAAAGTTTGTTAGGTTGTTTCTTCACTGACCGTTGAAGCCATCCACAACAGCTTTAGCGATCTCGCACGCGCGGCTCTGAAAGACCTCCTCGGACGTCGCGCTTCCATCGAACACGTTATCTGCAACAGCTCAGATGAATCGTATCAGGAACTTGGAATTCACGTGCTACAAAAAAACTTCAAAGAAATACTGAAGAAAGATGGTATTGCAAGTCATGCAAGACAAGTAGAGAACAGGAGAGTTCCCTGATCATGCAAATTCTGAAAAACGTTGGACTGACAAGCGACCCACCAAAAGCGTATTCCGCAGCGACGTTCCCTCGGCTATCGGACAGCTGAATCTTGTTCCCTTGGACGGACCACGGGGTTCCATCTGATCGCTCAACGTCGCTTAGCGGCCTAAAACGAATCGCGACGGAAATAGCTTCAGCCATTGCCTAAGCGCAACCCTTGAAGACGTAATACGTTATGGATAAGTCAGCAGAATACGGTTTCAGGTTAGGAAGCGGAGAAACGTTCTAGTGTATATGTTGGTTGATAAAATTAAGTTGAAGAGTGTAGAATGGCCTTAGCTTCCTCGAGAGAAGGAAGTAGCTTGGTAGAAGCTAAAAGTCTCGCATACAACAAGTTTGGTAAGTACAGCACCTTGATTACTGTAGTATCTCCGATTTGTACTCAAACAGAATGTTCCGTACTCGGCGACTTCTCCTAACTATCCTGAACATTGAATTCCTAAGCTATGTAAAGCGGAAACCCTACTCGCACTATGCCACAGACCAAATGCTGAAGCCTGACAATGACTTCATTGAAGGTCTAGAAGAACTCCCATCACTAAAGCTCTTTCTGGTAGACTCTAAGGGGAAGTTGGGCACTAGGTGGGATTGTGAATCCATTGCGAGTCCATCCGGCCCGACTTGAGATTCAAGGCCAGAATTCAGAACTTGATGCCGCAGATGGAGCAAGCAAGGTGGGTGGAGTGGAATTCCCGAGGATGGTGCTTGAAGTGGAATTCAGCAGGGCTATTGACCCATCCAGATCACGGCAAGAAAAAAATGGTGAAAAAAATGGAGAGCGAGAAATCGCCTCATGGAAGTTACTGGTTCGTAATGTTTCCCAAGATACTGGACTGCCCAGAAGTTATTTGGTGTGGAGTTCCGTCAAATAAATATTATTCATCACCCCTCTGTCAGGAACTGCTTGTCACAGGCGGTTCGGCTTTTCGCGCCACAATTTCAAACCATCTGCGCTCGAAGCTTCGCCGATTAATACAAAACAATTCAGTGCAAACACGAGAGTAAACAACGTTACATCACCCACACGTTTGAAAACCGTATGGAACAAATTTGACCCATCTCAATACCCCCCTCTCCACTGCTGTGCACACTTTTGAAGGTTCAATGATTCATCAGAGGGATTACAAAGGAGCCAATCACACACAACACAGCCCTCTGTATGCACAGTAGCTTCAAGTTAAACAAGTTCTCATCTCAATGTTCAATCAGGAAACTCTGCATTACTTTCAGACAAAATGGACATTGAATCCCTACATCAGGTATGCATTACATCAATACCCTCATTCAATCATAAGTTTCAAAACTCCAGACCGCCCTCACGAGCACCGTCCGCAAGAGCCTGAATGCGGCCGTGGTACACGAAACCCCCGCGGTCAAAGGCCACCTTGCTGATTCCCCTCTCCAAGCAGATCTTGGCAATCTCCTGACCCACACGCCGCGACGCCTCCTGCGCTTGTTAAAAGAACAGAAACGGGCAGGATGGGGATTGGGCACAGAATGACGTTGAAAAAGGGGAAACGGAGGGATTAGGGTTGAACTGTTTGGCAATCCAGACCAGAACTCACATACAGCTTCAGCAACATTTTTGGCATTCCCAATCACACTTCACCATACCAGACAAGAATACCCCAAGGCACGGCATTACAGATTGCTGGAATTGCATGAGCCAAAAACTCTAGCGTGCCCCTCACATGCACCGTCCACACATCTGCACGCCACTTGTGCATGGAACACTCTCATTCCATCTGGGCTGGAATTCAATTCAGTGAGTTACACACAACTGAAGCTAAGTTACGCACAGTGCTGCCTGCGGTGAGCTTCAGCTCCTCGTGTGGAGGACGGGTGTGTGGATGGGCGCACGCTGACCACAGCGCGGCTGACGTGAGTAAAACTGGGAGTCCACGACTCAGTCGGATGGAATGGGGTTCCGCCAAACTAAGTCATGCACGTACATACCAGAGTGGGGCCTGCAGTGAGCTTCAGCTCCTCGCGAACGGGTGAGTGGGAGGACGCGGATCACAGAGAGGCTGGCGTGAGTGGAACTTACTCCGTGAGTCAGTGAGGTAGGGTTAGTGGAAATCGTGCGCGCTTAGGCTATGCTATGCACGTACCACAGTGGGTCCGGACGTGAGCTTCAGCTCCTCGCGGAGGGCGGGTGTGAGGGTGGAATCTGACCGTTAAGTCATTGTCAGAAAGAGTCGCGCACGTACCACAGTGGGGCCGGACGTGAGTTTCAGCTCCTCGCGAAGGGAAGGTGTGAGGGTGGACACGGCGGCGAGAGTGTGCTGCTTGGTGTCGTCAACCACCTGCTCGCGGAGAAAGCAGGACACACAGATAGAAGAGCGTGAGAGGATACTAAAAGTTGCAACAGAAGGCGTGGACACATGGGTGGCGAGAGTGTGCTGCTTGGTGTCGTCAACCACCTGCTTGTGGGAAATTTGGGATACGCAGGGGAGACCATGGGAGGACGTCTAGAATCACGGCTGAGGTGAATGCACAGAGACGTTAACACATGAGAGTGCTGCTTGGTGTCGTCAACACCTGCTTGCGGGGAAGGCAGGCATAGAAGACTGTTGGAAGAGAAGAAAGGCAGCTAAGGTGTTGCTATGGGACGGGAACACGTGAGCGGCGAGAGTATGCAGCTGATTGACATCTGCGCCTCAGCATCGACCTGTGCCCTGGTGTGGCGTAGCATCAACTTGTCCCCCTCTGTGACTCAGCAGCACCAACCTGTACCGCTCTGTAACTCTCTATAACGCTCTGTGACTCACACACAGACCTGAGCCGCACTGTGAGTTAGCACGGACCTGGGCGTAGATGTGGTTGTTGGAGCGGAACACGGCGAGGCGTGGCCTCTTGGTGGTGCCACTCAACATCAACCTGTACCTGCGCCGACCCATTACCGACCTGCGCCGCTCTGTACCGACCTGCACCGCTCAGTAACTCAGCACGCACCTGCGCGTAAATGTGGTTGTTGGAGCGGAACACAGCGAGGCGTGGCCTCTCGGTGGTTCCGCTCAACTGCGGGAGGGCAGGCGGGAAGAAAGGAGGTAAGAAGGTGGGAAGTTTGCGAAGCTGATATGATGGGTGCAGCAGGCTGGGGGCAGCAGGCTGGGTGCAGCAGGCTGGGTGCTGCAGGCTGGGTGGTCAAGACTGGGTGCTACAGGCTGGACGATAAAGAGGAGGGCAGTGCACAGAACCTGTCATGATGCTCCCTCTTCCTGCTCTCTCTTACACCGCAACTCAGGAATGCTCTGAATTGAGATCAAATGTCGGATGATCAGCAGTACCCACGAATCCGCCAACCAACTGAGCAAAGCCTTCGCTACAGTCCGCCCTGTATTGCAGCTGATCAGCCTAAGAAGCTGTTTTGGATCACGGGAATTTCCAGGTGGCTCAAGACTTGTGCGTAGGGTACCCAAATAAAGACTCTAACGCCAGCACGCAACGCTTCACGTCGAGCGAGGAATCTACAGACCGCATACATGCGGAAACGCGAAACAAAAAAAAGGGTAGTTTTTGCAATGGAAATCAGTCTTATCGCAACAAAAAGGCTAGACAAGACTGCGATCGAAGTTCCGTCGCGACTGCGAGAGTGAAAACGCAAACTTTCGAATCGTTTATCCCCGTTCTACCATCACGTTCATTGCTCCCCCGGTTCTGAAACCACTTGAGAACCAATCTACATCCGCAGTCATCCATAAAACACCTGATATCACGCGCATTTCGCCAACCATGAGCTTGTACCTTTTTGCGGATCCGCATGTGACGGTTCTTGACCTTCTCTCTCCGGGTTGCCTCCCTGGCCTCCACTAGCAGAGCCGAGTGGCTCGTTTGACCTGGACAGATGAGAAATGACGCTCCCACATTTTAAACTCCAATGGCTGTCGTTCAAAAAAACTGATGAGAAATTACCCTCCTCACAAATATCGCTCCCATTGAAAAGAACCCAGTAGCTGTTTCTTTAAACGCATGCTTAAAGCCCAATGCTCCTTGAAACTATGCCTGCTGTCCTGTTCGTCAGCCGTTCGTTCTACCTTGCACACTGACGGTCATGCGAGCGGTGAACGTCTTCTCAGCCGACAATCCCGAGAATGTGGCGAACGAGCCACCATAGACGGACCTCTCTGGGATCCTGAGAGCAGCTGAGCTGATCTGTGCAGCGGCAGCCATGGCTGACGAAGCCCGTAAATATCGGAGGGCACGGGAAACTAGCACAAACACAACTAGTCCGCGCCTAGGCTTAGGTACACCACCGTGCAGCCAGCAGCGCCTTCTAATTAGGTATGGACAACAAAGCTCCTGAAACTTAGTGGCTAGGCCACAGGAAGCGTCGAAGGGGTAGTGTTCCGTGATGGGCTTTTGAACATCAATGTTACAGGTAAATTTCGGTGCGTCACTTTTTGAGACGGTACGACGCATCACATTACGGTGATTCGAACTCAGCAATCCTGACTGTGCAGGTGTGAAGGAACTGCGCGCGGGAAAGCGGGAACCGCCACGTTGCTATGGGGAAAGCGGAGAGTCCACTCAGCAAGCGCGCGTGGCAGAAAGCCTGGGAATGGATGAGGAGCAGATGGCACAACACGTGGAGACGCGAGATGCGAATGTGACGTGGACACTCAACGAGACAGCCTTTGGGGATTTGCGTGACCTTCCCGAATTGCAGCACTATCAAAACTACTTTTTGAAGAGTAAGTGTATGCTGGTGTTTCCTAGTTCCGAATCCTTCAAAGAAACCAGTAAATTCGGAGCTCTCAAGAAAGATTAACCCGTAAGCCCTGCACATCATTCCCCGCTTCCACAAATTGTAAAGTTTCCGTAACTTATTTTGTCAGACAATTGGCCGGAGAAAAGCCTCGTCATCGATTAACTTCAGCTGGCAATGGACGGTTGAAACCACCTGCAGAAAACACAAGGAAAGAAAACGATACATGCACCAAGCGAATTAAAACTTAAAAGCTGCCACAAATGAACTGTGAAAAATCGAGCAGAACCACAGTGAAATAAAAATGTATCATCCACCACCCACATGTATTCCCTTAGAACCCAGCGCACCTCTTCTGTTCATGTACTGACGTGGCTGCCTCTTGGTGGACAGCTTCACAGCACTCAGTTGATTGGCTCCCTTCACCTCCTTGCCCTGATAGGAGATACAGGGTAGCGGATATAGGATAGGGCACATGACAAGGACAACGAAATGTTCAGAGAAATGCTGGCTTCTTATGATAATCCCCAAAAAACAGAACCCCCCAACCAACATACTGGCGTGCCCCATACCGAATGCCCATACCTTATCCCCGCACCCATCCCAGCATCATCTCACCCAACCCTCCATTTCCCGAGCTTTTGCTCGCTCACCTTGGTGGAGTCGAAAGTACATAGAAATGTCCATCATCTCCCTTTCGAATCACCTCTATACCACCTCACCCAAACCCCCACCCAACTTCTGCCTTGCGAGTCACCGCTATACCCCCTCTTTCCTCACCCGCCACTCCTTCACCTTGCTGCTGTTGAAGTCCACCCGCTCGCCTCTATAACGGGGATGCCCCACCTGTATGCCTCCTCACACAAAATACCCTCACAGCCCACTCCCCTTCCCCCCTCCCTTTCCACCCTTCATTCGCTCATTGGTATGCCTGCTCACCCATCATTCCCTCACAGCTGACCTCTCCCCCTCACTCCCTCAGTTTGCTGCTGTTAAAGTCCACCCGCTCACCTCTATAACATGAATGCCCCAACTGTATGCCCCCTCACACAAAATACCCTCACAGCCCACTCCCCTTCCCCCCTCCCTTTCCACCCTTCATTCGCTCATTGGTATGCCTGCTCACCCAACATTCCCTCACAGCCCACCTCCCCGCCCTCACTCGCTCACCTTGCTGCTGTTGAAGTCCACCCGCTCACCTCTAAGTCCATGGGAATGCCCATCATCTGCCGTTCACCTCCTCACCCCCTAACCCCCCTTCTTCATCACTAACCACGCGCTCACCCTTTTTTCCTTCACTCGCTCACCTTGGTGGTGTTGAAGTCCATGGGAATGCCCATCATCTGCATCATATAGTGTGCCCGTTCGCCTGTACCTCCTCACTTCAACCCCCCACACCCCCCCTCTCCTTCCCTCCCTCACCTTGGTGGTGTTGAAGTCCATGGGAATGCCCATCATCTGCATCATATAGTGTGCCCGTTCGCCTGTACCTCCTCACTTCAACCCCCCACACCCCCCCTCTCCTTCCCTCCCTCACCTTGGTGGTGTTGAAGTCCATGGGAATACCCATCATCTGCATCATATAGTGTGCCCGTTCGCCTGTACCTCCTCACTTCAACCCCCCACACCCCCCCTCTCCTTCCCTCCCTCACCTTGGTGGTGTTGAAGTCCATGGGAATACCCATCATCTGCATCATATAGTGTGCCCGTTCGCCTGTACCTCCTCACTTCAACCCCCCACACCCCCCCTCTCCTTCCCTCCCTCACCTTGGTGGTGTTGAAGTCCATGGGAATACCCATCATCTGCATCATATAGTGTGCCCGTTCGCCTGTACCTCCTCACTTCAACCCCCCACACCCCCCTCTCCTTCCTCCCTCACGTTGGTGGTGTTGAAGTCCATGGGAATGCCCATCATCTGCATCATATAGTGTGCCCGTTCGCCTGTACCTCCTCACTTCAACCCCCCACACCCCCCCTCTCCTTCCCTCCCTCACCTTGGTGGTGTTGAAGTCCATGGGAATGCCCATCATCTGCATCATATAGTGTGCCCGTTCGCCTGTACCTCCTCACTTCAACCCCCCACACCCCCCCTCTCCTTCCCTCCCTCACCTTGGTGGTGTTGAAGTCCATGGGAATGCCCATCATCTGCATCATCCTCATTTCCGCCTCGGGGTCAATGGGGGGCGGGGGAGGCGGCGGCAGAGGCGGGATAGGGGGCAGCACAGAAGGAGCACCACCAGCAGCAGCAGCACCAGCACTGGCTTCACCGTAGCCACTCAGTGAAGCATCAGCAGCTGACATATCCACATCCCCTCCTGCCGCACCCACTGCACCATACGCCCCACCACCACCGTAATACCCATCCCCAGCATCACGAGCCGCTTCTCCTTCCAACACCCCTCCCCTCCTCTCCCATCCCCCGCGCGTTCCCACCTCTTGCCCCTCTCCTCCGCCCCCCGCCGCCCCCCCTCTCCGCCCATCCCCCTCAGACCCGCTCCGCTCAAGGCTATCCCGCTCCCGCTCCTCCCGCCGCCGCCGCGCCTTCTCCCCCGGAGAGGGGGACCTTTCCATGGCGTCCCGCTCCCTCTCCTCCCGCGCCCGCCGAACGCGCTCCTCCTGATTCGGCGATCTCGAGCGCGATCGCGATCTAGATAAGGAGAGGCTAAACGAATCGGATCGAGATCTAGATCTGCTGCGCGATCGCGATCGCGATCGGTGGTGGCGCGAGCGCCGCTCGCTCCCCCTGCGCGCGTGCCCCCCTTTACCGTGCCCGCGCGCGCCCGCGAACTCCCCCCCGCGCCTTCCGCCGGCGCGCGCGGGAGAGGCGGAGCGCGAGCGGGAGCGCAGGAGGCGGGGGGAGCGGGAGCGGCTGCGGGAACGCCTTCGGCGGGAGGGACGGTCCGCTTCGGGCGATTTCTTCCGCACGTCTTTATCTTTCACTGCGCCTCGGTCCTTCTCCTTGTGTCTCTCTTTCTCGCGGTCCCTGCTCTTGTCTCTGTCCCCTTTCTCTTTCTCCTTATCCTTCGCCTTCTCTTTATCCTTCTCCTTCTCCTTCTCCTTGTGCTTATCCTTGTCCCTTCCCCTCTCCTTCTCCTTATCTCGGCTTTTTTCCTTCTCCCGCTTCTCCTCCTTCTCCCTATCTCTCTTCCTGTCCCTCTCCTTGTCCTTCGATTTCTCTTTCTCCTCCCTTTCTTTCTCCTTCTCCTTACCCTTAGTCTTGTCTTTATCCTCCCTTCCCCTATCTTTCGCCTCCCCTGCTGCTCCCTCATCCTTCAACTCTCCCTCCTCCCCTCCCGCTCCTTCCTGTCCCTCCTCCTTACCCCCCTCCGCCAAACCAGTCCCTTTCTCTTCATCCTTCTTCTCACGTTTCCTCTCCTCCTTCTCCTTCTCCTTCTCCTTCTCCTTCTCCTTCTCCTTCTCCTTCTCCTTCTCCTTGCTTCTCTCCTTGTGCTTCCTGTCCTTGTGCCTTTCCGATCGCTCCTTCTCTTTATCGCCTCGATTCTTATCACGGTCCTTATCTCGACCTTTCTCCCGATCCTTATCTCGATCCTTATCTCGATCCTTATCTCGATCCTTATCCCTGCTTTTCCTCCTTTCTCTGTCCTTCTTACTCTTGTCCTCCTCCTTCGCCGGCATATCACCGCCGTCCGTTTCGTTTACTTCTCCCACGTCATCAGCAACATCCGGTGGCTGATATGCCACGTCATTCCCATCATCTCCATCGGGACTTCCCATGGTACCTAGCGAAAAACGGACGGACCAGATCGAAGTAAAGAGCGTTCGGATCACAACAGCGCAAAACGGCTCTTGATTGGTGCAATTTCTACCTCAACCAAGTAAGACCACCAGAGTAACCAGCTTGAGCGTCTGACGATAACGAAACACCGCCAACCGATAACATAATTGCTGACAACTACGACTTTGCTTGCAGTGCTTGTGCGCGGTACCTAACGCACGAAAGCGTTTTCCTGGTGTAATCGAATAAGAACGAGGACTTGCCGCCGGCCTGCTGCTGTTTCGCACTCAAGCCTGGCCCTCTGAAATCAGAGGGATGACTTCTAGAAACTGAATGGTTCGAAAGGTCAAATGCTTTGCTGAACCCAGAACTGATCACTTCGCAGCCTGAAGGCGGTTGGGCAAGAAAGGACTAGGGCGTGGCTGTATGTTAAGAAATCTGTCCGGACGAACGAAGCGCAATCTTCATATTTTCTTGTAACACTAGCCTCACAGTTCGCTTGTAGTGTTCCGAGATCGCAATCGAGGTTCCGGGCTGGTTCACCAACGCGAGAAAATTCTATGCAGCTTCCTGTCTCAACCTGATTTTTTACGCATGTCGTCTTCAGGGCCGGAACCTTTGCAGCGGGTTGCAGAAAATATAACCCCAGTTTCGCAACTCATGGTGGCCAAGATCGCACACCGACCCAACTCAACCCAATCCGCCTTTTTCTCATCTCATATCTCATCCCCACTACATCGTCCGTTCGAATTGCCTAGGCTTTCTGCGCCTGAGCTGCTGCTGCGCCTGGCAGACGAATCCGTTCTTTCTTGCGTCGAAACTAATCTGATCGCGGACGGATCCACTCTCTTGCAGACGCCGCCTAGCCGCGGACTGCGGACTTCCCCGGAACTTGCGGGCGCCACCTTTTCCCGGACTTGCGGGCGCCGCTTCTCTCCGGAGACTGGCGCTCCGCCTTTCCCCGGAACGTGCGGCTGCCGACTGTGCTCCCTCTGACTCCGCTCCGCGGGAACCGCCTTGTCGCTGAACCTCCCCCTAACCGCCACCTTGCCCTCACCTCCGCGCGCGCGGATGTCGTTCCGCCAGCGCGTTTGGGCGCGGCGGGAGTCGCTGGGCGGAATGGTGCTCGCCGCTTCGTGCTGCGTGCTCGCGCTCAACCTCTCCGCGCAAAGGCGCGCGCTGGGGGAGGCGCAACGGGAGCTGGCGGACGCCCTTGCGGAGGCGCATCTGCAGTCGGATCTTCTGGATGCGGAGAGGCGCGCGGCGGAAGCTGCGCGCAGGGCGGAGGCGGAGATCCGCGGAGAGCTAAGGCGTCTGCGTGCGGAAATGCGGAGAGAAGCGGGGAAGGCAGGATGGGGGCTGGCGGAGAGGATCAGGGCGTTGGCGGGGAAGGACGAGGGGGAAGGGGAAGCGGGGGAACAAGGCGAAGGGGAACGAGCGGTAGAGGGAGAGAATGGGGAAGAGCGGAGAGAAAAGGGAGAAGGGGGAGACGGGGAGGAGACAGCAGCAGATGAAGGGAAGCAGCAGCAGCAGCAGCAGCAGGCAGAGGCGGGATTGAGTGGGAGGGAGGGGGAAGGTGGAATAACGGGCATTGAGCCTTCAGCAGGTAGCTTACATGCATGGCGTCTTATGGCGTTGCCCTTTATGGTGTCTTATGGCATGGTGTTTTGTCTCATGGCGCTTCATGGCATGACCTCGTATGGCGTAGCATGGCATGGCATGGCAACTGAATGACATGGCATGGGAAATCGTGCTTCCCTCCCTCCTCCTCCTCCTCCTCCTCCTCCTCCTCCTCCTCCTCCTCCTCCTCCTCCTCCTCCTCCTCCTCTCCCTCCTCCTTCCTTCCCCACATCCTGTCTCTCCCCTGTCTGTTTGGCCTTACTCGTTTTTCGCTGTCTTCCCTCATCTCACCGCCCTTTTCAAAGTTATGTTGTTGCATACTCACTACCCTGTGCCTCCATTCGGATTCCATTCTCATTTTTATTCGTCCTTTCCTGCAATTGCGGGATCATGAGTATTTGCATTTGTGATGGAGTGGGGGGGCGCGTGAGGGTGGGTTGTGTTGGTGTTCTCATTCTTACGCCTATGTATGCATCATTAAGGTGGTCAATTGCTGTCTACATTGATGTTTTCTGTTGTAATTGTGCTCCCCGATTTTTATCCATGCTGTGGCAGGGCCGTTAGCATCTAAACCCAAGAGATTCTTCGTTTGAAAAACAGGAAACTTTTGTAGAACAACGCTGAAAGCCATGTACCTGAGTTCTGTATAAGGCATAACAGTGGAAGAAAATCATTATGCAATGCGCCGTTCCTTTCACAGGAGCGAATCCGCCCTTACCGGTGTCAGGCTGTTCGCTTGGGAGGGGCGAGTCAATCGTGCCTTCGGCATTTTCAATGCCGTTGCGCACGTTGCACCAGGCCAGGTGGTATGATAGTGTAGTAGACTCGCGGGCAAAACGTTCGGACAGCAGCGCTGATAAACGCAAATTCCGCTTGTCTAAATACTCTTTCTATGAATGAATAGTTTTCGCGGATTGCGATGATCTGTCTTTGATAGATAGCTGACGCCGATTGATAAATCCGGCGAATCTATTACAGCCTCACAATGGCCGTCAGTTGCGGAGAGCAGCCGAAGAGGCCTGGACGCCACGCATTTTCGATGAATTTATGCTGACGTGGACCAGGGTGGGCTGATCTGAACGGGAGGAATTCTATTCAATGAAATGCACGGCTTTAGGAAAGACGGGTTTTGAGACGACTCAAATATAGCACGTGAATCGAACGCAACTGCATCGGTAGTTCTATCTGCTGTATCATTCGTGGCTCGCGTGTTTGTCGCACACGAACTTGTAGCAGGCGCGCGTCTCTAAGTCACGTGGTTGTCGTACACGCATTTGTAGCACGCGTGTTCATAGCGCAAGGAATTGTAGCACACACGCGTCTGTAGCCAGTCATGAGCCGCGCGGTGCTAATCAGCGCACGAGGCGGCGGCAGCGGCGGCACGTTTGGCGCGAATCGCATCGTGGTGCTGTTCACCGTGTCGCTGCTGCTCGTGGCGTCCGCTGCTGCTTCATTCTTCGCCTTCTGTCCCGCCTCCTCTCGATCCATCGATGAAACCAAGGTACGGGTCAACAAACCCGTCGTTTTCGATGGATAGAACCAAGGTACCCTGGTGATTGTTGGCTTGTCCCGCTGCTCGTGTCGTCTGCTGCGGCATCCGTCTTCTTCAAGGTCATGAATGCCGGAGAGGCCGCAGAGGATCATGCTTCTCCCCGGCCTCTTCTAGATCCATGAATGAAACCAAGTTCGGCACAATGCCCCTTTCTGATTGGTCGCTGACTTTTGAGTTGACTAAAAAATCTGATACGTCCTCCCTCCCCTCACCACGCGTCGCCTGTTTGCAATCGTTGGCGAAACCAAGGTCAGCCCAGTGCTCCCTTGTGATTGGTTGGTGATACTTTGAAGACGGCTGAATCTGGTCCGTTGTGATTGGTTGGTTGATCCTCCATGCATCCCTCCTCCCCCACTCTGTCCTCCTCCTATTGCCTCCATCCCCTCCTCTCCCACTTTCTCCTACTATTCCCTCCATCCCTCCTCTCCCACTCTCTCCTATACCCTCCATCCCTCCGCTTCCACTCTCCTTCACCATGCCTCTCCTCCCGCTCTCCCCTCTAACCCACTCCCTTCCCTCCTTCCCCCCTCTCAGCAGCACCACCAGCTGCAGTAGGAGCAGCAGAGGGGAATAACAGGAAATCTGAGTACAAGTCAACCGAGTCAACACGGGCAACAGCTGGTCAACGCAGGCCCACCCATCCCGCTCATCCCTCCTCAACTCCCCTCTCCCCCCCTCCTTCCCCCTTCCAGCAGTACCAGCGGCAGCTGCAACAGGAGGGGGTAATGGAAAACTTCAGCGCAAGGCAACCGAGTCAACTGCGGCAACAGCGGGTCAACGCAGGCCCACTCATCCCTTCCATCCCTCCTCAATTCCCCACCCCCTCCCTCTCCCCCCTTCCAGCAGCACCAGCGGCAGTTGCAACAGGAGCAGCAGGTGGGGGTGGTTGGCAACTTTAGCGCAAGTCAACCAAGTCAACAGGGCCAACAGCAGGTCAACGGCGCCAGTGGAGGGGCAAGAGGAGATGCAGGAGATGGATCAGGGGGAGGAAGAGCAGGAGGAGCAACAGCAGGGCCGGGGGACCAAGAGGAAATGGATGAGAATCAGGCACCGGAAAATTCCGGAAAATGTCCTCCATCTGAGACCATAGTCAAGGTAAGCATTGGTAGGGTAAGCATTGGTAGGTTAAGAATTGGTATGGTAAGCATTGGTATGGTAAGCATTGGTAGGGTAAGCATTGGTAGGGTAAGCATTGGTAGGGTAAGCATTGGTAGGGTAAGCATTGGTAGGGTAAGCATTGGTAGGGTAAGCATTGGTAGGGTAAGCATTGGTAGGGTAAGCATTGGTAGGGTAAGCATTGGCATGGTAAGCATTGGTATGGTAAGCATTGGTATGGTAAGCATTGGTACGGTAAGCATTGGTACGATAAGCATTGGTACGGTAAGCATTGGTAGGGTAAGCATTGGTACGGTAAGCATTGGTACGGTAAGCATTGGTACGGTAAGCATTGGTAGGGTAAGCATTGGTAGGGTAAGCATTGGTAGGGTAAGCATTGGTAGGGTAAGCATTGGTAGGGTAAGCATTGGTAGGGTAAACATTGGTAGGGTAAGCATTGGTAGGGTAAACATTGGTATGGTAAGCATGGGTGAGCTTTCTTTCATCATGATTCACCTCAGCCTGTGTTGCTTTGGTTCTCACTCCATATACGCATGCTTCAATCACTCTCTTTCCCGTCTCGCCCATAACCCCCCGTCCTCCTGCAGCACAGCCTGTGGCACGCCAGTGGGCGGTATTTTCACACTATGGGCGTGGCGTCTTCCCCCTGTGTTTCATGGATCCATGTTTCAATTACTCCCTCTTGTGTCCCCCATCACCCGCCCGCACCGCAACCCCTCTTCTCCCACTGCAGCACAGCCTGTGGCATGCGAGCAGCCGCTACTTCCACTCCATGGGCGTCTTCCCCCTCTGCTCATGGACGCATGCTTCAACTACTCGTCCCCCTCTTCTTTCCCCAATTACCTGTACGACCCCCCTCCCCTTCTCCCACCCCTCCCACTGCAGCACAGCCTGTGGCATGCCAGCGGCCGCTACTTTCACAGTATGGGCGTCTTCCCCCTGTGCTCCATGGACGCATGCTTCAACTACTCGTGCTGCCCCCCTCTTGACTTCCCCACTGCCACTACCCCCATCCTCCTACCACTGCAGCACAGTCTGTGGCATGCCAGCGGCCGCTACTTTCACAGCATGGGCGTTTTCCCCCTGTGCTCCATGGACGCATGCTTCAACTATTCGCGCTGACCCCCTCTTGGACTTCCCCACTGCCACTACCCCGTCCTCCTACCACTGCCGCACAGCCTCTGGCATGCCAGCGGCCGCTACTTTCACAGTATGGGCGTTTTCCCCCTCTGCTCATGGACGCATGCTTCAACTACTCGCGCTGCCCTCCTCTTGTTTTCCCCATTACCCATATGCTGCCCCCCACCCCGCCCCCTTCCTACTGCAGCACAGCCTGTGGCACGCCAGTGGCCGCTACTTCCATTCAATGGGCGTCTTCCCCCTGTGCTCCATGGACGCATGCTTCAACTACTCGCGCTGCCCCGCGGACCCCTCAAAGGAGCCGCTAGTCTACTCCTACTGGCCGGGCCAGCACTACTTCAAGAGGTTCAATGAGAGCCGCTGGCACACGGACGATCCTGCCAAGGCGTGTTTCTTCTTTGTGCAGATGGCACGAGGCCAGCCGAATGAGTTTACGGATCTGGAGCACTGGGGGGAGATCGGGGCCAACCACGTGCTTATCAGGTGCGTGTGTGGCTGTAAGGAGTGTGATTTTAGAGTGGTGTGTAAGTCGGCTTGTAAGGTCTGATGGCACACGGACGATCCTGGCAAGGCGTGTTTCTTCTTTGTGCATATGGCGAGAGGACAGCCGAACGAGTTGAGTGATTTGGAGCACTGGGGGGAGAACGGAGCTAATCATGTGCTTATCAGGTGGGTGGGTCGTTACCAGGTGTGTGCCTGTAAGGTGTGTGTGTGTGTGGTTTTAAGCTGTGCTGTGTGGTTAGGAGGTCTGGTCTGGGGGCACACGGACGATCCTGCCAAGGCGTGTTTCTTCTTTGTGCATATGGCGAGAGGACAGCCGAACGAGTTCACGGATATTCAGCACTGGGGGGAGAACGGGGCAAGCCATGTGCTTATCAGGTGTGTGGCTATTAGTAGTGTGTCTAAATGTCCAGAATGTATGCTATGCACATGCATGCTTACTAAAGTTGTGCTTAAAAAGTTATAAAGTGTGTGCTTATAAGGTAAAGTAGTGCCCTTTTATTTCCGCTCACAAGGTTCCCTTCCATCCCTTTGTCGGCCGCTCTCCCTAAACAACAGAACACCGCCAATCAATGTTCGTTACTGAGTCCTCGTAACAACAGAACACACAGAACAGAGACCTCTTTGGTTTCCCACCTCCCTCTCCATTCTCTCCCTTCCTTCCGGTTCTTTTCATCCCCTCACATAGCTTCTCAGACTCGTGGAATGGTCCATTCCCTTTTGGAGTCACACTCCTCTCCTGTAATATTCTCTCCCTTCCTTCCCTTTTGTCCCTTCCTCTCCTTCCCTCACATAGCTTCTCAGACTTTTTGGAGTGGTCTGTCCCTTCTTTTTCACTCCACATGTTGGTTTCTTGCGCTTATCTCCCTTCTCTCCTTTCTCTCTTCCTGTTCCTCCATTCCTCTCTTCCCCTCACATAGTTTCTCAGACTCTTGGAGCGGTCCATCCCCTTTTGGAGTCGCCTCGGCAATGGTTATGGTCACCAACGCACAGGCAACACTTATGAGAACAGATTTCGACACGTCCATCCCGCTGCCCCAAATGTGGAAAAACCCACCCGTTGGGCTCCGGAACCTGCCCGCCGGATCTGCCCGGAAATATTTCCTGACCTTCCGAGGCACGCGCTACCTGGGGAATTTGAAGGGTAATTTCCGGAGTGCGCCGGAGTTCAAGGCGTTGCACAATGGCAAGGATGTGGTTGTGCTCACGAGATGCGGGTAAGTTCCGAGTCTACCCAAAATAGAGTTAAGGTGAGGATAATCACGTACTTTTTTGTCTCAAGTGATGTGAGTGAGTGTTCAGTTGTTCCGCGAGTGTCCTAGCAAGTGTTAAGGATGTGTTTGGGATGTGTTAAGGATGTGTTTGGGATGTGTTAAGGATGTGTTTGGGATGTGTTGGGGATGTGTTGTGCAAGTGTCCCACCACCTGTTGTCCACCATCCCAAACATTCACACAGAGGAGCCATCAGTTATGCTGCCGCTTTTAAGGCACCTTCCCAACCTCTTGCAAGTGACCCACCTGCTCCTTTCCCACCAATCAGTGGGTCCACCAACGTGTGCATTCTCGCAGAGGAACCTTCCTTGAAGTGATTTCTGAGGCGCCTCTCCAACCTCTTGCGTGTAACCCACCCACTTCTCCTCCTCCCTCCTTCCCTCCTTTGTTCTTCACAACCAGTGACCAACGCACGCATTCTCATGGAGGAACTTTCCTTGAAGCCCGACTGCGACGAGGAGGACGCCAAGCTGTACACTCAGTACGGCTGTAATGAGAGGCATCTTCTGAACTTGCTGCACAGTAGCTTACCTACGTATCCTCCTCCCCTCCTCTACTCGTTCCTTCCTTCTCTCCTTGATTCCTCACAACCAGTGGGTCCACCAACGCACGCATTCTCGCGGAGGAACCTTCCTTGAAGCCCGAGTGCGACGAGGATGCCAAGCTGTACACTCAGTACGACTTTAATGACGTCATGAACACCACCTTCACTCTTGCACCAGCTGGCAGACAAGGGTCCACCTATAGGTTCCTGGAGGTGCGTGTTTGTATTGTTGCTAGCCATGTGACATCAGGCACCACTGCCATGTGACATCAGGCACCACTGCCATGTCATGTTCGTGGTGGCTTCTCAATACTTCCCCCACAGCTGTGCCTGGTATGTCACTCACTCTCAGATCCCGATCTCATACCTCACTCACACTCACACAGCAGGCGCTAATGGTGGGAGCTATTCCAGTGGTGGTGGCGGACAACTGGCGGTTGCCATTCGATGACATCATCTCATGGCATCACTGCCATGTCTGTGGTATACCTCTCCCACGGCCGTGCCTGATAGCTCACTCACACCCCGATCCCATACCTCACACCCACCCAGGCCCTCACTGTGGGAGCCATCCCAGTGGTGGTGGCGGACAACTGGCGGTTACCATTCGATGACATCATCTCGTGGCATCACTGCCTGCTGCGCTTCCCCACCGACCAGATGCACCGAATCTTGCCCACTCTTCGAGCCATGGATGAGGTGTGTGCTGATGGGGTATGCATGGGGTATGCATGCTTATGGTTTTGGATGAGTCATGTGGCACCACTGCTTGTCTGCTGCGCTTCCCCACCAACCAGATGCACCAATTCTTGCCCACTCCTTGAGCCATGGATGAGATGTGTTGTGGATGGGGTATGAGTGGGGTGAGGTATGTATTGATTGATGGATGCACCATGTGGATTGTTTGCTGATTCTTACAGGTTGTGGATGGGTATGCATAATGCATCTCCAAGGGTCATAGATAAGGCAGCCCAGCACTGTATCTCCATGGGTATTGTATCTTTGATTTGTCTCAAAAGTCGTCTCTCTACCCCCGTACTGTATCCCAGTACTTGTGTTTTTGTATACTCTATCAACCCCTGTGGGTCTTGTATCCTATTCCATGTGCATGCATGCATAAATCTCCCCTCCACAATTTCCCCCTTCTTCCATCCTATTCAGGCTGCCATACAGCGCAGGCAGCAGGAGTGTCTACGGATATATGACATGCACCTCTCCTCCGATGAGGCTCTTTTGGAATCCGTAATGCTCTCGCTAAAAGCACACATGGGCGTTGTGATGCGCAGACGCAGATAGTACGGGGTCACACATTTTGTTCATTACGCAACAAACACCTGAATGTGGGCTAATATATTCTACAGTTATCTTCTGCAAAGTACGCATTCTATTTCCAGCTCTAGAAATAATTTCTAATGTATATTTAACACACAGGAGGTGATGCTAGTATGTTGACAATCGCACATGAGCAGGTTCCAAAATAGGTTAAATTGACTTGTACTTCAAATTTATGAATGAAGATTCAATCACCGCACTAAAACGCACTGAAAACCAAGTGCGAACCCAAGTGCCCGTGTCCCCTTCGCTATTCGCATGTCTGCTTGTCCACTCAGCAATCACAACTTAGCCTTACAACAGCACTGCTTCCGCGTTTTCAGGCTAGTCTCCTCGTTCTCACCTAATTCCGCGGTTCGGAATCTTAGAATAGTTAGCCTTCACGCCACCCATCCGTGTTCTTAGGTGTTCAAAATGAAGCGTTCGGAAGAAAAGCGCGCCAAATCCCCCAAACCCTCGAAGAAAAAGGCGAAAACAGACTCGCCGTCGGTGAAGGCCACCAAAAAGTCGAAATCCGCGGTTACAGCCGCAGACGGCGCGGCGAAGAGCTCGCTGCGCGCCGATGACGACACGTGGAAGCAGCGCGCCTCGACCGACAAGGACCGCGCCGATCGCTCCGGCGGCAGCGACGGCGACGCCGCAGACGGCGCTGAGCCGGCCGATGCCGGCGCGGCCGGCACGGCCGGCACGGCAGGAGGGGGCGAGGCCGGCGCGGGTGATGGCTATGAGGAGGTGACGGGATTGGTCCTTCGCAACGAGGAGTTTGAGGACGGCAACACGGGCGGCAGCGGCAGTGGCGGCGTGCGATGCCTGCACGAAGTTGCGTACCCCAAGGGCTGGAAGCTTCCTACCAGCAAGGAAGCTGCGCGGAAGCCGCTGCCGGAGAAGCCCGCCAAGGAGTACCCGTTTAAGCTAGATCCCTTTCAGGAAGAGGCCGTGCGGTGCTTGGAAGCTAACGAATCCGTGCTGGTGAGAAAAACGCGACCCTAAACCAGAAACCCCGACTGGAATGTTGAGGCTTAAACCCTGATTGGAAACCCCAGCTAAAACCCGGAACGGAAGTTCAGCCACAATCGCCGTTTCGAAACCCTAAACTTTGGCTGGAAACCTGAGCACAAAACCCTGAGCCCGTTATCCGCATTGGAGAGGCAAAAGGGGGAAGCATTCAGATACGAGCTGGTTTTTGAGAATTCTCAAAAACCAGTTTCGAGCGGAAAATCGTTCTGCTAGGCCCAATATGGCGCCTCTCTTCCTCTTTATCCTTCCCTCCTTAACAACCCCTTCCTTTCTCCACTCCCCAACCCCCAGTCCCCCACATACCTCAGCACTCCCCAACCCCCAGTCCCCCACATACCTCAGCACGCAAGACAGTGGTGGTAGAGTGCGCAATGCTATGGCCCATGGCCATGGCCCTGCGGGACAGCCAGCGTATCGTGATGAGAGGGAATTATCCATTTCCTTCTCATTCTCTCACCCTGCCCTTACAAGTATCAGCACGCACGCACATCTGCGGGCAAGACGGTGGTAGCGGAGTATGCTTTTGAGAATTCTCACTTTTGAGAATTCTCAAAAGTGATTCTCTCACCCCATCCTTCCAGGTATCAGCATGAACATCTGTGGGCAAGACGGTTGTAGCAGAGTATGCCATAGCCATGGCGCTGCGGGACAAGCAGCGCGTTCCCCCCATGCCCTCTGACCGTTCTGTTCCCCCACTCATTCCCCACTCACCACAGGTCTCAGGACGCACATCAGCAGGCAAGACTGGTAGCGGAATATGCCATCCATAGCCATGGCCATGCGGGATAACCAGTGCATTGTGTACTCCTCGCCCATCAAGGCGCTGAGCAACCACATGACCCCCACTTCCTTCCGTTCCCTCCTACACTCTCTCCCCATTCCCCACGCCCTGTCTCCCTATCCCTCGTGCTCCCTCACTCCCTCACTCCCTCACTCTCTCCCCATCCTTCATTTCAGGTATCAGCACACACATAGCCATGGCGATGCGGGACAACCAGCGCGTCGTGTACACATCGCCCCCCTCACTCCCTCTTCCCACTCCACTTCCTATTCCTCCGGGCAGGTATCAGCACACACGTCTGCGGGCAAGACAGTGGTGGCAGAATACGCCATAGCCATGGCAATGCGGGACAACCAGCACGTCGTGTACACATCGCCCATCAAGGCGCTGAGCAACCACAGGACTCCCACTCCCTCTGTCCCTCCTACTCCTCCTCACCGCTCCCCACCCCCTCTCTGACCCCTTCTTTCCCTTTCCCTCCTCACTCGTCACTCTCTCTCCCCATTATTCTCAGGTCTCTGCACATACTTCCGCAGGCAAGACGGTGGTGGCAGAGTATGCCATAGCCATGGCGATGCGGGACAACCAGCGCGTCGTGTACACGTCGCCCATCAAGGCGCTGAGCAACCAGAAGTTCCGCGAGATGAGCCAGGAGTTTGGGGACGTGGGGCTCATGACAGGGGATGTCACCATCGCTCCTAATGCCACGTGCCTGGTGTGTGTGTATGTGTGTATGTGTGTATGTGTGTATGTGTGTGTGTGTGTGTATGTGTGTGTGTGTGTGTGTGTATGTGTGTATGTGTGTATGTGTGTATGTGTGTATGTGTGTATGTGTGTATGTGTGTATGTGTGTATGTGTGTATGTGTGTATGTGTGTATGTGTGTATGTGTGTATGTGTGTATGTGTGTATGTGTGTGTGTGTGTGTGTATGTGTGTATGTGTGTGTGTGTATGTGTGTGTGTGTGTGTATGTGTGTGTGTGTATGTGTGTGTGTGTGTATGTGTGTGTGTGTGTATGTGTGTGTGTATGTGTGTGTGTGTGTATGTGTGTGTGTGTGTATGTGTGTGTAGGCCAGGGAGCTTGGGTAGATGAGTCAGGAGTTTGGGGACGTTGGGTGGGGCTCATGACAGGGGATGTTACCATCGCCCCCAACGCTACCTGCCTGGTGGGTGCTTGGGTTCCGGATGGTGTAATGCCATTGCCATGCCTGCTATGCAGGGTGGAATGATTGCTGCTTGCTTGTGTTGAGGAGCATGAAGTCAGGAGTTTGGGGCCACCGCGTCAGGAGTTTGGGGCTCATAACAGGGGATGTTACGAGTGCTCCCAATGCCACCTGCTTGGTGAGTGGGTGCTAGAGTGCTGGACTGTGTATCGAATAATCGTGCATGCATGGCTGCCTGGTATGGTGCGGTGCAGTGCGGTGATAGGGTGTCGTGTACACGTCCCCCATCAAGGCGCTAGAGTAACAGATTGGGTATCATATCATCATGCCTTCCTGGTGTTGCCTTGTGATGGGCATTGCGTCGCGTTGTCATCGCCCATCCAGGCGCAGTCACCCAGAATAAACCTTTTGCCGCTTTTCTATCCAGACGGGGTTGGGGTGATTAGCTAATACTGCACCTTTCCACCCCAGGGAATCACTCACGTATCAGAATCTCTCCGTCCGTCCTTGGTACCGTGCAGCACCATTCTGTATTGGCCCCAACATCCCTCTTCCTGTAGCATTCCAGGTGATGACGACCAAGATTCTCTGCTCTGCAGCATGCTGTTTTGGGGGTCTGAGAAGGAGCACCCCATTCTGCTCCCCTTCTTCACCCATTGTCACCACTCTGTATTGCCCTGAACCTCTGTGTAACACCCCAGGTTATGACCACTGAAATTCTCCGCAGCATGCTGTATCGGGGATCTGATTTCGTGCGCGAGGTGGGGTGGATCATATTCGACGAGGTGCATTACCTGAGGGACAAGGAGCGAGGGGTGGTGTGGGAGGAGAGCATCGTCATGGCTCCCAAATCGTCCCGCTTCGTCTTCCTCTCTGCTACTGTTCCAAACGCGAGGGAATTTTCTGAGTGGGTGGCAAAGGTATGTTCGAGTGGAATAGGGAGGATTGGCACCGGTACATTGGGGTGAAGAGCGGTGAAGAATGGTGAATTGCATGCGGAGAGTGACTGAGTTGAGGGACAAGGAGCGAGGGGTGGTGTGGGAGGAGAGCATCGTCATGGCTCCCAAATCGTCACGTTTCGTCTTCCTCTCTGCTACTGTTCCCAATGCAAGAGAGTTTGCCGAGTGGGTGGCAAAGGTACGTTTCCGTGACTCAAAAATGATTTGCAATGGTGATGAGCGGTGAAGAGCGGCGAAGGACTGTGAAGAGCGGCGAAGGATGGTGAAGCATATGAGTTGAGAGACCGAGGGAGCAGCTGTGCCACCACACACACACACACATACACTGACTAAACTACCACCCCACACCCGCACCACTACTTCCTCCTCCTTCGCTACAATGTTCCTGTGCTGTGTCCCTTCCCATCCTCTTTTGAGAATTCTCAAAAGTGATTTCAATATTCCCCTCCTCTCCTCCCCACGAGGTGCACCAGCAGCCGTGCCACATTGTGTATTTGGACTACTGCCCCACTCCCCTGCAGCAGCACTACATCTTCCCGGCAGGCGGCATGGCTTTTGAGGCGTCTCAAAAGGCTGCATGGGGCAATTCCTAGCTGTCGACACCGCTCACTACATCTTCTCTTTCCGTCCTTCCCCTTTGTGTGTCATGCCTCTATTTCTTTCCACTTAACAGGTGCACCAGCAACCGTGCCATATTGTATACACGGACTATCGCCCCACGCCCCTCCAGCACTACATCTTCCCCGCAGGGGGCATGGGGCTATTCCTAGCCGTCGACGAGAAGGGCAAGTTCCGCGAAGCTTCCTTCCAGAAGGCCATGAACGCAGTGGAAGGGGGGGAGGGTGGCGGAAAAGGGGAGGAGGGGGAGGACGGGGGGAAGAAAGGGGGGAAGTGGGGGAAGGGCAAGCGGGGGGCGGGAGGGGGGGGCCCGGGGGGAGCTGGAGGGGGAGGGGGGAAGAAGGGGGAGGAGAGCGATATATACAAGATAGTGAAGATGATAATGCAGAGGCAGTATGACCCGGTGATTGTGTTCTCCTTCAGCCGCGCGGATTGTGAGGCGCTGGCGCTGCAGATGTCCCGAATGGACCTGAACGATGAGGATGAGAAGACTCTCATTGATGGGATTTTTAGAAACGCCATTGACAGCCTGGCAGAAGAGGACAAGAAGCTGCCGCAGGTGAGTGGACAACTGAAGCTGTCCCAGTTGGGTACCTGAAAAATCTGCCTCAGGTGAGTGTGTGAGGCGCTGGCGCTGCAGGTGTCTCGAATGGACTTGAACAACGAGGATGAGAAGACGCTGATTGATGGGATCTTCAGAAATGCGATCGACAGCCTGGCAGAAGAGGACAAGAAGCTGCCCTAGCTGGGTGGAATGGAAACTGGCACAGGAGGGCATCTGAAGGAAAGGGTACCTCAGGTGACGTGAATGAGTGAGGTGCTGGCTCTGCAGATGTCGCGCATGGACTTGATTGACAAGCATTAGACCCTGCAGCTTGCGACCCTGCATTGAGAATTCTCAAAAACCAACTCGTAGCATTTGACTTGACTCCCCATGACCCTCCATACATCACAATTGGCCCCTCCTCCCCATGACCCTCCATACATCACAATTGGCCCCTCCTCCCCATGACCCTCCATACATCACAATTGGCCCCTCCTCCCCATGACCCTCCATACATCACAATTGGCCCCTCCTCCCCATGACCCTCCATACATCACAATTGGCCCCTCCTCCCCGTGACCCTCCATACATCACAATTGGCCCCTCCTCCCCATGACCCTCCATACATCACAATTGGCCCCTCCTCCCCATGACCCTCCATACATCACAATTGGCCCCTCCTCCCCATGACCCTCCATACATCACAATTGGCCCCTCCTCCCCATGACCCTCCATACATCACAATTGGCCCCTCCTCCCCATGACCCTCCATACATCACAATTGGCCCCTCCTCCCCATGACCCTCCATACATCACAATTGGCCCCTCCTCCTCGCCATGTTGCTCCATTCATCTCCATCCCCCTTTCCCCCCCTCCTAATTCTTCCATCACCTCATCCCACCAGGTGAACAGCATGCTGCCACTGCTGCGGAGAGGCATCGGCATTCACCACTCAGGGCTGCTGCCGCTGCTCAAGGAAGTGATTGAAATCCTCTTTCAAGAGGGGCTGCTCAAGGTGAGTTGCAGGGAGTTGCCATGTATGTGTGTGCACGTGTGAGTGCCGGGCTCATTCACCACTCAGGGCTGCTGCCGCTGCTCAAGGAAGTGATTGAAATCCTCTTTCAAGAGGGGCTGCTTAAGGTGCGGTGGTTGGTTGGTGCAGGCAGGGTGTTGCTGTGTATGTATGTGTGTGCGGCTCTAGATCCATGGGGCTTAGGCACGGGAGTTCTCCACCACTCGGGGATGCTGACGCTGATGAAGGAAGTGATCGAATTTCTTTTCCGTCAAGGCCCGTCAAGGTGGCAGCCCCCACCTTAAGGGGCTGCTCAAGGTGGGTGGGGTGGGGGTGCAACGGCAAGGAGTTGCCTTGTATGTATGTTTAGTTGTAAGCATTTTTGTGCCTCACTGCCTGTTCGCCACGGAGACCTTCAGCATCGGCCACACCACAACATCCCAGCCAAGACAGCAACGCTCCTCTCTGATACTCTGCAACACCCTGCTTTTGAATCGACTCAAAAACAACATCCCAGCAACACCCTGCCTCAGACAGTAGACAGCAATGCTCCTCTCTGATACTCATACCAAATCCCTTTCTCCTCATCCTCCTCTTGCCCATTTTGTCCGTCCCGCCAGTGTCTTTTTGCCACGGAGACATTCAGCATCGGCCTCAACATGCCGGCTAAGACGGTCGTCTTCACCAACGTGCGCAAGTGGGATGGCACCAAGTCCCGGTGAGTGCTTGAGGCTTACACATACTCTCGAAAGGTTTGTTGCGGGTCGAACCCAATTCTTTTTCAACAGCACCGGCTTCACTCACATGCTGGCCAAGACAGTCGTTTTCACCAACGTGCACAAATGGGACGGCACCAACTGTAACCAGGTTTTTTTTTTTTTTTTTTTTTTCCATGTCTCTGTAGAGTTGCTTCTTCTAGTCTGTCGACATGCCGGCCAAGACAGTAGCTTTCACCAGCATGCGCAAGTGGGACTGCACCAAGTCACGGTCAGTGCTGTAACCAGTCTATTTGTGCGTGCATGTTTCATGCTCCTTTTTTTTGGTTTTCACAAGTAAGAAGGCCTCAGAAACTTCAGCTTTTCTGAAGAGAAGGACGAGAAGCTGAACCCTCCGCCCAACGAACACGCCCTTTTTTTTTTTTTTTTTTTTGAGAACTCCCAAAAAGAAGAGAAGCTGAACCCTTCGCCAACAAACACACTTCGCCGGCTCCAGTTCTGTGTGTTCACTTATGTTGACACATCATGTGTTCACACACTCTTTCTCCTGTCATGTCCTCTCCTCTCCCCATGCACAGCTGGCTGTCAGGAGGGGAGTACATTCAAATGAGTGGGCGTGCAGGCAGGCGAGGCCTGGATGATCGCGGTATCTGCATTCTCATGGTGGACTCGAGGATGGAGCCTGCTGTGGCCAAGGGGATGGTCAAGGGCTCTGCAGACCCTCTAGTGAGGTGCGTTATAACGTGGATTAATGGCAATGTTCACCCCTTGCATGAGGCCTGGACGACCGCAGCATCTGCATTCTGATGGTGGACTCAAGGATGAAGCCTGCTGTTGCCAAGGGGATGGTCAAGGGGTCGGCTGATCCTCTTGTGAGGTGAGTTGTAACACTCACTGCTACACACATGCATTCTCATGGTGGATTCGCGGATGGAGCCAGCTACGGCAAAGGGGATAGTCAAAGGGTCGGCAGACCCCCTTCCTTGCGAGGTGTGTGAGTTATGCGTGAGTTATAACAGGGATCAACTGCTTGTGCGAGGGTACCTTCATTCTCATGGTGGAATCATGCATGAAACCCTTGGTAACCAGCCAAGGGGATGGTGAAGGGCTCTGCAGTGCAGACCCCCTAGTGAGGTGGGCTTTAGGATCAATCCCACCTCACTGCAGCTAGTTTGGTGAATTCGGACCGCTGTGCTTCCTGTAGGTAAGTATCAAGCCAGCTTGTGTTTTGAGTCGACTCAAAAGGTGTGTTTTGAGTCGACTCAAAACACATTTGGACCGCTGTGCTTCCTGTAGGTAAGTATCAAGCCAGCTTGTACGCAAGCACGACAGTTTCTGGCTGGCTTGCACCTCTGTTCTTGTTGTTGCTTCAATGTTCGGATGCAAGCAAACACATATTGGTTTAGACAAACACATATTGGTTTAGACAAACACATATTGGTTTAGACAAACACATATTGGTTTAGACAAACACATATTGGTTTAGACAAACACATATTGGTTTAGACAAACACATATTGGTTTAGACAAACACATATTGGTTTAGACAAACACATATTGGTTTAGACAAACACATATTGGTTTAGACAAACACATATTGGTTTAGACAAACACATATTGGTTTAGACAAACACATATTGGTTTAGACAAACACATATTGGTTTAGACAAACACATATTGGTTTAGACAAACACATATTGGTTTAGACAAACACATATTGGTTTAGACAAACACATATTGGTTTAGACAAACACATATTGGTTTAGACAAACACATATTGGTTTAGACAAACACATATTGGTTTAGACAAACACATATTGGTTTAGACAAACACATATTGGTTTAGACAAACACATATTGGTTTAGACAAACACATATTGGTTTAGACAAACACATATTGGTTTAGACAAACACATATTGGTTTAGACAAACACATATTGGTTTAGACAAACACATATTGGTTTAGACAAACACATATTGGTTTAGACAAACACATATTGGTTTAGACAAACACATATTGGTTTAGACAAACACATATTGGTTTAGACAAACACATATTGGTTTAGACAAACACATATTGGTTTAGACAAACACATATTGGTTTAGACAAACACATATTGGTTTAGACAAACACATATCGGTTTAGACAAACACATATCGGTTTAGACAAACACATATCGGTTTAGACAAACACATATCGGTTTAGACAAACACATATCGGTTTAGACAAACACATATCGGTTTAGACAAACACATATCGGTTTAGACAAACACATATCGGTTTAGACAAACACATATCGGTTTAGACAAACACATATCGGTTTAGACAAACACATATCGGTTTAGACAAACACATATCGGTTTAGACAAACACATATCGGTTTAGACAAACACATATCGGTTTAGACAAACACATATCGGTTTAGACAAACACATATCGGTTTAGACAAACACATATCGGTTTAGACAAACACATATCGGTTTAGACAAACACATATCGGTTTAGACAAACACATATCGGTTTAGACAAACACATATCGGTTTAGACAAACACATATTGGTTTAGACAAACACATATTGGTTTAGACAAACACATATTGGTTCAGACAAACACATATTGGTTCAGACAAACACATATTGGTTCAGACAAACACATATTGGTTCAGACAAACACATATTGGTTCAGACAAACACATATTGGTTCAGACAAACACATATTGGTTCAGACAAACACATATTGGTTTAGACAAACACATATTGGTTTAGACAAACACATATTGGTTTAGACAAACACATATTGGTTTAGACAAACACATATTGGTTTAGACAAACACATATTGGTTTAGACAAACACATATTGGTTTAGACAAACACATATTGGTTTAGACAAACACATATTGGTTTAGACAAACACATATTGGTTTAGACAAACACATATTGGTTTAGACAAACACATATTGGTTTAGACAAACACATATTGGTTTAGACAAACACATATTGGTTTAGACAAACACATATTGGTTTAGACAAACACATATTGGTTTAGACAAACACATATTGGTTTAGACAAACACATATTGGTTTAGACAAACACATATTGGTTTAGACAAACACATATTGGTTTAGACAAACACATATTGGTTTAGACAAACACATATTGGTTTAGACAAACACATATTGGTTTAGACAAACACATATTGGTTTAGACAAACACATATTGGTTTAGACAAACACATATTGGTTTAGACAAACACATATTGGTTTAGACAAACACATATTGGTTTAGACAAACACATATTGGTTTAGACAAACACATATTGGTTTAGACAAACACATATTGGTTTAGACAAACACATATTGGTTTAGACAAACACATATTGGTTTAGACAAACACATATTGGTTTAGACAAACACATATTGGTTTAGACAAACACATATTGGTTTAGACAAACACATATTGGTTTAGACAAACACATATTGGTTTAGACAAACACATATTGGTTTAGACAAACACATATTGGTTTAGACAAACACATATTGGTTTAGACAAACACATATTGGTTTAGACAAACACATATTGGTTTAGACAAACACATATTGGTTTAGACAAACACATATTGGTTTAGACAAACACATATTGGTTTAGACAAACACATATTGGTTTAGACAAACACATATTGGTTTAGACAAACACATATTGGTTTAGACAAACACATATTGGTTTAGACAAACACATATTGGTTTAGACAAACACATATTGGTTTAGACAAACACATATTGGTTTAGACAAACACATATTGGTTTAGACAAACACATATTGGTTTAGACAAACACTTGTTAACACCGTTTCCCTCCTCAACCCTAATCCCACACTCGTCTCCTGCTTTCCCTTTTCCCGTTTGCCCCCTCTCGTCCAATCAGCGCCTTCCACCTGTCGTACAACTTCATTCTGAACCAGCTGAGGAGCCCGGAGGTGGAGATAGAGCAGACCATCCGCAGCTCCTACCGCCAGTTTCAATCAGACCGAGCGTTGCCAGCCCTGCAGGTGTGTTCATTTTACTGACCTGTAGGTGTGTTGCAGGTGTGCTTGACTCAGGTCCCTCCCTCAGAGCCCAGAGGTGGAGATAGAGCAGACCATCAGAAGCTCCTGCCGCCAGTTTCAATCAGACCGAGCGTTGCCAGCCCTGCAGGTGTGTTGACCAAATAACAAGCTTGTTTCTTACAACGGTTCACAGTCCTTTCAAAGCCCTGAGGTGGAGATAGAGCAGACCATTTGCAGCTCGTACCGGCAGTTCCAATCTGACATCGCATCACCAGCTCTGCAGGTGCGTTGATCAGATAACAACCTCGGTTTCTTACACACGGTTTACAGTCGTACTGCCGCTTCCAATCCAGCCAGTCAGACCTAACACTTCCGCCCCTCGTAACAGCACTTCCGCCCCTCGTAACAGCACTTCCGCCCCTCGTAACAGCACTTCAGACCTAACACTTCCGCCCCTCGTAACAGCACTTCAGACCTAACACTTCCGCCCCTCGTAACAGCACTTCCGCCCCTCGTAACAGCACTTCCGCCCCTCGTAACAGCACTTCAGACCTAGCACTTCCGCCCCTCGTAACAGCACTTCAGACCTAACACTTCCGCCCCTCGTAACAGCACTTCAGACCTAACACTTCCGCCCCTCGTAACAGCACTTCAGACCTAACACTTCCGCCCCTCGTAACAGCACTTCAGACCTAACACTTCCGCCCCTCGTAACAGCACTTCAGACCTAACACTTCCGCCCCTCGTAACACCACTTCAGACCTAACACTTCCGCCCCTCGTAACAGCACTTCAGACCTAACACTTCCGCCCCTCGTAACAGCACTTCAGACCTAACACTTCCGCCCCTCGTAACACCACTTCAGACCTAACACTTCCGCCCCTCGTAACAGCACTTCAGACCTAACACTTCCGCCCCTCGTAACACCACTTCAGACCTAACACTTCCGCCCCTCGTAACACCACTTCAGACCTAACACTTCCGCCCCTCGTAACACCACTTCAGACCTAACACGTCCGCCCCTCGTAACAGCACTTCAGACCTAACACTTCCGCCCCTCGTAACACCACTTCAGACCTAACACTTCCGCCCCTCGTAACACCACTTCCTAACACTTCCGCCCCTCGTAACACCACTTCAGACCTAACACGTCCGCCCCTCGTAACAGCACTTCAGACCTAACACTTCCGCCCCTCGTTATCCAGCAGACCAGTTAGGGCCCCTCGTTAGGGACCTGAGTCAAGCACACCTCTAACATTTCAGCTCTCAGGGCCTGCAAGCCGTGGAAGCCGAGTATTCAACAATCAGCATCCCTGACAAAAACTCCCTCCCTGCCCTTCTCTCCCTTCTCTCCCTCCTCTCCCTCCTCGCCCTCCACGCCCTCCTCGCCCTCCTCTCCCTCCTCTCCCTCCTCTCCCTCCTCGCCCTTCTCTCCCTCCCTTCCCTTCTCTCCCTCCGCCGCCAACTCTCCGCCCTGAGAGCTGAAATTCGCTCCTCCCTCACCACCCCCTCTTTACCACAGCCAAACTCCCCCTTTCCCCTCCCCTGCCCCCTTTCTCCCCTCAACAGGCGCGCCTACAAGCTCTTGAATCCGAGTATTCAGCGATCAACATCCCTGACGAGTCCAGCCTTCTCGCCCTCCTCTCCCTCCGCTGCCAACTCTCCTCCCTGAGAGCTCCCTCCTCATCACCCCCCGCCACACCCTCCCCTTCCCCTTTCCCTCCCCCTCCCCTGCCCCCTTTCACAGGCGCGCCTACAAGCTCTTGAATCCGAGCATTCAGCGATCAACATCCCCGAGGAGTCATCCATCCTCGCTCTCCTCTCCCTCCGCCGCCAACTCTCCGCCCTCAGAGCTGAATTCCGCTCCTTCCTCACCACCCCCCGCCACGCCCTCCCCTTCCTCTCCCCTGGAAGGGTTGTGCGGATTCTGTGCCAGGGGGGAGGGGGAGGGGGAGGGGGAGGGGGAGGGGCGGGGGCAGCGGAGGGGGAAGGGGAAGGGGAAGGGGGAGGGGAAGGAGGGGAGGCGGGGGGGATTGGGAATGAGGAGGATGTGACTGTATGGGGCGTGGTGGTGAATTTCAAGAAGGTGAACCGGAAGAGAGGAGTGGGAGGAGGGGAGCAGCAGGATGGTGAGTGCGCGTCGGGAACTGTCTCGTATGTTTCGGTTTGTTTGCACAGAGGAGTTTGCTTGCATGCCTGCACTGTGCTTTAATGACAAGATGACTTTTGAGTCGACTCAAAAGTCACCTCGTTTGTTTGCACAGAGGATTTTGCTTGCACTAAAAAGAAAGAAAGCAGCTTATGATGCGTTGTGTACAGCTTGGACAAAATGCTACTTCTCCCTCCCTCCCTTCCACACACTAACACCTTTCCTCTCTTTACCCCCCACTGGCAGAGGCAGCGGAGGCAGCAGCTGACGTGGCGTACGACGTGGACATTCTCACACGATGCCACGCATCCCCTGTCTCTTTCACTCACCCTTCTTTGTTTCCAACGAGCAGAGGCAGCGGAGGCAGCAGCTGACGTGGCGTATGACGTGGACATTCTCACGCGGTGTGTGGAGGAAGGAAGTGCAGGGCGCATGGGGCCGCCTGGGGGGCCCAGGAAGGTGGTGCGGCCGTGCAGACCAGGAGAGGAGGGGGGCGCTCCTCTTGTTGCCTCGTTCCCCCTGACCCAGGTATGGCACCGCCGTCGTTGCTCCCTCGTGCTCTTTCATGTGGCGTCCCTTCACCGCCGCCCAGGAGGTGCTGGAAGGTGGTGCGGCCGTGCAGACCAGGAGAGGAGGGGGGCGCTCCTCTGGTTGCGTCGTTCCCTTTTACTCAGGTGTGTGTGCTGCATCAGAGGTTATTCTGAGTAACAATGGAGGAGGGGAGTGTGGGGCGCATGGGACCGCCTGGGGGGCCCAGGAAGGTGGTGCGGCCATGCAGACCGGGGGAGGAAGGGGGAAGTCCTCTGGTTGCGTCGTTCCCTTTTACTCAGGTGTGTGTGCTGCATCAGAGGTTATTCTGAGTAACAATGGAGGAGGGGAGTGTGGGGCGCATGGGGCCGCCTGGGAGTGGCTGGAAGGTGGTGCGGCCGTGCAGGCCGGGACAGGAAGGGGCTCTCCTCTGGTCGCATCATTCCCTCTGACTCAGGTATGTTGCGGCATGGATTCTTCTGAACTTGTCGTCTGGACGCATAGGGCCGCCCAGGAGCGGCTGGAAGGTGGTGCGGCCGTGCAGGCCGGGACAGGAACGGGGCAGTCCTCTGGTGGCGTCGTTTCCTCTGACTCTGGTATGCCACCACCAGTCGTTGCATCCTCGTGCTCTTTCATGGCACCACCTCCCAGGCGTCCCTTCAAGGCCGCCTGAGAGCGGCTGGAAGGTGGTGCGGCCGTGCAGACCCGGAAAGGAAGGGGGCGGTCCTCTGGTGGCCTCGGTTCCTCTGACTCAGGTATGCCACCACCAGTCGTTGCACCATTGGCCTTCTAATACTCAAACGTTTTTTCCAGCTGGATGGCATAAGTGCAGTGCGCATGCTCCTTCCCAAGGATCTGAAGCACAAGGAGCCAAGAGACGCCGCCCTAAAGTTCCCCATCTTCTTCCCTGATCTCTTTATCCTCGTTATAATGAACCCCACTTTCAGCTGGATGGCATAAGCGCAGTGCGACTGTTTCTCACCAAGGATCTGAAGCACAAGGAGCCAAGAAAGGCCGCCCTGAAGTACCCCTATGCTTCCTGCTCCTGCTCTCCTTATCCTCGTTATAATCAACCCTTCTTCCAGCTGGACGGCATAAGTGCAGTGCGCCTGTTCCTCCCAAAGGATCTGAAGCACAAGGAGCCAAGAGAGGCCGCCCTGAAGTCGCTGCAGCAGCTGCTGCTGAGAGCAGGGGCCGATGGAGTGCAGATGCTGGATCCTGAAGAAGATATGGAGGTATGCTTACAGAGGGTATAATGTGTTCTCGCTTGTTCTGAGGTGCTCAATGGAAGGAGTGTTTATGCTGTTATGAGATAACTTCATGCTTACAAAGGGCGTGTCATGCGCTTGCGCGCTGTCCTGAGCTACTGCCGTTTGCTGCATCAACCCATCCTCCTTGCTGCCCCACTCTATATACCTGCCTGCCTGCCTATATGCCTGCCTGATGTAATGCTTTTTCACCAGGTGAACAGCTCAGCCTATCGCAAGGCGGTGAGAAGAGCCGAAGCACTCGAAGCGCTGATCGCCTCTCATGCGCTAGCCTCGGCGCCGGACCTGCAGGTTCGGATCCGGGAGCTGGCTCGAAAGAGCAAGCTGAAGATTGCACTCAAAGTGCTTAAAAAGGAGGTCAAGTCGGCTGGCGGGCTTATATTGAAAGACGAGCTTAAAGCGAGGATGCGGGTCCTGCGGCGATTGGAGTGAGTATTGGGAAGGGAAGGAGGAAGCCTTTATTGTGAGATGAGACGTCTCAAAGCAGGAAATTTGAAAACGCTTGGAGCTACATTTAAAAAGGAGAGTGATGGGGCTAGGAAAAAACTTTTGTACAGTTTAAGGTGGGTTCAAGCAAGGCAACAGTGAGTGTGACTATAATAACGAGATGTTTTCTTTGCAGCTTGTGAAATACCGAAGAAAGCCAGGAGCTGCTTGGAACCGGTGGTGACAGAGCTGCTTGGAACCGGTGGTGACAGAGCTGCTTGGAACCGGTGGTGACAGAGCTGCTTGGAACCGGTGGTGACAGAGCTGCTTGGAACCGGTGGTGACAGAGCTGCTTGGAACCGGTGGTGACAGAGCTGCTTGGAACCGGTGGTGACAGAGCTGCTTGGAACCGGTGGTGACAGAGCTGCTTGGAACCGGTGGTGACAGTGCTGCTTGGAACCGGTGGTGACAGAGCTGCTTGGAACCGGTGGTGACAGAGCTGCTTGGAACCCTGCTTGGTGACAGAGCTGCTTGGAACCCTGCTTGGTGACAGAGCTGCTTGGAACCGGTGGTGACAGAGCTGCTTGGAACCGGTGGTGACAGAGCTGCTTGGAACCGGTGGTGACAGAGCTGCTTGGAACCGGTGGTGACAGAGCTGCTTGGAACCGGTGGTGACAGAGCTGCTTGGAACCGGTGGTGACAGAGCTGCTTGGAACCGGTGGTGACAGAGCTGCTTGGAACCGGTGGTGACAGAGCTGCTTGGAACCGGTGGTGACAGAGCTGCTTGGAACCGGTGGTGACAGAGCTGCTTGGAACCGGTGGTGACAGAGCTGCTTGGAACCGGTGGTGACAGAGCTGCTTGGAACCCTGCTTGGTGACAGAGCTGCTTGGAACCCTGCTTGGTGACAGAGCTGCTTGGAACCATGCTTGGTGACAGAGCTGCTTTTCAGTGTCGCCCTGGCTGGCGGACCTCTGGGTTGACTCAAAGGCTGACTGTTGAGCGGAGCTGACTCAGAAGTCAAAGGCAGATTGGCATGCGAAATCTCTTCAGGAGATGAGCTGGTGGTGACTGAACTGCTCTTCAGTGCAGCCCTGGCTTTCCCATTCTCCCGTCCCTCTCTCATCCCCACAGGTACATTGACGAGTACGAGATGGTGCGTGTCAAGGGCCGTGTGGCCTGCAAAATCTCTTCAGCAGACGACCTGGTGGTGACAGAGCCGCTCTTCAGCGCAGCCCTGGCGGACCCTCCTCCCGAGGCCGTGCACATTGAGAATCATTCATGCGCACTTGTACCATGTTCCCTGCAGGTACATTGATGAGGACGAGATCGTGCGTGTCAAGGGCCGTGTGGCTTGTGAGATCTCTTCAGCAGACGACCTGGTGGTGACAGAGCTGCTCTTCAGCGCAGCCCTGGCGGACCCTCCTCCCGAGGCCGTGCACATTGAGAATCATTCATGCGCGCTTGTACCATGTTCCCTGCAGGTACATTGATGAAGACGAGATCGTGCGTGTCAAGGGGCGAGTAGCCTGCGAAATCTCCTCAGCAGATGAACTGGTGGTTACAGAGCTGCTCTTCAGCGCAGCCCTCGCGGACCTTCCTCCCGAGACCGTGGCAGCGCTGCTGTCGTGCTGCGTGTGGCAGGAGAAGGGGGCAGGCGGAGCGAAAAGACCGAGGGAGAGCCTGCAGGGGCCGCTGGCTCAGCTGAGGGAGATTGCAAGGCGGATAGCTCGAGTGCAGGAGGAGTGTAAGGTGAGGAATGTGCGAGTGGGGATTGGGCTCCGTGTCGTGTAGTGTGCTATAGTCAAAGGGTGTGGTAGGGGAAGGAAGGTAAGAAAGACTGAGGGATGGTAAGGTGAGTGTAAGTTGAGCTTGTTGTTTGGTTGTGTGAGAATGGGGCTAGTGCGGATTGGGTGTTGGGTGAGTGAGGAATCAGCACCTCTCCTCCCCTCCTCCCTCCTATCATCAGATTGCTCTCGACGTGGAGACGTACGTGGCATCGTTCCGGCCGGACATAATGGAGGCGGTGTTTGGGTGGTGCCATGGGGCCGCTTTTGCTGATGTGCTCGCAGCTGCTGACACTTTTGAGGGGTCGCTGATTCGCGCTATGAGGCGGCTGGAAGAGCTGCTGCAGGAGGTGAGTGTGGGGGAGTGTGAGATACGAGTAATAGAAAAACACTGACAGCAGCAGACACGTTGGATTCGAGGGGTCGCTGATTCGCGCTATGAGGCGGCTGGAAGAGCTGCTACAGGAGGTGAGTGTGGTGGGAGAGCGAGTACCTTGTGAGTGGGTTATGTAACGAAACACAGAAATGCAGCAGCTGACTCGTTTGAGGGGTCGCTGATTCGCGCTATGAGGCGACTGGAAGAGCTGCTGCAGGAGGTGAGTGTGGTGGGAGAGCGAGCCATGAGTTGAGCAGAAGAACCAGACAGGAAAACAGTGTGTACAATTCCTTATCCTCCTGCTTGTGCGAGTCGTCCTCATCATCCCTCTGTGACGACGTTTTGTCTTCATTTGTGTATTCAGATCATCGTGGCGAGTAAAACTATCGGAGAAACAAGCCTTGCAGAAAATATCTCTGCAGCAAGTGAGAAGCTTAAGAGAGGCATTGTGTTTGCAGCATCTCTTTACCTATGAGTTATCATCACTTTGCGGCACAATGGAGCTCCAGTGGCAACAAATATCAACCTATGCCTTTCTAGGCTCAATGGTCTTAAGTTTTTTTGCCATACCATCAAGTGAGATTATCACTACATCTTGTATGTTTCGAAGTATTGAAGCTAAAAAAGCTAGTTGTATTAGGGGAAGTGTAGGTATTGGTAAGTCCGTGTGTTTCGTGGCTCTCATGAGACCATTTGTGACGCGCTGCGATTGGCTGGACTAGCTCGATGTTCCGCTTCATTGGAGAGCCCATTTCACAAGCATTTTCTCGCCTTTCGCAACTGAACGTCTTTTTTTATCTGCACCGTCAAATTTACCAGAGGGTACGGCTACGATCTCCTCAAAGTTTTCGTCCAAAGCGATGCACCCACTCACCAACATCCAGTCACAGTCTCGAGAAACGATTGCGAATCACAATTCAAGGCGCCACGACAGTCGAAACGACAGCCACCAACTTCAAGGTCCCCCCCCCAATCTCTAGGGAGGCTCGAATTCAAGCAACAGCCACTAGCTCCTAGGAATCAAGGCACGCTAATTTATAAAAAGGTGGGGACAACCTTTCGTCCTCCCTTTGCCAGGCATCTCGTCCCAGCACATGCACCTTGGGACCACCGAAAGCCTCCTGTCTTTCCGACCAGCCAAACGATATACCCAATACATAAGCGACCAGTAAATAAAGCCAAAGCTTGATTTGAGACGAAGAAGCAGTCGTGGATTGTTCTCAATCTGTACATAGCTCTTTGGTTTGTGTTGTTCTTTGCCTTCAACTGAGATCATGGCGTCCGACAATAGCGCTGTCGCGAAGGACCTGACCGCTGGAACTCTTGCAGGAGTAGCTCAGCTTCTGGTCGGCCATCCCTTCGATACAATCAAGGTCAAGCTACAAGCACAGCCCAAGCCAGCTCCAGGCCAGCCGCCCATGTACTCAGGCGCCATGGATGCGGTTCGGAAAACCATAGCCGCTGAGGGTCCAAAAGGGCTGTACGCGGGAATTGGTCCTCCTCTCGCCACCGTCGCCGTTTTCAACGCCGTTCTTTTCACTGCCCGCGGGCAGATGGAAGCGATTTTGAAGAGCAGCCCGGACGAAAAGCTCTCGGTGGGGAAGCAGGTGATTGCTGGAGGAGGAGCCGGCCTGGCCGTGTCGTTCGTCGCGTGTCCGACGGAGCTGATCAAGTGCCGCCTGCAAGCTCAAAGCGCTCTCGCGGCCGCTCCTCTCCAGGTATTGACTCATCAATTCGTGCTGGCTCCAGTCCCTCGTAATGGCCTCCCTGAATTCGACAGCTTCTAAGTGTCCATAGCGTACCGAGTACGTTCTTGACATTCCGCTTCCGTTTGTTTTTTAAATCATGGCAATATTCATTTGAGATCGAGCAGGAACCGACTTTCCCTCAGTCGTCCAGATATTACTAAGCCAGCTGCGTCTAATCTTCATCCTCCCTAAATACCTTTTCCCTTTTTCCATTTCCCCTCCGGTCTTTTTTTTTTAATTATTTTTTCTTTCTGCCATTTCCCCTTACAGGGAGCTGTCGCAGGCGTTGCTGCTGGTGGCGGGTCCACCGTCTCCATGAGCGTGCCGCGTTACGCGGGCCCACTGGACGTGGCGCGCCACGTCATCCGGTCGGAGGGCGGCGTGTTGGGGCTGTTCAAGGGCCTCACTCCCACGCTGATGCGGGAGGTGCCTGGGAATGCCGCTATGTTCGGAGCATACGAGGCCACAAAGCAGGTGAGACGTTGTACAGGCCCTCAGGTGCGTGTAGCCGTGCGCAGGGCATGTTGTCGCGTTGAGATTCTGTTTGAGGTTGATTGCTCTCCAAATTAACAGTATGAAAGTTCGAACAATAATAATAAGCACACAGACCATCGAGTACACAGGCATACCGAGGCTATTTCTTTCCGTGCATTGGAAGGTGAAATCGCAAATAAGCTCTTACAGAATAGCCCACTTTCCGCGCACCACTGCCCGTCCTCTTTCCACCTTTTCCCCTCGACTCTTCCGTCCTCTCACACGTCATCGCTTCTCCTGCTCCTCCCGACCCTTGTTGAACACGCTTTCCCTGCGACCCGAGGAGGCTGGTGGCACTTGAGTCCGAGAAAATTGGATTTTCACTTCACAGAATGCTTGGGATTTGCACCGAGTCAAACCGTGTCCCCTTCTCCTTCTCTGTACCTTGTGCTCCAGATAATGGCAGGAGGAAGTGACACGTCAGAGCTCAGCCGAGGAGCGCTGCTTGTTGCTGGTGGCGTGGGTGGCGCGTGCTTCTGGGCTTCAGTGTACCCGACTGACGTCATCAAGAGCATGATCCAAGTAGACGACTACAGGTGAGCAACGGCGTGAAGAAATACAACATCTATGTTTCAAAATGTTTTCTACCACACGAGATGGGGATATGAAGAAAGATTTGACGGGCCAGTACGGCATGCGGTACCACACATCCCTAGCTTAGCCTGGTAGGTCTACATGCATGTCTATGCCTCATTGCATCACTCATGGAATGGCATTAACAGCACAGTGCATGTCATTGACCACACATTGCAGGTAATTAACGCCACATTGCATGTAGTTAACGCCACGTTGCATGTCATTGACCACATTGCATGTCATTGACCACATTGCATGTCATTGACCACTCATTGCATGTTGTGTGACCACATTGCATGTCATCAACCACACATTGACATGTCGTATGACCACATTGCATTGTCATTAACCACTTGTCGCATGTCGTGGACACCACGTTGCATGCCATTGACCACTCATTGCATGCCATTGACCATTCGTTGCATGCCATTGACCATTCGTTGCATGCCATGGACTACTTATTGCCTGACTTTGACCACTCAGTGCAGGAACGACTTACCAACTAAATTTCATTGGTGATTTCTTACATGTGCGTGTGCAGAAACCCCAAGTACACTGGTACAATACAAGCTTTCCGTAAAGTGTGGGCTACAGAGGGAGTTAAGGGCTTGTACAGAGGGTTTGGGCCTGCCATGGCTCGGAGTGTACCTGCGAATGCTGCATGCTTTCTCGCATATGAGATGGTTCGTGAGATGCTGGGATAAGTTTGGAATGCGAGTGAATTTCATACCTGCATTTTTTTGGCGTCTGTATGAGGCCAACAGCTTGAGACGCCTTTTGTATTTCTGCCCTCCGCTATTAAAACCCAGGGTCCACAGGTTCCTTAGGTAGGAAGGCTGGTTGGACCTAGTGACTCAACCAAAGGTAGGAAGGTTGGTTGGACCTGGTGATCCAACCAAAGGTAGGAAGGATGAGGCAACAAAGAGTAACTTGAGACTCCGGTTTTAATTGAAGGCCTTCCAGCTTCAGGGTTCTAGGTTGCAGGTTTAGGGAAACATTGTTCAGAAGCGGTGGTTGCAATTTCGTTGCATTATGTATTGTTGCATTACTAGTCAGTCCATACCAGTCAAGCTTTTCTTTTCCAATTTTAAACAGCTAAACTACATACAGGGCCCGCTAAATACATCTGCCGAGGTCAGGTTGTACAACTTTCTGGACAACTCCGTTTCGCAAGGTGCAAAACGACAAACAATGCGAACCGCTTTCTACCATGTGGAACCGTCCTGAGCCACGATACAAGAACTGTAAACGTGGGAGACATGTACGACCTGACGTCGCCCTTTCTGTGTCCATAGTGAATGAAGCCATTTTCCATTTACAGGAGTAGAAGCCACTGTAGATTGCACATGATAAGGGTACAGTACTTTCCATCATTCAACACTTATAGCATAGTACTTTCCATCATTCAATACTAGCTGATATACCTAAATATGGTACCTTAACCACGAGTTGTCATATCACCAGCTTGAGTGTAACAGGCTGACTGGTTACAATAACCCCTCTCCCTTGCAGCATGTGTTGTCTGAATAAGCCAAACAAAACTGCTACCGTAATTATACTTCCAACCTACATGCCTAACAAGCCTTGGCTGACCAGGCCCTCCCTCCCTTGTTAGGAGCACGTCAATGCTGCGTCTGACGCTTGCACTGCACTGCAACGTACTGTCTGACGCTTAACACTAATTTACTCTCACTGCGTCCACCACCACACCTTCAATCTGTGCCTGTACTGTCCCCAGTGAAAATAGGACCACTGGGCTGGGTCCCACACAGCAACCACACCTCCTGCGCCTTTACACCCCCTGTACTGCATCTTCCTCCCCCCTTTAACACCATACTTCTCTTACTGCGTCCACCGCCACACTTTGACCGTGCCTGCACTGTCGCCTGTGAACATGAAACCGCTGGGCCCCACACACAGCGACCGCACCTCCTGCACCGTTCTGCCTTCTGTAGTCCATCGCCCCTTACCATCTCCCATAGCACTTTGCTACTCACTGAGTCCACCGCCACACCTTGACCGTGCCTGCACTGTCCCCGGTGAACATGAGACCGCTGGGCCCCACACACAGCGACCGCACCTCCTGCACTGTGAACAGCGCCCCCCTCTCTGTGAACCTGGTTGTGATGACGTGGCATGGGGAAGCAGTGGTGTGACACGTGGCAATGGTGAGAAAAAGTGTGATGTGGCATGCGGGAGAAGTGGTGCGAGATGGCATCGGGTGATGAGGGCGACTCCTTGCGATGTCAAACAATTTCGAAGCTCCTTGCAATCATAAGGAGCAAAAAAGACCAGAACCAGAACAATGCAGGACCAAAAAAAAAAAAAAAAAAAAAAAAACAACAACAACAACAAACCAAAACAAAACAAAACAAAACAAAACAAAACTGACAGAAACAGAAACAAGAAAACAGAACATACGATGGGAGGTCATAGAGGCGGACAGAATTGTCACTGTATGCCACCATGAGCACCTGGTTGCCCGCTAGATCCGTGCTCACTTTCATTGCCAATGCTCCCTGCATTGAGGGGGGAGGGGGAAGGGTGAAACAAGAAAACGGGAGGGAAAAATGCGACCTGATCCCACCATGAGCACCTGATTACCCGCTAAATCCGTGCTCACTTTCATTGCCAGCGCTCCCTGCATTGAGTGAAGGGGGATGAAGAAGGGAAAGTGGGGTTGGAAGGAAGCGGGAAGGGGATGATTAAACGAGTATAGAAGCGTAGCAGTTGATGGTAGCACAACGTAAGACGTGCGGGGAAAAAAAAAGCAACAAATGAAAATCTGAATAAAGAACAAAACAGAAGGCAGGAAGGAAGAAACAAAGCTGTCGCCTGCCTGTATACTCTCAACATCTTAAGTTGCTACATTTACCACCCAGAAATGATCCATCTAATGGCATGGAGAGTCAAGGAGGATAAAGTCACGAGTTCTCATGAGAACCCATGGACGGATGTTGGGTTCTCTGTCAGTCTGTCCACGGCCTCCCTTGATAATAACAGCATCTTAAAGCTCAATCCACTAAATGACATGGAGAATGAAAAGATTAGAATCAAGAAGTACATGGGGCTCTCTGTTGGTCTGCCCTTGAAATCTCACAGTTAAGACGGCATCGCACTGTTTAATCCTTCTCACGGAAAAGTCGAGTCGAGTGTCGAAAGATCAGGATCGAGACGTACATCAGGCTCCCTGTCGGTCTGCCCACTGCCTCCCTTGTCGTCCGCATCGGTGTGAGTGAACGCCAGGTCGATGGCGCCCCCTCCTGCTGCTGACGGCGCCCACACCTGTCAAGGTTGAAAGAGAGAAGTGCAAGGTTTCGGGTTTAAACACATCAGGTTCTCTGTTAGTCTGCCCTGCCTGCTGCCGCCCTTGTCTTCCACATCTGTGTGAGTGAACGCCAGGTCAATGGCGCCACCTCCTGCCACTGATGGCGCCCACACCTGTCGGGGTTCAAAAGGAAGAGGTTAGGGGTTTAAGATTGAAACAGTACATCAGGCTCTATGTCGGTCTGCCCGCTGCCCGCTGTCGCCCCGACCTGCTGCCAACGGCTCCCACACCCCTCAAAGAAATATTGAGGTTTAACAGGGTTTACAGAAAAACACGACTGTGTGAATGAACGCCAAATCAATGCCCCCTCTTCCTGCTGCTGATGACGGCCATACCTGTCTGTCAGGGTATACAGGCAAACATTCAGGTATCCCCTCAGCTCTTACAATCTTATCATGGTAACTGTTTTCCTTCCTGCTGCTGACGACGGCCATACCTGTCTGTCAGGGTATACAGGCAGACATTCAGGTATCCCCTCAATTCTTACAATCTCTACCGCTCTCCCTCCCCCCTCCCCTCTCCATCCTCGTCCCCCGATCACTTCCCTTTAGCACAGCCCACATTCACACCCCCACCTTGACTGTGCCATCCAGCGAGCAGGAGAGCAGGTGCGTTTGCCAGACCACCAGCGCCATCACCACATGGTCGTGAGCCGGCACTATGTGCACACACGCCCCCGTGCTCAGGTCCCATATCTAGAAAGAGCAAGGCGGTAAGAAAGGCAGGAAAGGAGGTGGGGGGGGGAAGGGGGGGTTACTGAGTGGGCAGGAGAGCAGGTGCGTTTGCCAGGCCACCAGCGCCATCAACACATGATCATGGGCCGGCACTATGTGCACACACGCCCCCGTGCTCAGGTCCCATATCTGGTAAGACGCAAGGGTGAGGGAGAACGTGGGAAGGGAGCGGGGGTGTGGGTGGGGGAAACCGAACCCAAGGGAGGAGCCTTGCTTGTTTCTACCGGTCTACACTCACCATACACTCACCCTGTACCCACTCTATACAACCACTTTAATGCGTCAGTGCACACTCCACATTTACCCTGATGACTTTTGAGAAGTCGACCACTTTTAATGTCTCAAAAGTCGACCACTTTAATGCGTCAGTGCCCAGCCCACTCCACATTTACCCTGATGCTAGACCCGGAAAATTTTTGAGGCGCCTCAAAAATCGTTTTTGAGGCGCCTAAAAAATGCTAGACCCGGAAAAAGAGGTGCGTGGCTGGCAGTGGCTTCGAGGCACACCAGAGCAGCTGAGTGAGACGCCTGTGAGCACTGGCCTAATGATCTATTTCCCACTCACTCCTAAATGCCTGATGAGTTTATGCCTACACTCCACACTCACTCACTCCTCACTCACTCACTCCTCACTCATTCTCCACACTCACTCTGATGCTCTTGTCCATGGAGCCGGAAAAGAGGTGCGTGGCAGTGGCTTCAAGGCACACCACAGCAGCCGTGTGGCCCATGAGTGTGTGCCTCATGCTCTGCACACTACTCACACTACTCAAGCTGATGCCTCACTACCCACACAACACTCAAACTCACTCTGATGCTCTTGTCCATGGATCCCGAGAACAGGTGCGTGGCAGTGGCTTCAAGGCACACCACAGCAGCTGTGTGGCCCGTGAGTGACGCCACTGGCTCAAACTGCTGGGAAGCAGGGTTGAACTTCCAACACAGGATCTTGCCGTCCTGAAGAGATGTTGGGGGAAGGGAGAAGGGGGGGGAACGACGTATGTAATGCTACAATTTTTGCCTTCCAACACAGGATCTTGCCGTCGTGAGGAGATGTTCGGGGGAGGGGAGAGGGGGGGAACGACATATGTAACAACACAGCAGCCATGTGGCCTGTGAGTGATGCCACTGGCTCAAACTGCTGGGAAGCCGGGTTGAACTTCCAACACAGGATCTTGCCGTCCTGGAAGGTGGGTGGGGAAATGAAGGGGGCATGAGAGGGAGAAAGAATGGAGGGATGGCGGGAAGAAGCACAGAGAATGCTGGTGGCTCTCAAACTGCTGTGAGGCCGTGTTGAACTTCCAACACAGAATCTTGCCGTATTGAAGAGATGGTCGGGGGAGGGGAGAGGGGGGAGAATGACGAATGCAACAACACAGGATCTTGCCGTCCTGGGAAGGAATAGGGGGGAGGCACGAGAAAGGCTGCAATAAGAACAGGGGGGGACGCACACGCAATGCAGCAGATGGTGGCACAAGCCCTCTCACATCACTTTATGACAATCCTTTTAATGTCCCATGTCACCCTATCCCACCCCACTGCTTACAGAGCAGGCGGCAAAGAGCATGCCGTTGTGCAGCAGCAGCTGGTGCACCGACCCTGTAGGGCCTGGCAAGTCTCCCTGCACCCCACTCGCCAGCACCCACGTCTGCAGCATTCACGACAGGCAACAGAGGGGCAGAAGGGTGTCGAAAGGCAGAACAAGGACGATCAATCCTGCTCTCTTCGGCACCCCACTCAGTGCACCGACTCTGTGGGGCCCGGCAAGTCGCCCTGCATCCCACTCGCCAGCACCCACGTCTGCAGCACAGGGGTTGGGGTTTGGGAATTCACGGGTTATGACTTGTCAGCTGAGAGATTGATGGCCCAGATATTGAATAGCATGACATGGCATGGCATGTGCAGCAATTAAGTGGCATGACACAGCATGGTATGGCACGGCATAGAAGGGCACGGCATGGTTTGGCCTGGCATAGAATAGCATGACATTGTATTGCAGCATGGCAGCAGCACCTTGGCTTGACAAGGTTGGCATCGGCATGGCATGGCATGGCATGGCATCACGTGGTGCGGTACGCACTGAGTGGCGTGGCATGGGATGAAGTGGCATGGCATGGCATACCATACGCACAGCAACAGCACCTTGACAGGGTTAGGCAGGCCAACAAAGTGCCATCCAGAGTTGGTGGTGAGTGCATGGCATCACAAGGCATGGCATCACAAGGCATGGCATGGCATGACATAGCATGACATAGCATACCATGCGCATTGCATGGCACAGCAAGGGCACCTTGACGAGGTTAGGCAGGCCGACAAAGAGCCATCCAGAGTTGGTGATGAGCGCACCCACGTCCCCTCCCATGCTCGCCACACTCACGCACTGCCAGGAAGAGGGAAGGTGGGGAGGGGAGGGAGGGAGGGGAGGGAGGACTTGAAAACTTGAGAGCAGTGGAATGTGGTTGACAAGTTGGAAAAAGAGCCTGGTGATGAGCGCCCTCTCGGCGCCTCTCAATCGTCAGTGTGTGAGTGTGGCAATGGACAGAGAGGACAGAGAGGTGGGGACTTTTGAGACGTCTCAAAAGGCAACGGAGAAGAAGGACAGAGAGGGTGGGGAAGGGTGTGGGGTGGTCAAAGCAGTGTAGATGTGCAGCATGGCGGTACTCTGCTTAGTACAGAAAGAGCGGAGGGGGGAGAAAGAAACTGGACGGAAGATCAGGGCTAGAGCCTAGAGATGCTACCAGGATATGAAGCAGTAACACAAGGAGCTCAGGAGACAGTGTCTTTTGTGTTGCACGGAGAGCAGAGGCAGAAGAGCCGGTTTTTGAGAATTCTCAAAAACCACGGAGAGAAGAGGCAGAAGAGCCCTCCTGCCACGTGGTGCAGTCCCACACACTGATGGTGTTGTCCTGACCGCCCTTGACCGGCCTTAACCGCTCTTGACCCTCCAGCACAGCAACAGCACACCCTGCGTGCACCCTAAACACAACATAGCGGAACCTAGCAGCACAGCAGCACCACCCTACTTGCCCTGTAGTGCAGTCCCACACGTGGATCGTCCCGTCCTGACAGCCGTGGCTCTCCAGCACAGCAACAGCACACCCCAAAGTCTTGCACCTTGTATAGTCACATTCTCACCTGCCCCGTGGTGCAGTCCCACACTCGGATGGTCCCGTCCTGACTGCCAGTGTAGAGCTGCGAGGAGCTCTCTGGTAGAGCTATGGCTCGCACCACCTGGGAGGGAGAGAAGAGAGGAGATAAAAAAGAGAGAAATGTGAAGGGTTTAGCCCGCAATGACTGAGTGACTGATTGACTGCCCGTGTACCGCTGAGAGGAGCTCTCCGGTAGAGCTATGGCTCGCACCACCTGGCGCGGGGAGGTGAGGGGAGATGCGGGTGGGGGAAGATGCAGGTGGGGGAAGATGCGGGTGGGGGAAGATGCGGGTGGGGGAAGATGCGGGTGGGGGAAGATGCGGGTGGGGGAAGGCGCGCGTGAGGGGAGGTGCTGATGAGGGGAGGTGCGCGTGCGGGGAGGAGCGGGTGAGGGGAGATGAGGGAATAGGAGAGGGGGGGTGGGTGGGGTAGATGAAGATGGCAAGCATATGGGACTAGAGTGGAACATCCCCTCGTCTCTCTCTCTCTCTCTCTCTCTCTCTCTCTCTCTCTCTCTCTCTCTCTCTCTCTCTCTCTCTCTCTCTCTCTCTCTCTCTCTCTCTCTCACACACACACACACACACACACACACTCACACACACACACTCACCCACACTCCCCCACCCACACCTTCTCATGCCCCGTCAGCTCTGTCATCATCTCCACGTCAGCAGCCGTCGTGTGGGCGTGCAGGAAATTGCAGTTATGGCGGTTGCAGCTCCCCCCAAGCCAGAACTTGCACGCCTTCCGCCTCGCAATGCGCCTCTCCCCCCCTCCGCCTGCCCCTCCCGCTCCGCCTCCCCCATCACCGAGCCGCGCCCTGACGCCCTCCCCGCTTCTTCCGCCTGCTCTTTGCCTCCCCCACCGCTCACCACCAAACCCTCCGCCATCCCCCTGACTGTCCGCATTCCGCCTCCCCAAAACCGTCCCCCCTCCCCCGCCTCCGCCTCCTCCGCCTCCACCCCACCCCTGTCCCCCCCAGCCAGCTCCCCCTCCTCTGCTTCCGCCTCCGCCTCTTCCCCCTCCGCCAAACCCGCCACCCCCCCCAGATGAATCAGTATGTAAATAATCGCAGCTTTCACCTTTTCTACAGTTACCTTCAAGCCAGAATCTGCATACGCCTCTTCCCCTTCCGCCTCCGCTTCTTCCCCCTCTTCCGCCGTAGCCCCCCCTACCGCCTCCCCCGCGGCCTCCCCTTCCCCCTCCGCTGATCATTCCGTCTAAATCCATGACCAGACTCTGCGGTGTAACTTCCGCTAATCAGAACATGAAGGATCGTCTATCAAAGGGTAAGGATTTGAGTACGCGGCAGAACCGAGGCAAGATACGCCTTGCGACTGCGTCGATTTACGAAGGACGGTGCGACAAGGTGGCGAATGGTCAACGAAGCTATTGGCGACGGAACGCCGGCGACGAAAGCGTGCTACGTGACAGATGGTTCAGTTCGTTCGGAAATCGCACGGACTTTGGTGTATGCGAGTCACCATGGCTGCGAATTCGTCGAACACGATAGCAGTCGCACCGATCAGCACCGGAACTTGATAGCACCGAGAACAGCTGACACCGTGTACACCGATTAGTAGCAGCTACGAGAGATTGCGACCTAAAATGCAGGCCCGAGCGATTTCATCAGCTCGACCGCACGCGACCGGCGATTAACTGGTCTGGCCGTTCGATCTGGTCTGGTGATTTCTGGAAGAGCAGCTCTGGACCGTAGATTTTGATATACAATCAGTGTGGCAGAATCTAGGTGGGGAAACTTCTGTGATCCCAAGGGTCACAAAAAGCTGGAAATATGTGACTCAAAAGAGGGAGGACTGGCGTGGAGTGATCTACACGGAATTCGAATGAAGCACCTTCGGCACAAAACACTCGTCACGTCACTTGACAAACCACTCCAGCATTTTTCAAGTAATCATACGATACGAAGATGGACAGGTGTCAGAGCTTTTCTGCTGTTAGAAATTCCACTCGTTAACTATCAAACATATTCTAGCTATCAAATGGCGTTATAAGTTCCGCCTGGTCTGTTTCCGGGCATATCATCCCATCATTGCAACTATTTAAGTACAGCCAATCCCGTAGCCTCACGATATCCCCTGTAAAGGTCGACCCGTATGTGCCAAAAAACACATTCGACATCACACAAATCGCCTTTTCCACATACGAAATCACCACGCTGTCATTATGCGCCCCAGCCTGCACCAGAGGCTCGGCCCAAGGCTGAGTCTCCAAGCTCTTAATCGACATCCGAACCACCGGGACAGGCTCGGAAGAGAACAGCCCCGAGCGGCCTCCACGCACCCGAACCACACTCCCCACACGTCCATCCTCCGTCGTCCCATTTATAACGTATTTCCGCGGTCTCGCGCGTTCAAACGCAAGAAACTCCCGAAACATCCTCACCTCGTCATCATCCCCATTGGTCGAAAGGTAAATCGCCCGCACGCCCGGATTCTCGTCCAATCGCCGCGCCACGCAGGCCGCCAGCTGGCGGATCGGGTGGTAGCAGGCGAACTTAGAATGCCCCTTCATGTTCACGCAATGCTGGTAGAAATCGCCTCGCCTCATGTGCAATGCCATGAAGCCCCCACCACCGGCACCACCAGCACCACCATCACCAGCAGCCCGAACACCCCCAGCAGCATCATCACCTGTATTGCTACTGCTGCTGCTGGTGCTGCTGCCAAGGTAGGAATTTATAAACCCAGCAGCAGCCTGCCGGACCATAGGAGAGGGCATGATGTAGTATTTGCATCCGGGCAGCACAACGAGCGGGCGGGCATGGTGAAAACGTAGGTCCTGCCCGCTCACACCAAACATGTTGCCGAAGGCGATGACCGAATCATCATAGTTAAAGAGGGAGATGAACTCCTTGGAGGGGTATTTGAACCATGGGCTTGGCGTGCGCTTCTCTGGGATGACTGTTTTAGCAAAGTGGATGTGTAGTTGTTGATACCTGCAGGGGTGAGGGGAAGAGGGGGTGGGGATGGGGAAAGGGGGAGAGAGAGAATCATCGTAGTTAAAGATGGAGATGAACTCCTTGGAAGGGTACTTGAAACATGGGCTTGGCGCGGGCTTTTCTGGAATGACTGTTCAAACAAATTGTATATGCAGTTGCAGGGGTGAGGGGAAGCGGGGGTGGGGATGGGGGAAGAGGGAGAGGAGTGGTAGGTAAAGAGTAAGATGAACTCTTTTTAGGGGGTTCCTGAACCAAGGGGCAGGCGTGCGCTTCTCTGAAATGACCGTTGGAGCAAAAGTGGATGTGCAACTGCTGGTGGTACCTGGAGATGGGGAGAGGGGGACCCAGGGGATTAGGATGGGAGGGAGGGGACGGGGGAAAGGGAGGGGTGAAGACAATCCATGATATGTAGGAGCGAGTGGATAGGTGGATAGGTGGATAGGTGAGCCTCCCTGCTGCTGGGAGGCAGGTCTCGTCCTCACACCGGACATGTTCCCGAAGGCGATGATGGTTTGCCATGTGCAGAGGGTGTGGTTCTCCCCAAGGTATCATCTCCCTTCCTTTCACATGGCAGGTTGGTCAAGGTGAAGAGGGAGGTGATTTCTCTAGAGAAGATGTGCATGTGCATGTGCATGTGCATGTGTGCATGTGCATGTGCATGTGCATGTGCATGTGCATGTCCATGTCCATGTGCATGTGCATGTGCATGTCCATGTCCATGTGCATGTGCATGTGCATGTCCATGTGCATGTGCATGTGCATGTGCATGTGTGCATGTGCATGTGTGCATGTGCATGTCCATGTGCATGTGCATGTCCATGTGCATGTCCATGTGCATGTGCATGTGCATGTCCATGTGCATGTCCATGTGCATGTGCATGTGCATGTGCATGTGCATGTGCATGTGTGCATGTGCATGTGTGCATGTGCATGTGCATGTCCATGTCCATGTGCATGTGCATGTGCATGTGCATGTGCATGTGCATGAGCATGAGCATGTGCATGTGCATGTGCATGTGCATGTCCATGTCCATGTCCATGTGCATGTGCATGTGCATGTGCATGTGCATGTTCATGTGCATGTCCATGTGCATGTCTATGTCCATGTGCATGTGCATGTTCATGTGCATGTCCACGTGCATGTGCATGTGCATGTGCATGTCCATGTCCATGTGCATGTGCATGTGACATGTCCATGTGCATGTCCATGTGCATGTGCATGTGCATGTGCATGTGCATGTTCGTGTGCATGTCCACGTGTATGTGCATGTGCATTTCCATGTGCATGTGCATGTGCATGTCCATGTGCATGTCCATGTCCATGTCCATGTGCATGTCCATGTGCATGTGCATGTGCATGTCCATGTCCATGCGCATGTCCATGTGCATGTCCATGTGCATGTCCATGTGCATGTCCATGTGCATGTCCATGTGCATGTCCATGTGCATGTTTATGTGCATGTGCATGTGCGCAGGACCTCTTCTCGGAAGCTTATTGAAGGAATGCATGTGCGTGTGTGTCTCCCGCACCCGCTCTCCATCTGATAATGGTGCACGTGGCATATGAACACATCCACCACCACCATCCCCTCTGGCACGTATGCACATGTGCATAAGCATTTCTCACCGTTGTCGGATGTAACCGCACTCTCTCTCCGTCTGGTAGTGGTGCACGTGGCATATGAACACATCCACCACCACCATCCCCTCTGGCACGTATGCACATGTGCATAAGCATTTCTCACCGTTGTCGGATGTAACCGCACTCTCTCTCCGTCTGGTAGTGGTGCACGTGGCATATGAACACATCCACCACCATCACAGGTGTATTCTTTCTCCTCTTGGGGTTCTGCCAAACAACAGGGCACAAGGAAAAAGGGTGCATCCTGAGTGGAATCAGAATGCAATTAGCTGCAAACACATCCACCACCATCACAGGGGCGTTCTTTCTCCTCTTGGGGTTCTGCCATGCAACAGAGTGGATGGCATGGCATGGCAGGGAGTGAGAGAACAGAACAGCAGGAAATGATCGGATCGGGTCTCAAGCCTTGAACCATCTACCACCATCACCGGCGTCATCGATATTTGAGGCGCCTCAAAAATCTCAAACCTTCCACTATGAGCGAAGTCCACCACCATCACTGGCGTCATCGATATTTGAGGCGCCTCAAACATCTCAAACCGTCCACTATGAGCAAAGTCCACCACCATCACCCGCATCATCGGTACAACTGTGAACACCAAAACGCTCAGCTGCCTGCACGTCTAACAGTCGTTGCTCTTAGTCAGTCACAGTAGTCATAGCCATAGCCATAGCCATGGTCATACTCATAGTCCGTACTGAAAGCGTGAATACTGGTTCGTAATCCGAGGCGCCTCTAAGCAGGCATTTGATCACAACAGTCTACTCACAGATCACTAGCCTTTGCACACCTTCCCACCGCTCCCAACCTTAGCACACCATCCCACCGCTCCCAACCTTAGCACACCATCCCACCGCTCCCAACCTTGGCACACCATCCCACCGCTCCCAACCTTAGCACACCATCCCACCGCTCCCAACCTTGGCACACCATCCCACCGCTCCCAACCTTGGCACACCATCTCACCTCTCCCTCCTCTACCCACCAACCTTGGCTTCTTAAACAGCAGCATAGCATGTTTATCAGAAGTTCC